CTGCATGCACAGTGCTATCACTGTACGGGGTCAGGGTCCGTCCATTATGCCTTCCCCCCGATCTCTCTACTCAGCAGGTCATTGTGTACCACCTGCCTCAGCTCCCGTACAAGTGCCTTAATCTCAGGCACGCAGTTTGCCACGACGAGCTACCTACAAATGACAGCACTGTAGTCTTCTCACGACCGTTGAACTTGACGTCAGCGAACCAACCTGCAATTCAACGTTCAGCAGCATCTCGAGCTTTCATCATGGGTACGCAGTGATGCACTACATATTACGCAGGCGCACCAACGACTCAGACCATCCCCGACGGTCGGTGGCCGCGGCATCACGCACACCGTCTACATGCAGTCAAAGGTCACTACTCAAGTACGTGCTGCATTGCTCTACAATACCTACTGACGATCTCGCTGACTGGAGGTGAAGATGACTTGACGCTAACAGATGTGCGTGCCTGACAGGGATCCATCCTAAGCGCCGGTTCCACAGCAAGTGCGGCGTCTGTGGGCCGCTTTTCTTTCAACTTCAACCGCTGCGCGCCTCGACTTCGCATCACACTTGTAAGCGCGATGCTCGCGGGTGATAAGAGCCGCCAATGGCGCATCTGTCCCATTGCTATGCGCCGCCGCGCCAGCACGACGAGACGAGGCTTGAATCAGATGCAGGCCTGACCTCGACGATCTGCCCAAGGCATTCTCGCGGCCTTGCCTGTCGGGCCCGTCTCATCGACCGCATCTCTTACCGCCGACGCGATGGAGTCGACGGACAATGTGGTCACCCCCTTTTCGGCATGAGGGCTCTCGAGAACCGCACCGGTCATGGCGTCTTCCAACAACTGTTGCCAAGCGCATGCACAGTCAAGGCGCCATCCCTAGTCACCCGACCGTCGTATCGAATCAGGGCGTCGCGGCAAGCACTATCGGCATGCCCCATGGTGTTGCAATACCGCGCGTCTCACGCTCGACGCGACAGCGGCTGTTGCGCTTCCGCACCATCATGATCATCGTCACGATGCCGCCCAGAAGGCCTAGGCTCGTGCCGAGATGGCTGGGCGGACACCAAGGGGATCGCCCGTCCCGCGGACGGCCTCATGCGACCACATCTGCAACCCTCTCAGGCTCCCTGCTCGTCAACGTTTCGCATACAGTTACCAGGACGGGATCTGGGATCTGCCCTGACCCTCCTCATGCAGTCTGTACTTACCCAGACTAGGGCAAGCACCCACCTCGCAGGTGCCTTTCCTGCAACCCGCGCATACTATCACGTCCTGCACTTGCCAAGGGTCATCGGTGCTCCCGAGGCACCCTGGCACATCTGCAAGCGGTCAAGTGATTGCAATCACGATGGCCCGTGCTGGTATGATTAGTGTGATTGTAATATGCCCCGGATCCTGAACCCGCCGGGTCTGCGCTGATCAAGACGGCAGGGAACGCGCGGGGACGAGCTAGAGAAACCTTCTCATACCGAGCCAGTAGATGGCTTCGTGCGTGTACGCAGTCGAAAGAAGACTCGATGCTGGCCCGAGTGTTGGCCCTGGCTATCGGGACGAGTCACAACGGCGCCTTGCATCTCCTAGGCCGGTGTGATTGGGACCTTGGCTTCTGCAGCAATTCAAATGAGTTGCTTTAGGTCACTGCATTGCCCAGAAATTCATGCCTCCTGCCTGGCCTTGGACCCAACAGGGCCGTCGTCCATGACGCAGAGGTGTATGCGCAGCTGTTGTTCGATGCTTGACGAGGACCAACCCCCTTTCCCTGCAGCAATCCAGGCCCCAGGAACAACATCCGATCATGCCGGATCAGTGGCTGGTGCTGGTGCTGTGATCAGGCCGTTGGGAAATTGCCTGTGTCGAGCGTAAAAGGGCTTGGAACACTCAGCTCGGGCCAACCGTGGTGTGTCCGTGAGTGTGCCTCCGACAATACCTCACATCGTATACAACACACAAAGGCGCATGCATCCCTGACAACGGCCGGAAACACCACACAGGGCTCACCTTTGTGTGTATGGGACAAGGTCTGCAACGTTGTTTCGATACAGGTACAGCTGCGACTTGATGGGGCTTATCACCAACGAACCTCCTGGCTGACGCACGGGTCGAGTCATGCCTGTCCTGCCAGGAACTTGAGCAGACTTGGTGTGTGGTCAAGCTGGCGAGACCTGGTCCGTTGTCGCACTTCTGATTCTCTCCCTGGGATTCAGGCGTATCGTACTCTCTCGATCAAGTTGCTGGCGTGTTTGCTTGATCAATATTCCTGTTAGGGATGGGGTCAAAATCGAGCATAGCCATTAGCCAATAAGCACCATGAGACCGAAGGCTGCACAAACTAAGGTTTGCACTTTCGCACAGCGGTTCATGCAAGTGAGAAGCCTCACAGGCCCAGCGGCATTGCGTCAGGTATACTGGGAAATCCACGACAAGATTCTGATCGAGGCTCGTCACGACGGCTACGGTCGGATCTGGACGTCCGTAGGCGAGTCTCGGCGAACACATCGAGATGCTGTCGCAGGGTGAAGATAGCCGGAACGGGGACTGACGGCTTAACAACGTAGCTACTGCTACCCCACACTTGCCTGGCCTACCACTGGGGCCCAGGATAGGATGCTGTCCCAAGCGGGAAGAGTCTCTGGCCCGGATGTCGTCGATGATGGGCTTTTCGATCCCGATAAATCCCTTCCGAGTGTGGCCGTCACCCAATGAAAGCTTCGCTACCCCAGACTTGGCACGGGAACATGTCGTGGATGACGGGCGGCAGAGGCTCAAAGTGGAGTAGCAGTTCCTGGTTTTGATAAGACTTCACTCGTTGAAGAGAAGTTCGGCCTTTGTCTCGACTCCCGATTTGTCTCGACTCGTCTCGACTCGGGAAGTGAGACTCTGTACGGCTGTGTCAGACTGAAGTCGGCGGAGAGGGGCAAGGTCACCCGGACAGCCGAGATTTCACTGCGCGCTTTCGAGCTACTGTGACCCAGGCCAATCGCGCGCCGCACGTGAGTCCACCTCGTCTTTATGGTACCGTCGTATCAGCAAACCGAAACGCAAGAAATGGAGAGGGTGGGTTGTACGAGAAGATTTGCTAATGGTCGTTGATCAATCTGGGACAGCGACATGCTGAGCTGGCCAGCCCGCTGGCCGATGGCTGGCATGTGCGGCACTGGAGTTGGCTAGCACCATACCTGACCGCGCCCTTGTCTCTCTTTTTTTTTGTTCCCTTATCTTTCTTTCCCTGTGGGATGTGGCTCCTCTGTACGTTCGTGGGGGTATGCTGCATAGTCTTACAGGGTTTACCTGAGCTATTATAAAGCCGACCCTCTGGCTCTCGCGCGAGCTTGCTCCCTTGCTCGCTCCGTCTCTCATTCCCACTCTTCCTCGCAGACATTATCCTCTTGATCGATTTTGCCTTCCAGAGCCATACCCAGAAATCAAAATGTCGTCCATTCCATCCTCCCCCGTCGTCAGCGAGTCAACCTTCCTGCGCTTGACGCCTGATGTCTTCGTCATGGCAACGCTGCCCACACCTTTCCTCTGCCTTGCGCCCGAGAGGTCACCATCTTACCCTCGCAAACAAACGGCCCGTCGCATGTCAACGAGCTCTGAGGATTCGTCCATCAGCAATGCGGACCATGCCATCGCTCGCAAAGTCAGTGCCTCCGCCCCTGGTTTCAAAATCCTCAAGCTGGGTCCCGTTCACTGGGGCGAGCATCTCGAGGAGCACCAGGACGACTTTCACAAGAATGAATAAATCTGTCGCACGTGCATATGATGCTACAAACACGTAATGAGAAAAATTGTCGGAGTTTTGCTCTTATTTGCGCACAGTTGGATCATGGATGAGCGTCAACAAGCATCCAGCGGAGTTAGCGACGGATGGGACACAAATTAGCATCTCTGGTTATAGTTTTCTAGTAATGAGCGATTGAAAACTAGGCTCTCTTTCTTCGTGCTTTCTCTCCTGTCTCAGCCGTCTCTGTACTGCTGGTCGGTGAAAGAACGTGCAAGTATCTCGACAAACGATTGGCACGCGTATACGTACAACTCACGAGTGGGGTTTCGCGTCTGTTGAGCCGTCCTGCCTGCCTCTGGGTAGGACAGTCTCTCACTGCCGTCTCATGGCAAAGGAGTGCCACGGCTACGATACTCTGCGTCGGTCATGTCTCAGTGTGATGTCAACAATTCCTGTCATGTTCCCATTGATTGGCATCACGGCTGGCGTCGTGGGGGAGTCCAGGCGGGGTAGCCAGCTGGTTGAACGGTTCTCATTCTCGTATCTTATATGAACAAATCAGCTTATATGGTTGCTGGAATTATTTCTACAAGACGAAGTATATATAGTTTCTCGCTGGGACGGGCTGGTTACTTTGATCGCATGGTGTCACGCTCTGCCATTAAGCCCCTCGCATAATAGAGGAGGGGCGGCAGATCGACCATGCAGGTCCATATCGATTGGGCATCGATATTAAATGACTTTAAAAACGATCGGATCGGGGCAGTACGTGGCTACGTGCTACATCCGCCTCTCTTGGAAATAATCGGCACGCTCTGGGGCTTGTGCACCCTTGCCACGGGCGAGTATGTGACCCTTTCTTCCTGCTGCACTCTGCCTTGTTGAACCGGCTGTTGTTTTTGTTGCACGTTTTGGTGCAGCTGCACAGCTGCCGTGAGTAGAATTGCTCTCGTCTTGGTCCTTGTACAAAGCCGGTGCTCAGATCTGGAACTGGGCGGGCGAACCCAGTCCAACAGTAGGCAAGGCTCCTCGTCCTCGTCTCGTAGCGTCGACCAATACCTGACGTGCATCGCCCGCAGGCATAGCTCAGACTTGATAAAGCCCTCAGCAAGCGACATGGCGGGTCAATGACTTGCGACTATTGTCGAACTCTGGCAGCTGTAGACGTTGCTTCGAGACTCAAAGACATGTTTGGATGAATATCAGTGCCAGTTCAGATGCATTGGCGTCATCTCCCGCCATGCTCGATTGTCCATCACCTGACAAGTTGCCTGCCTCTCAAACCACCTCGCCGTCCTGTCCAGCGCCTGCCTGCAGCACATCTTGCCACCGCACCTCCACCCACTTGCGCGACTGCGGATCCTCTTCTCCAGAGTCTTTGTCGTGATAACGACACCAGCCGAGGCTATGCCTCCTCTGGATGAACAACCTTCCGCTCCTTAGATCCGGATCCGCCAGTAAGTGCAGCAGCGCGCGCAGCGGGCCGCCCTCCTCCATCCTCCTCTGGTTCAGCACCACAAAGTGCCGCGCGGAGACGTCCGTGTGGATGTACACGTCCACGCGCTCCAGGCTGCCGTGTAGAATGAGCGAGGTCAGGACGGGCACAATGTCATCCGTCATCCACCCGCGCAGCCTATCGACGGTGAGGGACAGCCAGCGGACCTTGTCGAGGGCGTCGGTGGAGCCGCACAGGAGGTCCCGCGCGATAAAGGTGCGCTTGACGGAGGCGTACTTGGGTCCGCTGGTGTCGAGGTAGAACTCCTGGTCGGGGGCGTAGAGGAGCGAAACGCCCAGCGAGTACAGCAGCGGGTGGGCAAGGAGGACGGACAAGACAAAGGAGGGCACGACGTAGGTGGGCGGCGCGGGTAGGGAGATGATGGGTATTGAGGATGGCGGCTCAGGCTGGAGGAGCGGTCTGAGAATCTGGGATAGGATCTCGGGTGGTAGGTCGAAGAGGTGAAGAGGATGGTGTGCCTGGGACATGATGTCGCTTGTCAAGACAATCACGAGTTTTCGAGCGAGTGATTCATCAAAGAGAACGCTCATGTGACGAGGTGGGGTAGAAGGGTGAGCTGACACATCAGACTTCACTTCACAGAGCTCTCATATAAAAAGGAATTCTTCCAGTCCATTCAACATCATCTATGCTAATTCAGTTCCTCCGCATCGCCGGTGGACCATGTTCCGGCCCTGCTTCCTTTTCTCCCCTACTCTCATCTTTTTCTCCCCGCCCAGCAAACCGCCAGCGCCAGGTCGTCATGACTCATATCCGTGGTCGACATGGGCATCAAGCATTGCGTGAGACAGAGACGCAGAAATGTGGCAAGAAAGGGAATTCAAAAGGAAGATTGAAAACACTTGATTCTCGTGCTGTACCTGACCCTGACCTTTTTTCAAATCTCCTCTCCCCACACAGCATCCAGGCGTCCGCGTCAGTAGATTTCGTGAAATAATGACAAAGGGGATAATTTCATTGCTGCTCTGCGCCCCGTGGTATTTTCATTTTCTCCCAAGGCGCAAGGCACCGGGCCTGTTCTGGTCGTGCGAGAACGAGCCCAACTCCGCAAAACATAAATGACAAGCTCTCCTCAGACGTTTTTGTGTTGTGTTTTTCAGTCTATTCGTGATAGAATACAAAAAAAGAGGCCCGGGAAAACGATGCATTTATCGCGAGGACATGGCCTTGGTGACAAGGCGCTTGAGGGCGAGCTCCTGCTTCTTGAGATCCTCGGCGGTGCTGTCGGAGATCTCGAGGGCGCCCATGGCGTCGGAGATGGTGGACTCAATCTTCTCCTTCTGGCCGCGCTTGAGCTTGAGGGAGAGGGTGGGGTCCGAGACAATCTCCTCGACGCGGGAGACGTAGTTCTCGAGGGACTGCTTGGCCTCGAAACGCTTGCCAAAGGCCTCGTCGTTGGCCTTGAAGTTCTCGGCGTCATTGACCATCTTGTCAATCTCGGCCGACGAGAGCTTGCCGACCGAGTTGCTGATGGTGATGTTGGCGCTGCGGCCCGAGGTTTTCTCGGTGGCGGTGACCTTGAGGATACCGTTGACGTCGACCTCGAACACACACTCGAGGACAGCCTCGCCGGCGCGCATGGGGGGGATGGGCGCGAGGGTGAACTCACCCAGGGAGGTGTTGTCCTCGCAGTTGACACGCTCACCCTGGTAGACGGGGAACTGGACGGTCTGCTGGTTGTCGGCGACGGTGGTGAAGGTCCTCTTCTTCAGGCATGGAACGGTGTTGCCACGGGGCACGACGGGGGCGAAGATGTTGCCCTCCATGGCGACACCCAGGGACAGGGGGCACACGTCGAGGAGGAGGAGGTCCGAGGTCTCGGCCGAGGTGGCCTTGCCGGAGAGGATACCGGCCTGGACGGCGGCACCGTAGGCGACGGCCTCGTCAGGGTTGATGCTCTTCTCGAGCTTCTTGCCGTCAAAAAACTCGGACAGGAGCTTCTGGATGCGGGGGATACGGGTGGAGCCACCGACGAGGACGACCTCGTCGACAGCCGACTTCTCGACACCCGAGTCCTTAAGGACCTGGGCGACAGGCTCGAGGGTGCCGGAGAAGGCCTTGGCGTTGAGCTCCTCGAAGCGGGCACGGGTGATGGTCATAGTGAAGTCCTCGCCCTCGAAGAGAGAGTCGATCTCAATGGTGGCCTGGGCACCGCTGGACAGGGTACGCTTGGCACGCTCGCAAGCGGTACGGAGACGGCGGAGGGCGCGGGCGTCGCCAGTGATGTCTGTTCTGAGTTTAGCTAGTGTTCGCAATGTGGATCTGGCTTGCTTGGTGCTGTTTGAAAGAGGACAGGAAACGACAGGTGTAATTGCAGGGTTCACAATGGTAGTCTTTGTCTCCCATTTCAACTTTCTTAAGATGCCGCTTGGTCTTAAGGTGATTGTTGAGCTCTTGTATGTAGGGAAATTTGAGGCTGCATAGATCGCAGATATCCTTTCTCTCCCCATTCGGCTTTTTTGAGATGGGTGCGTGTCTCGTGCTTTTCATGATCCGATTTGCATTTGAATGCCTGATCACCGATGATACAGTAGTGTTTCTTGTTGTCCATGTCGTTCTTCTTTCTAGCGTTGGCTTTGTCCTTGGTGCGGACCCAGTATTGACGGTTGGGTTCTTGTGACGCTTTCTTGGGGGGGGGGTTCTTTTTGCGATACTCCTTATTCAAATCCTGGCGCTTCTTTTTGGTTGCAGCTGCAATCTCAAGTAGCTGCTCTTTGGTGAAGTTGAGATCGTTATTCCCGTCCTTCGGTTGTGCCATGAGCGGATTGTGCGAACATAGTCCATCCCATCCCAAATCTGGTGCATGCCATGGGCGTACATGAGCGAGGCCGTAGGAGAGTTCTCGAGAGCGCATTGCAAAGAACAGGCCTGAGAAGAATGCTTCAACCCAGATGAGGGTTCGCACTTTGGGAAAGTCTTCTGGCTTTGGGATTGGACACCATGCCACCACGGTCGAGTGTACGAGCGTCCATCAGTCATCCACAGCCTCTTTGACATACTTTGGAGTTGCCTTGCCTTTTTCGTGTTCGTAGATCCTTGCACGAACACCCTGTGCGGCTCGGCATGAACATCCAACGCAGATATTTGGGAGATGACCAGGTTTCTGAAAGAGCGTATAGACCGCCCAGGAATTGACAGGGATGAAGGATGACAAGTTGAGAATCCAGGAAACCGTAGGAGGAGAGCTTTACTGGATAGTATCCAGAAGACCAGGGAGAGAAAAAAACATTTGCCATGGAGAGTACAGCAAAAAGATCCTCGTACGCAGGAAAGACAGTATAGTAGCGGGAACTGACTGTCGACAAGCCGGACAAGAGAGACCAGCAGGCAGAAAAAAACGGCTTGGACAAGAATCGGACCGGTTGTACGGACGTGTTCCACGATCAGGCAGGAAAGCTGAGGACAGTGTGTGTATCGCGGGAGCCTCTAGACAGAGAAGTGGAGGGTGGTAGAACGACGGAGGAGGCTGGGACTGGGGCGCCATTTTTATTCCTCATGGGACTTCCCATGCCATAAAGCAGAATGAGCGGGTGGTTGAAGCAGAAAGTGGGAATGGGTGTTGGGGGAAGGTGCGGGTGGTGAGAGAACTGAGCAAGTCCGAGGGTGTCCGGGGTATAGGAGGCACGGGGCTCCACGACGTACCTTTCTTCGTTTGGCGAGTGAAATTTTTCTTGCAAAAATCAAGGAGGTTTGTGTCGAAGTCCTGTCCACCCAAGTGAGTATCACCGGCAGTAGCCTTGACGGTGAAGACGCCACCCTGGATGTTGAGCAGGGAGACATCGAAGGTACCACCACCAAGATCGTAGATCAGGACGTTACGCTCCTTCTCGGACTTGTTGGAGCCGAGACCGTAGGCAATGGCGGCAGCAGTGGGCTCGTTGATGATACGGAGGACGTTGAGGCCAGAGATGGCACCGGCGTCCTTGGTGGCCTGGCGCTGGTTGTCGTTGAAGTAGGCCGGGACGGTGATAACGGCCTTCTCCACCTTCTTGCCGAGCTTGGTCTCAGCAATCTCCTTCATCTATGGGGTGTTAGCTGTGTCTAGTAGAGGCATCAGTAAAAGAATAACTTGCCTTGACCAGGACCATGGCGGAGATCTCCTGGGCGGAGAAGCTCTTCTTCTCGCCGAGGTACTCGACTTCGATCTTGGGGCTGCCGTTGTCATCGATAATCGTGAAGGGCCACGACTCAATATCCTTCTTGACAGTTGGGTCATCGAACCGACGTCCGATCAGACGCCTAATCGTTGTTAGACGGTTGATCCATGCGGTGAAAAGTTCGGCAAAACTCACTTGGCATCGAAGACGGTGTTCTTGGGGTTCATGGCGGCATTGTTCTTGGCAGCCTCACCGATCAGACGCTCCTTGTCGGTGAAGGAGACGAAAGAAGGGGTGGTGAAAGAACCCTGCTCGTTGGCAATGATCTCGACATTGGTACCCTCGTACGTGGCAACGCAGGAGTAGGTGGTACCTGGAAGTGACCGTCAGCGTATTGCCTTTTGACATTGGGCGCATCCGCATCGCAGCTCTCGTTTCAAATCGACACTTCGAAAAATTGTTGTCCCGAGCAGAGTTGTGGCCCATCAGGGTCTGTATCACCCCGCAGCGAGCGCAACAAACTCTCACTTTTGTGTATTGAGAGCGACGCAGCGATGCTGGGAGTTGAACTTACCCAGATCAATGCCAATGGCACCGTCGTACACTTCGTCCGCCATTTTGAATGTGTCTGAAGTATAAAGGGGGAAAGAAAGAGGTAGTTGTTTGATGGAGGAGGGTGGAAGGGGAGGTTTCGAGGAGAAAAGGCGAAGGGTTTTCGGACTGTACGTGGGGTCGAGTTGAAAATTCACGTCGCCCACTATTTTTTTGGGACTGTGAGTGCGCCAGTGTGAGTGTGGTTAGTTTTTTTCTCGCTCGCTGTGGAGCCGTGTGACTCGTGAGTCGCTAGTCCTATTCGGGCACTAGCGCACTTCCGTGCTTCACGCCTCACCGCCCAGCAGCACTTCACCAGTTCACCACGAAACAATGTCGACTCTTGAGCTATGAAACAGATAACGAACTACCTTGCCATCATTACTTCCTTTCGTGCGGCTCGAGGCCAAGACTCCGCGCCTCAGACGCCACCAACGACCCAACCGTCTCCCTCAGCGACACACCCTTGGCCTCCCAGCCCAGATACGTGGGCGCGCGCACCGTGATGCCCTTCGAGTTCCGACCCCAGGACGACGTCGTCTTGCCCTCCATCATGTCGACCTCCTTCTGCGAGACCGACTTGGTCAGCGGCTCCGGCAGGAAGCCCTGCTTGCTCGCCGCGTCGGCTATCCACCTGGCCAGGTCGGACCACCTGTGCGAGCCGCCGCCTGCAAAGTAATACGCGTGTAGGCCAAACACCTCGGTGTTGCTGCGCTGGGCGGGCTCCTGTGTCGCAGCCGCGAGCTTGACGTACAGGTCGCCGAGGTCGTCCACATGCACATTGTCCCACTCGGTCAGGCCCTTGCCGACAATGGGGGCAAACCCCTTTTGCAGGGTGCCGCGCGCCAGCTCGGGCGCCTGCAGGCTGCGGGTGTTGACCTTGCCAGAGCCCTCGCCGTAGATGGTGGGTGGGCAGAGCACGGCGATCCGCACGGCGTCCGAGTTGGCGGCCAGGACGATCTTGTCGACGTTGCGGTGGTCCGCCTCGTCGGGTAGGTTCAGGATCTTGCCAATGTCGTCAATGTCGTGGTATTTCTGCTCTGGGAGGGGCGCTTCGCCGGAGCGCTCCGCCTTGCAGTCGTACCAGGTGAGAATGCTCGTGCCGGACGTATGGAGCCAGAAGCCGGGCTTCTCGGCCGAGTGGCCAGCAGCAAGACCCTTGGCGATGGCTTGGGCGCCATTGACGTTGTCGGAAGAGTCCGCGGTGTCTGGTCCAGCAGTTAGTCGTGCTCGGTGTCTCTTGTCGTGGGGAAAGGATACGCACGAACGACAATGTCGGCTTCTGCGGCTGCCTTTTCAATCACGTCCGAGTCGTCGAGGCTCCCGTAGACAAATGTAGTGTCTGGGTAAGCATCCTTGATCGGCCTTGCGCGCTCCTCGTTGCGCACAAGCAGGACGAAGCGGGCGTCTGGGAAAGCTTTGGCCAGGTGAGCATGCGCAGAGCCTCCAATGTAGCCTGGAACGAATTGTTAGCAGTTATGCAGTTGTCGTATGTCGTTGCCGTACCCGTGGCGCCGGTGCTGTGCCCCTTGTTAGTTTGCGCTCTGAGGGGAGGGGCAGGTCTCGCTCACAGAAAGATGCTAGGGGACATGTTATTTCGAAAAGTCTTTGTGAATTCCTCTGTTGCATTCAGTTGAGAGCTTGACTATGAATCGGGAATCAGATGGCTTCCCCCATTCATTGATACCTTTTTCGAAGACGTATGTCGCATCTGCCGACTGTGGGGTCGCACGCAATGTCGACGCCATGACGTTCACAGCACAGCAAACCTTGGACGTCCATCCTTCTCTTCACTTATTCAGCCGGATACATTTGGTATTACAAACACAATATGCTACCTCTTCCAAGGCATTACTTTTCTGGGCCCAGGGGGCTTTCCTATGTGACAAGTTGGACGCAAGTAGCAAATAGGCGGTGCTTTCGGAATCCAAATACCGGGGAGCAAGCTTCAACGTCTGTTGACTGCAAGGTACCCACGAGCCTCGGCTTCTTCACCGAGTCCTCACAAGAGGCTCCTTTCTCTCCAACAGGACATGAGAGATATTATCTTCTATTTTCGTCTCCTTTCTATTAGAAAATGTAACCCAACGCCTAGCAATGCTGCGCCGCCCACAAAAGCCAACGCCCATGAACATGAAGCCATCAATCGCTCTCAACGAAAGCCTTCGCTCTCATACCTCTCCCACGCCCCCCCTCCCGTCTGCTCCCCCCTTTCCTCGCAGAAGCGCTCCAGGTCAGCCTCCATGTCGCCGAGCCTGAGTTCCTCTTTCCCGACCCAGTGGTCAATCACGTCGGCAATCATCCTGAACGCCTCGCCGTGACCACCCGCCTCGAGGCCACACATGACAAACAGAAAGGAGTGAATCATCTCGTGCAAGAACGTGGCGATCAGGAGCCTGCGGTTGTAGCGCGTGTCCCTGAGGATGGGACTCGACAGCACGATGAGCGTCTCGTAGCCTCCCAGCAGCTGCGAGTGGCGCAGGGCCGTCGTGCCGACAATGTGCGACGTGTACTGCTCCGACGACGTCGTCGACCAGTCCCACGTGACCCGTCGACTCAGCCGGTTGGCGAAGAAGAGTGTGTTGGCCGTGTGGAAGAGGCTCTCCAGGGCCTTGTTGTCCAGCGGGAAGCTCGAGTGCGGATGGATGAGGGAGTGCAGGATCCGTGAGGGCTGGGAGTCGCGACGGGAGAGGAGGGTGTGTTTCTGCACCATGTGCGCGGCCTGCAGCTCATTCAACAAGGGCCGTGTCGTGTCTCTGAGCGTATCTGCGTTGGAGATGGACAGGCCAGAGGCGGTGCGCTCCATCGGCTGAGGACATGGTGAGCGGTAGCGTGGAGGGGTGCCCTCGCGTGGGATGGGTGGCGGTGTGCCCTCGCGTATCACGAGGAAAGCGAGGTTCTTGATGGAGACAGAGTCGCCATTTGTGCGCAGCCGTTTAGGTGAGTCGGATCGCTGCTGCAGTTCATGGTGATGGTGGTGGTGATAGTGGTGATGGTGGTGTTGGTGGCGGTGGACGACTCGTCTCTTTGCGCCGTGGACGTATGTTTCCTCTTCAGCACTGTGGTGGCCCGAGTCGCAGGGGTGGTGGGCCTCGTCAGGCGGAGTGCCGCCGCCCACGACCCAAAAGGCCATGGAACATGCTCGATCTGGTCCCAGAGAGAATGTCAAGATGGGATGGAAAGGGAAGAAACCGCCGTTGGGCGACTGGACGTGGGCAGTATCAGCTTTCCAGCGTGGGCGGCACGCACGGATGGGCAGGGATGGTGACTCGGAAAGCGGTAAACGTCCTGATGCCACGAGCTGTAAGTTCAAGTCGTCGCTCCTGCGTCTTTGACCAGACTGCTGGGGCCTAATGATGTATAAAGTCTTCGGTTATTACAGAGAGAGGACGGAGAAGAAGTAGAGGCGACATAGCCAAGCCATGAGGAGAAGACTGGAGTGGGTGTGCCACCGGGCTGGCTGCCCAGGCTAACCTTGCATAGCGACACTTGACGACAGCCTCACTCGCTAGACGTAGCCAAGGCACGGCAATGATTCGACCACGGATCTTGCTCAGCAGGAATGGAAACAGCATCGGCAATCTGCAGAGGACAGGACAGGACGAGACGACGATGGGAGGCTGGAGCAGGTGGGTTTCCGGTGTCTGCGCGCGCGTGCAGCCCAATCCAGCGGTGTACTATCATCATAAATTATGTACAGGAGCTGTCCGTGCAGCATGCACTGCGCTGCTGGTCTCGTGTCGTGTGTTTGTTGGCAGGCAGGGCGAGACTGGCGTGGTCTCCTGTCCACGATAAATGGAGCCCGGATCGTCGACGCCAAAGATGAGAGACCAAACATTCGACGGGAAAGTTCCTCGGGCATTCTCCCTTGTCCGCGCGCTCAATCGACCCTCTGTCGATCGACCAGACAGGTGGCAATGCCTTGCCCTCTGAGTCGATCGCGGGGTCTGACTTTCGGCACACCTTGTCGCGGCCGTAAAATGTTGACACGTACTTGTAATTACTTTTTGGCACACGATTCAGTATAGAGCCGCAGATTGTCGGATCGCCCAGTCTGAATAGTGCAGTGGTGGTCGTGGGTGGGTCGTTGTCAATTGGCGATGGCTTCATTGGCTTTGGGCACTGCATCGGTTTCACTCATTGGCCGCCTCATGTTCACGCATAACATCCACAGTCTACCTTATATACCGATTAACACTTATCATATACCGATTCCCTTTTGTTCTCGCGCTGCTTCTTTTATCCCGCTGATGGACTCCTGGCCCCAAGTCAAATGGTCCAAACCGCTCCGTCGCTGTGTGTAAAGTCAATCATGTCTCTCCCAGACTGGCCTGCTACTCCATTTCACCACATCCCAAACGATTCAGCACTACCCAAGCCGAGGGCACTCATGAACCGAGCGTCGTTGGCGTCTCGCCGAAGTGCCTCGCCCATCTTCTCTCTAAATGCGTGATCAGCCTCGTCGCTCTCGGTGGCACTTTCTGGAAGAAAGTCTCGCTCGGTGTACAGCGGGCTGGACGTGAAGCTGACCAAGCCCAGTCTTTCACCGGTCCAGAATAGTATGTTGTCGTCGTTTGGTAGTGACTTGCCACCCTCTGTTCTCGTGGAGATGATCTTTCGGGCCACATCGTCTAGCTGAGGCTCGGCAGCGAACAGCGTGCCCTTGCCTTCCGTCTCGCTGTGTCCGATGCGCAAGCGGCGGCACTCAGTCGTACCGTCTCTCTCGAACCACTTGAGCAGCCCTGACCCGTCAGAGAAGACGATCCTCGTCCCCTGCGTCGCAACCGAGAGGATGGGCGCCGACGCCGCGGTGTAGCGATTCTTCACTGTCGAATTCTGTTGCAAAGTCGCGCCGCTGTCGGAGCCTGGCACCCCGGGCGACATGCCATATATCTCCAGACTGCCCTTGTTCTGGTATCCGCCGCCCGCGATCAGCGTGCTTCCCTCCTGTTCCTTCATGCCGGCCACCACCTCGCTGCTCGCCTCAGCGCCTCGCCTAACTTCATGGTGCAGGGCTGAGAAGTGGTAGGGCAGGGCTGCCAGACTATTGATGCTTGCACCAGACCAGTTCGACCTCAGCACCGGAAACTTGCGCAGGTCGTAGTGCAGTATGCTCCTGAAACGCCCCGACACAAAGACGTCATCGGTCAGGACATTGCCGCGTGGGATGAAAATGGCACTCGTCGGTGTGGGCTGCGATAGGGACGCATATGGCGGTAATGGATTCGGGTCAAATATCCCCGATCCCGGACCTGGTGCGCGGAAATCGTGTAGATGCACGCCCAGGGACGTCCCGACGACCAGAGGCTTGTTCGGATGCACCGCCGACATTGTGTTGATGGAGAACTCAAACTTACTGCGGCTCACGACTTGCAACCGGTTCAGATCCACCTCGATTAGGTCTGCGCGCAGGTTAGCGAGGCATTGTCCATTCGAGCCGAGGTTTGCCTACTATTCTGTATCGCAATGTACGCCTTATGATGCGTGTTATCGACCACAACCCTATCCGCAATGCTCGAGTCGATCTTTTCAGCCCGAGCTCGTCCGCATTGACCCGCAGTCGACTCTGAGTAGAGCATCTCCGGCGCACCCCTTGCCAGAATCGCCCCTTTCCGCCCTCGAGTCCCGTTGATGTCCCACAGGCACATCGAGCCATCGTCCAGAGGCGCGACTGCCAGCTTTGTCCCGATCCCGTCCGACCCGTCATACGGCGCGTACATGGCCACTCCTCGGGCCTCGATGATGGCCTCGAGACCTCGATCGCTCAGGTGCGGTGCCTCGAGCCAGTTGACACTCGCCGGACCCTCTCGTTGTATGTATTCATTGTACCAGGACAGCTTTTCGCCAGGGTAGGAAGGATCCCAGTTCGCCATATCCTGCAAGCGCTGGGCTCGCTGCGTCTGTTGGCGTTGTGCACCCGTCGGAAGCCCGTTGGCGGGCTCATCCTCGTCGTCTACATGCGCATCCTCGTCGGGCGCATAGGCCCTCGCCGCCGCCACGCGACGATTCGCCAACTGTTGGCGCCATGCTGACTCGTCAAAGCAGAGCGTCTTCCATAAATCGTCGTCGAGGCAGATTTGCTGCAGAGACCGGGAGGCTTGCTGCAGCTTGGCTAGTTCGTATGGTTCGAGGTCTTCACACAGAGTCAGCTGGCTGTGGTTTGGGTACAGTGTGTTCAATGCGGTTTCGTACAGCGAATGATTTGCAGGACTAGTTCGTCCGGCAGAGCCTCAAAGGCAGACGTCTCTGTTGAGTGCACAGCCATGGCGTACCGCCCGGCGACAGTTGCAATGGTAACCTACCTATGTAGAAGAAGCCCGTCGACGTCGTTCCACGGGCATGATACATACCAAGAAAATAAAGCCGATCTACTCGTCCAACAGCCCCCGACGTTCATAGGAATTTGTCAGCGGGCGGGCATTGACGAAGTGATCACTGATTCTTTATAGGTTGCTCAAGGGAGTGTTCAGTGTTGAAGGAACTGCGACGCGGTGGGGTCAACTTGACCAAGTGCATCTGCAGGGTTCCGCGCACCTCCACTGTCCAGGTCCTACGCCTCTGTTTCGCAGTCTCGAAACGATGGATACTTCCCCTCACCGGATCCAGTCTGTCGTTTCCAGTTTGTGTTGGCGGGGTTGATGTGTCTGGACGAGGGTAGCTCTGGAATGAGTGATGGTGATGAAAGCAGTTGATGTATTGTAAAGCAAAGCGTCAGCCCGAGATCTCATGACCTGACCTGCAAAACCCTGCAGAGAAAGAGGTGCGCGGGATGCAAAAGTGCACAAGGTATGTTTACGGATAGAAGACGGTGATTAATTAATACTTCAGGTGCTCTTGGGATTCTTTCGATACGTATCACAAAATCGCAGGTTGAAGGTGCGGAGCCCAATCGCCGATCACTCTATCCGCACTCAGCGCTGTGGGGCTGCTCAGGTACATGCCAACCGATTGGTCAACCTCTGGTGGTCTCCGATAGCGCGCCAACATCCAGAGGACCTCGATGCGTGATGCTCAATGGTGAACAGCAACCGTGTTTGTCAACAACAAGAAGCAAACAAGCCCCTCCCATTAACCTAACGAAATTCCGAGCCAAGAGTCGACATGAAGATCTCTCGAAGACTCCAAGGCTCAAGAATTCTCAGATGGTGCTCACCTTTTGATCGCCAAATTGGCTCACATCAGGCCAGGTGACCATGGTGAGAACCAGGTAGAGAGACAACAACATCAGACGAAGGTCCTCTGCCCCAGACAGAGCAAGTACTACCCTCTGTCGCTTGCACAAATTTTCTCAGTTGGCCACAGACTTCCTGGACGCCGCCAACATACAGTCGCGTCTTTACGCCCAGTCCTCTTTCACACAAATAAACACCAGCTGCCCGTCTAGCTTCGCATCCACATCCTCACAAGGCCCGAGACACCTAAGCTTTAATTTCAAGTCTGTGACTCCTGCCCCGCTGAAAGGATCATGATCCGCATCGAAGCGGTGAGTACAACGTCCAAGGCAGTTGATATCTCTCACTGACTATGCCACAAGCTCTCCTCTCACCAACTAAAGCCGGACACCGGTACCAAAGAGGGCGGAGATGGGCATGTTACCCAACCACCCCATATGGTGTCTAATCGCGGACTGCCAGGCCGGCCTCGTTCCATCGGGCCAGATTTCAGCAGCCGATGGAGATCCAACTCGCGTCTGGACGACGACAATGCTGTGTCCGAGTGGGAGACAGTCGCAGGCGGCGACGAGCAAGAAGACCGTCAACCGGACCTGGACAGGCAGCTGAAGCGCAAAAGAAACTTTGAACCCGTCTCCCACGGGCAGGATATTCTCCATCCGCCTCTACCGTGTAGCGCGTCAATCACGCGCCGATATACTGTGTTGGGACCGCCTCACAGCGCCTTGTCGAAGCTGCCCACGGGGAGATCCAGGGCACAACCGCCTGGGAGCACGTCTTTCCGCTCATACTCAAGCCTCGACACCGACACTTTCCAGGAGGCAGTCACTGGTTCTCGATACGTGTCTCCCAATGTCTTGTCATTGAGGCCTTGGCGGCGTCATGAGAAGCTGTTGCCATCGAACGCGGATACAGATGCCTGCAGCGACCTCAAGGGCTCTGGCAGAATATCCGACAGCATCGGCGGCAACCCTTTCGAATATGACGCCGTTTTCTACTCGACCTTTCTGCAGCCAGCAGCCGAGAAAGAGGTGAGCGGCGCCCTCTGTCGAGTTGGTGATAGCTATCCGGAGCGTCCTTTGCTATCAGCACCGCAAGAGACCTTACGGCTTCCCGCGGGGCATCGCCAGTACCGGTTTGGTTCACAGTTCTATGACCCAGCAGCGGTTCGCTCAACTTAGAAAGTTGACAATGATGTCAAAGTCCCCGTGAACACAAAAACATCAACGCCCTCGGACCCCGAGCCACAGCCGTCTCGTCGCTTGAGCGGAGACATCGCGACCTTGGCCCGCTCCACGACTGATCACGCCATGGATGGTGACTGGCAGACGGTCACGGAAGATTGCAGGCTCGGTCCGTCAATGGGCTTGAACGAGCTCGGCATCAAAGGCACAGGAAGCAGCCTGGCTGACTTGTCAGACGGCGCCTCCTTTCAACACAACCACTTCCCGAACAGATCAACTGACCGCATCATCCAGCACCCACAGCCTCATGGTGCCAATGCGTGTTATCACGTCCGCACGGACAAGCATACACACCGACCTGTCCTGCTTCCTGACTTCAGAAACAATGACCTGCCAGCTTTGGGACCTGTACAGAACTCGTCGCGCAAGGCATCGCGCCCTGCATCTCGCGCAGCCGCTGCCATTCGCCGCTTCTCAAACTCACTGCGTCGCGAGCTCACGCCCGAGCCAATGTCATTGAGCCCCAAGTATATCGAAATGGACAGATTCGGTGATGATCATGCCAGTGTGGAAGCGGAACAAGAGGTCGTCCGGGTCGAAGAGAATCAGACAACTGGTGAGCAGTTTCGATTCAGGGGGTCTCAAATCATTGAGAGCTTCGCCCGTGATCCGTCGACGCCAAATTTGATCGTCTTCGACAAAGCTTGCCACGGGGCTGCCAATGCTGGGGAGACTCACCCACGTGGTCAGTCACACGTACTTTATGAGGAGTTCATCACCGGCATTCCTCGTCTGCCATTCCCTCTGGTCAGCTTGCCTGAAGCTGCATTGCTGCAGCACTTTCGCAGAGAACGTGGTGAGGAAGACCACACAGAGAATGGCAGCTCATTCTCAGCCAAGGCCAGGTCTGTCACTCTGAGTTCTCTGGCGTCGTCACAGCCCTTGACGCCTCAATCTCCGTTCTTCGATTATCGCGAAGCACTGAAACGAGGTTCGCTGCCGTTCCCTGCGACAACATTGCCACCATCGCGGTTGCGCGATACCAGTCGGTGGACTGCCTGTGAGTGCACCTCGTCACGCAGCTTCCCTTTGAGCTTAAATAACGGATGTGCAGCAACTAACGATGGCACTGAGATGCCTGAAGTCTCGCCCGCCCGCTTCAGAAGCGTGAACACGAATCCCGCAGCGCCCCATACGCCGTGCAAGCCGTGGTACAAGAGTGGTTCATGCGACAGCTGGGCCATTTTGGGCGACAGGTTGCCCATCCTTCACTCTCGCCCCATGGCAGCCGGGGACAAAATAGCCTATGACCATGCCGTACCCGGACACAGACCAACATTCCACCATGCTGACGCCATGGATACGGCAAGGGAGCATATGATGCTGCGTCGTCGATCCTCCGCCGAGGCCCAGCGTCGTGAGGAAGCCATCTTCCTCGGTGTAGTTGCGCTGACAGCCTGCTTTCCACCCATCGGTATCTTGGCCTTGAGCGCCCAGTTCGACGCGACGATTTCGTGGTTCACACACGGTGAGCTCCACAAGCTTTCTCGTGCCCAGAGACGCGTCCTCCAGCAGCTGCTTCTAGCCGTGTGCTTGATATACCCGACACTGGTCATATCTCTGTCCGTCTACTTTACTGTGTCCAGGTGACAGGTTTCTGAGAAATGCGGCTTCTACTGTTTGGACGGGTTGGTTCGGGGCGCTCGGATGCCAGCTTCATAGTCAAGCGTGGCGCGCGAGGGTAGTTGAAATGGAACGGTGTAATATTTGGTCGGCTATGATTGTATCCATCACTATGAGGAGGAAGTCTGTTGGCTGGGCAAAGAAGGACACTGATCCCATCTTGTCACTTCTGATCTACCTTAGATACTGAATTACGCATAACGTAGTGTCACTCTACTTCTGAGATCCGGAACCGTTTCCCGAAGACTGTCCGCTTGGGGGGTTGTACACAGAGCCACCTTGGCCATCGTTGTAGTAGGTCGAACCGTTCGGATTGGAATAGTAGTAAGATCCATCCCTAGGAGATGTCAATGCCTACAGAAAGAGGAACGGGTGCTCATCGACTTACGTGTTGGAGTAGTGGTACGAGTTGGAGTTGGAGGCGCTGGAACCGTAGTCACGAGCGCAGTAGTGGTTGCCCTGGCAGCGGTCAGTACATGATGGTTTGCGTATATGCAGCTAGCTGGATGGAGCACTTGCCTGGCTGTTGGTGCCGGAGCTCTTGTAGTCGTAGTTGTCAGGCATGGCGAAGTGGTGGCTTTTTGGACGAGTGCTGCTCTGTGAAAAAATTGGTAAGAAGTGGAATGAAGGGCGAAGATCCAGATGGGAAATCACCTTACTTTAAGTACTTATTACACTGTTACACAGAGTGAGGGCATGGAATTACCAGCCTTTCCGGGCGGGGTAGACGGGAGCAAGGGTCGATTCTTGGTTTAAGGTACCGTCTTCTGGTAGTAGCGCGCTTCAAGGGTTGCCGAGATGAGGCTGGGAGATAACGATGGCGGACAGCCGCCGGTCACGGACACGGGCAAATGTAGATCACGTATTAGACGTCAGGAACAGCATCGTGTGGAGGCAAAGGTCATTGCTCGATCATGACATTATCAATTCACACCGACATCTACTGGAGTCTCCCATATACAAAGTGTGACTTCGAGTCATGCTGCCACCAGGGCCTCCCCAACCCGGCGAAGGAAGTATACGGCTATCAACAAGAAAACGCCGACCGCATGCGTACATGTATGCCAAAGAATAACGTCCGTTGTTGGGGTTTGCTACACCGGCAGGCCGGTCAAACTACTCCCACAAGACGTGCCCAAGGTGAAAATAAACAAGAAAGATATAACACTCCTCGGCCTCTGACGAGGGAGCAAGCGGAGAAGCAAAAGGATGCTCGTGGCTATATGCACGGTTCCGTGGGTATCGAGTGTTGCGCCTTGTCCGGCGGCCTGTGCGCGGACTTGAGGGTTCGTGTTGTAAAGGAACAATGCTTGCGGAAAGCACAAATGCAATGCGAATCAGATCACCACGGACTGGACAGTACGGTTTCAGCGTAGTGGTGGAGCGACGCGGCGCCCCAACTTAGTAGGCGTAGTGGTCATTGATCTTGAGATCCTCGCCTCGGCCATCTTGAGGCAGGGAGTAGCCGTTGGTATCGCCCTGGTTCATGGCGCCGTAGCCCGAACCGCTGTGGCCTCTGCTGGCGTGAGGCTCTACGGATTCCCGAGGTGAGCTGATCGGGCTATAGGCGGATGACCCGGCGCTGGCGCGCATGCCGCCCAAGCCATTGAATGCGGGAGGCGGAGGGAGGGTTTCTTGCGTGTTTGGCATGTGAGAGGTGCTGCCTGGGGACAAGAATCCGCTCAATTCAACGGGGGTGATGCTACCATCGTCCTCCTCCTCTAGTTCTTCGGCGGGTGTCGGGCGAATCTTGGCGGCACGGAGCAGCTCGACAACGGCAGCAGTGAGATGAGACGCCGCCGCGTCGAGTAGCGATACGGGCGATAGACCAGCGCCCGCGGCATGGTTCTTCGAAGACGTGATGACATGGTTGGCGGCAGCTGACACCTTTGCCTTGAGCTTCGGCTTCTGCTGCGCAAACGCCTCGTCGGTGGGTGTGCCTTCGTCCACGTCCTTTGTAATGCGTCGCACGTTGACCACAACCGACTTCATGGCGTCAATCACCAGCTCAGGGCGGTCAAGGCGCGCCTTCTGCAGAAGCTCGTCCACCGCGATCTGGAACTTGGTGACGTGAATATCCTTGATCAGACCGTTCTCTTGCGTGAATACTCCGTGGTTGACCATGTGGCCAGCTTCCTGATCAACGGTAAGGCCAATCGAGGGGGCCCGCATGCTGCGCAGCTGCGTTTTGGTGCGCGTATACTGGCCCTTCCATTGCACGACCTCGGTCTCCAGCTGGGCCACCGTTTGCTCAAGCTCCAGTTGCTTCTCGTAGGTCGACATGCTCTGCTGTGACAATGTGCGCATCTCTTGCATGAATGCCTGGGCCTCTCTCCGCACCTCGTCGGTCACCTGTCGCTGTTCCAGCAGCGACTCTCGGAGTGTCCTGTTCTCTTCTTGCAGCTCCATGTCCGCATTACCGACATCACCCCTTTGCTGCAGCTCCGCCAGTTGGTCGCGCAGTTGGCGAGTCTCCTCGTCGTGGTCCTGGTGGAGTCGGCCAATTTCTTGCTTCATCTCCTCGTCGTGGGCCTGGCGCAATTGGCGGGACTCCTCATCGTGGTCCTGGCGCAGTCGGCCAATCTCTTGCCTCATCTCCTCGTCGTGGTCCTGGCGCAGTCGGCCAATCTCTTGCCTCATCTCCTCGTCGTGATCAAGACGCATTCGTTCGAGCTCTTGCCTCATCTCATCATTCAAAGCCTGCGCATCCGTCACCTGGCTTTCCAAAGCGGCCCGAGCATCGTCCCATTCCTTCTTCTGCTCGTTTGAGACTTGCTGATCCAATGCTGTGCGAAGCTCGTCCTCTTTCTGTTTCATGGCTCCTTCCATGCCTTCCAGCTTGTCGCGCAACTCTTTGACTTGTGATTGGTACTCATCAATAAGTTTCTTGTCAGTCTGCGAACGTCTGATTAGTGTTGATCCCGTAGTTCCAAGCTTTTTAACGCACCTCTGAGCCACCCGCACTGCGCTTGCTCTCTCTGTTACTGCCGAGGGCGTAGGAGTCACCATCGTCATCATCATCATCTTCAACCATTGTGCTCTTGTTGGGCACAATTGTGTTGTTCTGGTTTAGCTGCTTCTGCATAGGGTGTCCGAAGCCTTGCGGCCCATTCGGACCAGGTGATGGTGGAACTCCATAATTGTCGGATGGCGGCGGGCCACGCAGTGACCCAGCATCAGAAGGCTGTCGCATGCGAGGCCCTCGTGGGCCCTGGCCTGGTCCTTGTCCTGGGCCTGGGCCTGGGCCAGGTCCGTAGCCACTAGATGGGGTCCCTGTCCTGCCAGGAGGTCCGCGCATGGATATTGAGCTGACCCCTCGCGGGATCTCTGCGCCAACGAAACGAGGAAATCGTCTTTCAAGCTCGTGAAAGACATCTGTAGCGAGGTCCCTGAATCGAGGGGGTCCTAAGGAAGACAGTCGTTGGCGCGCTTGATTTCGTTTCGGGTGAAACGTCTTTTCGGGCAGAAGAAACGAGGGGGGCGCGTTCGGGGCGTTGGGCGGTGCTCTGGCAGCGCTCTGCCGACGGATGAGCTCGTCGTAGACATCGGTACTGAGCTCGTAGAATTGCACGGACGAAAGGCGCAGCAGCTTATCACGAGCCTTGTTCGGTGGGTTTTTCCCATTGGGATCGCGTCCATGCAAGAAAAGCTTCAAAGCATGGTAATGGTTCTGCAGGACGGAATCGTCTATCTGATCGGCGCGAGTGCTGTTCCGGGCGCTATCGCTGCGGGCATAGGTGCTGGAGCGGCCAACCGAAGCTGGAGGCGACGGCCCGCCCCCATTGCTCCTCGGGCCAGAGGGGAAGCCATTCATGCTCATGACGGGGTTCGGGTTCGAGCCGCTTGAAAGCGGTGGCGAGGCGAGGTTCCCGCGACCAGTGGGAAGAGAGTCTTCGGATGCGTACTTGTTGCTCGGCCATTCGCCGCCGCCTAGAGAGCTGGGGGACAAGGGTCCATTCCGACCAGCGACGCTCATAATCTCGGGGATGGGTGTGACGTCGACTTTCGAGAGTTAGACGTCAATGAGGCATGAAGGCTCGACTGGTGATGTGTTGGAAAGGGCGAGTTGGCACTTGGAGTTGCTATGCAACGAGGAGGATGGATGTCTTGGAGATTGTGTGCCAGGCGGTGGCTCGAGAGGTAAAGCGACGGGTGGTGCGAGCGGTAGCCCTGGAGATACTTGCGGCCCGAGTTGTCTCTCGTTATCGGTGCGTGCTGCTGACGTGTAGCAACGCTCTTCTCGCTGTCGGTGATTGATCCAAGGTTGGCGCCTCGAATGGTGTGTATCGGGGTTCAAGTCCAGCCCGACAATAGACGCACCGTTGCGAAAGGGTACAGTTCCAGCAGCAGCAGCTCGCAAGGTCCTGGAACTTGGTCTTGACGAGTTCCCCCTTATCGACTGTGTGTGGCGAGGAGCAAATCAATCGAGCACAGTCAATATCCAATCCGAAAGGAGACCATCGGGATCAAGTTGGAGTTCCTGATGGCGGTCCTGTGGGTGGTGGTAAGAGACGTGGCTGGCCGGGGTGTATCCACAATTGCTGGCGCAATCAAATCGTCGACACATTCAGGGCTGCACTACTTGTGCAGCTCTTGCTGCTCCGCTCTCTGTTTTAATTTGTCAACCTACTGCCCACCGCTGGGCATATAGTGGTTGTGATGTTCGAAGGAGGCCGCGCGCTTGATCTTCAAATGCTCCTTCCTCCGGATATTCAAGTCACACGCCTGAACTAACCAGACTGCTTTCTCTACCGCTTCTGATCGATGCTTTCTTCCAGACGGTGAGCTCTGATCATAACGCCCCTTCACTACCCATTTCTGCGACTCCAAAGGCACGGTTTCTGTAGCAATTGCGTCTCACCTTCGAAAGGGGTCACACGCGCGGCGCGGAGTGGACCCCTGGAGATCTTGAGGCACTTGGAAATGAGCATTACCCCTTCACTTCCCCAGTTTCCCAACCCCCCTGCGGTCTTTGGAAATCCAGAACACCCAATATCTGATTTCCACTACGAATGCTCACGGCGTGCGCGTCCTTGATCAGATGCGCGAGTCTTCTGCGAATTATCGCCCTGTAAAGGAGGTTCTCTAATTGATTTATGCGGCGCCTGCAATCACCGACATTGTGACGTGCTGGCCCAAGCCACAAGCGCTGCACTAGCCACCTGCCCCCCTGAGTCAGGCTCCTGCAAGCACAAGTCTAAAGCCAAAGCCGGCCCGTGATTTGTGCATCGCAGATTTATCGAGGCTTGGGCGAGAACCCCCTGAGCTAAATTGATCTCCACCTTTTGCCAGCCAGCCACTCACGGCCCCCTGTTGGAGATTCACACAAGCCACCACAGTCTGAGTGAGGCGGGATGTCCAGTCCAGTCAGTCATTGCTTCGCGCGTGATGTTCGGTTGGCGTTCGCTCGTTTCCTTGGCCATTTAAGCTCACATATACGAGATCAGAGCCTCAGAGTGCTGCACATGAGCTCCACTGCCGCAACTGGAATGCTTTGAGCAATCAGAGCAACTCATGATCAATTCACCCTAGTACAGCAACTAGTGGGAGTTGCGAATCAAAAGACCGTTGTCACCTTCCGGCGCCAGGCTGTGTACTGAAGCAGTGAAGACGGCACGCTGCAAATGAGATGTTCGTCCTTGCATGTGGTGTTCTTGATTAGTGCACGGTCTCACATATGACTCGGTTGCGCACGCGGCACGCGGTGATGGCTGTACAGTGTAGATCTCTTGGCGCGGACGTGTGGACTAACAGTAGTTAATCTTAAGTTCATGACACATGTTCTGTCACCAGTCACCTGTGACACAGATCGGAAGCAAGCGAGATCAGCGACAGTGATCGGTAAGTACGTAGTATTATACTAGCTGCGAGATGGGTTCGTTCCGTTATATTTCCCGTAGACCATCACAAAGGGCTCCCAACGCCGCATACATGCCATCCAAGGGGGTATCTCAATGCTCAAAACCAAGCCAATGTCCAGACAGCAGGCAGGTTGGGCCATCGCTCCTGCCACTCTCCCAGGATCTCGGGGACCCTCTCGTCGAACCCTGATCGGCTCGCGGCGCCCGCCGCATCAAAGGCAGATGCGCCAATGGCGTCTCGCTCTTCCTGCGCGGCTTTGTTCAGCGATGTTGCCAGGTCCAGGATGCCCTGTCCACCGACAGCAGCCTCCTCATGGTTATCCTTGATGTCTACGTTGATGACATGCACGGGTCGGTTCAACGGAGAGCCGCGGTTCAGCAGGTCATCTATGACTGCGTCCCAGCAGCGCTCCTCACAGGTGATGACAACATCTACTAGGCCAGCCTCCGTGCCCTCGCTGCCGCGGTCCTTGGCATGCTGGAGACGAGGGACGCCGACCTGCCAATCCTGCCACCGCTCTGGGCCCCATTTGACGTCCCGGTTGCGGCCCAGCATGTTCAGAATGCCATTGTTCTTATAGAGCCTGGGGTCTTTCGACTCGAGTTCTTTGTACATGCTATCGTACGATGTCTTGTTGAAATGGTAGACATTCGGCTGTGTGATGGTTGGGCCTGGAAGTCGGACAAGGGATCCGGTACCGAAAGATATCACGGGAAATTTTGCTTCTGACAGACGAAGGTGCGCCTCCATGGAGCTTACGCCGTTAGCGCTGACGGTGAGCTCATGTTGGCATCGCTTCTTACCGATTGTTGTTACTGGCACAGACGGTACAAAATTTCAGTTTGTACTCGCTTTCAGGAGCGGCCCCATTCTGAGGGTGGGAATTTGCGGTCCCATTTGACGTATCCATGATGAGTGTTTAGCCTGGAGAGACCATTTGTGAACAGCGTAGCGATTGCAGACTGTGCATCATCTGCTCGTTTGTCCTGGAACAGGTCAGCTTGGGTCTGGATCCATGGCTTCAGAACGTGTCCAGTAGGGTAATTCAATCAGTTAAAAAAGCGTATAAAATGGTCTCAACAGTGTTTTTCAGACAGCTCCAATATGGTATTCATCATGAAATGAAAACAAGGCAAGTGGCGTATGTGGAAGACGTTTCTTACCCGATGTGTGAACGCGCGCTGTTGTTTACTGTCTGGTCGTCATGTTGGGGTGAAGAGATCAGTGCGGATGTCGAAGAAGTTGTGAGCTTAGCTGCCATTCAGGCCGGCACAACGTCGGCCCGGCAGATCATGCTACCAACTTGAAGGAACTTAGGTCTGTACTCACATGCACCCAAATCGGAGGCAAATCACAGCCCAACGCTCCTGAAACGTCATGATTGAGCACCTTTCGCCTTGCACAGATCCCGATTCACGAGTCTATTCAACTTGCAACACCATCTCAAGGTTTGTGTATGTAATTATACGCTGCGTTTAAAGAGGACACGTGACCCTGCCGGTGCTGGCTGGCTCATGCCGCTGCACTGCGATTGGCTGCTGATTGGCTGCATGACCTGAAACGACGAGGCCGAAGTGAAGTCCAACCAATTTATGAAAAAATGCAGTCTGCAGGCGGGTCTCTAAAAATAGTGCTAGCAATGACCAACACCATAGTTCGCATGCAAGGGATGCCGATATCGAACCCTTGGGCAGCATGAGCATCGTGTGCGGGATGCTAGATCTGGTTCTGCAATATTCATCTTCTATAAGACTTGCGGATACCATATACGCATAGTTATCGTGGTATGATGACCTAATTCGTGCTACGGTCTGCCCAAGTGCGACCCTTTCATCTCCGGACCAACCTCATTTCTCGAGGCCCACTGCCTAGTAAGCTCGAGTACGTCGCTGACAAGCGACTTTGGAACAAGGTTGAAAGGCAATTGCGCCGGCGCTCGTTCCGCAGCACGCTACATGAAGTTAAGGAACCACGCGCTGTGAGATCCCATGTGGCATTTGAAGCTCAGTTTAATTTTCAAATATCGGGTGTAGGTGAAGAAGGTAGTGTAAGCCATACTCGAGCTGCATGCGTGGTTTGTTGAAACGACCTGTGCCGCGCAGCAGCCTAAAAATGATTACTTGCTCCTCGAACTTGAGGAGGTGGAACAGACTGAGAAGGTACCTAGGTCATAATACCCAAGTGATGCTAACACAATAGCGATGGTGATCTGTGATCTGGCTAAGCAAGTTCGCAAATGTGCTAGGCCAACTGCCTTCTATACATTCCCAATGAGACATATGCCCAGGTGTTACTGCTGCCTACTCCTCGTCGTAGAATGCAGTCTAACGTAATTGCGTTGTTGGATGCGAGCAAGCAGGAGCTGAGGGCAGGAAGGATGGATGGATGGATGGTCGGCGCTTCTGACCTTTTGGTACCTACCCAAGTAGACAGACAGACAGACAGACAGCCTCCACCTTCGGCTCCAACTGGCCCTCAACTCAACCTTTCCTCTATTACTACACGTTCCATTCTCCCCATTCGCCTCGTCACGGTGACACTCATTTAGTTTGCGGACACACATGTTTTGAGGCACGTCGTCTTACTCACAATACCGCAACTCCCGCTGCTGCGCATCTTTTGGCCCGTCCAAGTCTACGCCACAGCCCTCCCGTCGCCGCTTCGCTGCAATCCAAGTCGGCACCGCGCTTGGAAAGACCACGCTTGAAGGCCGCTATCGAGCTTTCAGGGTCGTTGCTGGACCAGGCCCCTTTTGGGCGACTCGACATACAAGGCGATAGCGTCTATATACTCTTGAGCCTCACGGCCCACGTTGCGCGACGGGCGAGCGCGGGGTCTCGACGACTTCGATTCCGGCTGGAGACATCAGCACCACACGGGCCGCAGGCGGCCTCTGCCATCGCATCACGAATACGCCGGTCTATCCTGATAGTTCTAAATACACCGACACCGACGAGGACCTCTAAGGGAGCGCAGCTGCAGCCATGGCCTCCGATGCGCCCACCGCCACATCCCCGCGGGACGAGCTTGCCTCGCAATCGAACCAAGACTCTCTCACTCTGCCTCCGCACATGACCTCGCCGAACCCTCAGCAATCGACCCGCGCAAGGCCGTTGTCGCACGCCTCAAGAAGCCGCTTGTCGCAATACTCTGCCAGCTCTATACCCACGAGGTCGCGACCGGCATCGCATGTCTTTCCCATATTCGCCTCGAGCCTGCCATACTCGTTGGTCCGAGACTTTGCGTACGGGCCGGCGCACCCGTTGCACCATGGCCCGCCTCCAGAGCCGTCCGGGCCACCCTCGGGCATGACCACGCCTGCCAGCGAGCATAAGCGATTTTCGGACCCGCCAATGGCTTGGGACTCGTGGACGGTGGATGGCTTCAACAGGGGTTACAACATCCCCCCCATTCAGCCGGGTGACGGGCCGCCATACAGCGAGGACGAGGACCTGCAGAGTCCTGTAGTCTCGACCCGTCATCGCAAGCATAAATCGACCTCGGCGGCCCTGGGTGGTCCCGCATATGGTACGGAGAGGGGATACTGTGTCGACTCGGGCCCTGACGGGACTGAGAGGTACTATGTCGATCATGGTCTGGGAGGGGAGTATATCAGCTACCCGCCGGGGGAGGTGCGGCACAGTCGGGCGTACCATTTCGCCCAACAACCCCAGCATGGCCATGAAGCGTCCGAGGGTGACAGCTCGCCGCCTTCGCCGGCATTTGACGGGCCAGATGAGTCGAGGTACTCGCGGGATTACCAGTTCACGATAACGTCGCCTGACGAAGAATTCCATGGTAAAGCTGTGGCGCTTTTTGATTTTGCGCGGGAGAATGAAAACGAATTGCCTCTGGTGGAGGGCCAGGTCATCTGGGTATCATATCGCCACGGACAGGGCTGGCTCGTTGCCGAGGACCCCAAGACCCAGGAGAGTGGACTTGTGCCTGAAGAGTACGTGCGTCTCCTGCGGGACATTGAAGGCGGAATGACAAGCTTGACCGGGCAGGTTGGCGACGGGTTTGCTTCGCCTAACGATGTGCCCACGCCTACGCAGCCTGAGCACACTGGCCAGAGCCCACCACCACCGGCACAGGGCAATGGAGCGAACGGGTACCATCAGCCTGTACTTTCCGTCTTCTCGACGTCGAGCAAGGATCTGAACCCGTACCCGACCGGGCAACTCGGGCTGTCCACCGGACAAGCGCCGCCTCAGGTGGTTCACTATCATGGACAAAGGGGCGGCAGTCAGGCGAACACGCCAACTCTGGCCCAGCATGAGGGATTGGGACGGCGCGAGAGCCAGGATACTGGCAGTGGGCAAAATGCCGCCGCGCCGTTGACGGAACGGTGACATGCACAGATGCAGACGAGCAGGGCGTGGAACCCTGAAAGCTACGAATATCACGAGCCTCTCACGATTCACGCAGCCCGATGCCGACATCTGTCACTTGCGAGGATGTCTAGTTTCCCGCACCGCTCCAAAGAGTATCTACGATCTTGTCCGGATGCTTACTCTGGCAGAGCATGGCGCCAGGGGGGGGCACAGGGCCACAGGAGCCACATGGCAGGATGCAAGCCGTGTGCATGGAGGGTTGGAAATTTTCGAATATAATGAGACGTGTCGGCGTAGATGGTGCAACTATCATAGACATGTGAGAAGGAACAAAGACGATATCATGATGTTTGAACATTCTGCCTTGCAAAGACATCGCGCAATCGGTGGACTCTGGCGGACCCACGTGATTTTTGCAAGACGTCATTGCTTGCCGTGGAGCAGCCTACCTGCCTGACAGTTTCCGAACTTGTCCGTTTGTCGGTTCTCAAGGTCTTCATCCATCCACTTTCTTCCTCTCAGCTCTCCCACCCCTCGAATCTGCCGCCAATTGACCCAATTGACAGCAGAGGACTCAATTACCAACAGCATCATGTTTGCTCGCTCAGCATTCCGCGCGGCGCAGCCGCTCAAGACTGTACGTGGTGCGCCCTTGAGCGTCTGGTCTGATTGATTATCAATCCCATCCCCACGCGTTCGTCTTCCGGTCTACGATGCTAACTATCCCTATAGCAGGCTCGTCGCTACGCCACCGAGTCGGCACCCAAGGGCGGATCCAACACCCTCCTCTACGCCGCCGGTGCCGCTGCCCTTGGCGGTGCTGGCTACTACTACTTTGGCGGGTCGAGCGCTGCGCCCAAGATCGAGGCCGTCTCGCCTCCCAAGGTGGCCTTTGCGGGCGGCGACCAGGGCTTCATCTCGCTGAAGCTGGCCGAGGTGGAGAATGTCAACCACAACACCAAGCGCTTCCGCTTCGAGCTGCCCGAGGGCGACATGGTCTCTGGCCTTCACATTGCGAGCGCCATCCTGACCAAGTACAAGGGCCCCAATGACGAGAAGGCCACCCTCCGGCCGTACACGCCCGTCAGTGACGAGAGTAGGTCTTCAATGCGCGCGGGTGAGGAGAAAAGTGACGCTGACCTGTCCCCAGACGACAAGGGCTTCATTGACCTGCTGGTCAAGAAGTACCCCGACGGACCCATGAGCACGCACCTCCACAACATGGAGCCCGGCCAGCGGCTCGACATGAAGGGCCCGCTGCCCAAGTACAAGTGGGAGGAGAACAAGCACGACCACATTGCGCTGATTGCGGGCGGCACGGGCATCACGCCCATGTACCAGCTCGCGCGCGCCATCTTCAACAACCCCAACGACAAGACCAAGGTGACGCTCGTGTTCGGCAACGTGACGGAGCAGGACATTTTGCTCAAGAACGAGTGGGAGCACCTCGAGAACACGTACCCCCAGCGCTTCCGCGCCTTTTACGTGCTCGACAAGCCGCCCCATAGCTGGCCCGGCCCCGGTGGCTTCATCAACAAGGACCTCCTCAAGACGGTCCTGCCCGAGCCCAAGGAGGAGAATGTCAAGCTGTTCGTGTGCGGTCCTCCCGGTCTGATGAAGGCCATCTCTGGCAACAAGGTCAGCCCCAAGGACCAGGGCGAGCTCACGGGCATTCTCAAGGAGCTCGGCTACAAGGAGGACCAGGTGTATAAGTTTTAGAGGATGTATAAGATGTACATGTAGACATGCGATTAGATGGTTAGACAGTCCGTTGCGGATAGTCCGTGGCGGAAAACAAGTCAAATGCAGAATATATTTGCTAAAAATGCGCCTAATGCGTTTTTATTACCTATAATTCACCGTGTATACATGTGAGAGCAATGCCCAAATAAAAGAAAACCGCTGGACGCCCGGTAGAATGCTGTCAGTCTGGTGGATGCAAAAGGCCGTCACTCATCATCACTCGTCCTCACTTGGATCTAAGAACTGCCCCAGACCGTATTTCACCTTGCTCGCGTCAGCAACGGTGACCGCTCATCCCTCTCCGAGTCTTCATCCTCCTCCTCAATAGCCGACTCATTAGGCAGCACATCCTCCGCATCACTCTCGTCGGGCGTCGCGCTAGGACCATCCCCCTCGACGGCCATAAAGACGGGTATGGCGCCAAGGAGGGCGATAAAGGACAGAAACGCATATGGGACGAAGATGAACCCGTTCTCGGCGCCCCACGTGAACGCGAGGCCGGTGAGGAGCGGGCCCGCGGCGCGGCCGAGACCGCTAAAGGAGGTGGCGAAGCCGTTTAGGGTGCCGAGGACGCGGACAGAGGAGCAGGAGTTGGTGAGGAGGATGGTGGTGGAGGGGAAGGCGATGATGATGGAGAAGCCCTTGACGAACATGATGAAGGCGAGGCTGACGTAGCGGCCGGTGCCGCTATCAAAGAGGGCCGTGTACGGGGTGAGGAAGTACGTGACGGGGAGGATGAGGGCTGGAGGAGCTCGAGTCAGTTTTGTTCTTTTTTTTTTTGTCTTTACTTCTTGCCGAGGTCCTCTCAAGTTCACTTACAACAGACGCGGAAGCAGTGCAGGACACCGTAGCGGGACACAAGAGTGGGGTAGATGAGGAACTGGATGAGGCCGCAGGCGACGCCGTAGCAGGTGAAGATGGTACCAATCTCGCCGGACGTGAGACCGAAGCCGCCCTGGAAGGAGAAGGGCAGGTGGACGGGGGCGCCGACGTCCCTAATCCTGGGGTAGTTGAGGAAGACGGGGAGGTTCTGGTCGTAGGCGACGGAGTGGAAGGCGAGAAAGGTGTAGGCGACGAGGTTGATGACGGTGTCGCGGGTGAAGACCTCCCTGGTGCTGGGGGGCGAGTTGGTGGTGCTGTTCTTCTTGTGGGACACGACGTTGGCGGGGATCAGGGGCGCGGTGGCCTCGCCGTCGACAAAGGAGGAGCGGCGGGGGTGCTGCGAGGAGGCGGACGAGCGGTGGCCACGACGCTTGAAGGCGCGTGTGAGACGCCGGCCGACGGATATGCCCCAGTCGCGCTCGTCCCTCTTGCCGGGCAGGGTCTCGCGCAGGAAGAGGGAGGCGACGGCGACGGAGATGAGGAAGAAGATGCCGGCGACGAGGTTGGGGAGGGCATAGGGAAAGGTGCGAAAGTAGGCCATCTTGCCGAAGAAAGAGGGCCACTGGCGGGCGGGATGGGCGAAGAAGCCGCCAAAGCTGGGGCCGACGACCGAGCCCAGGGACCAGACGAGGGGCATGACGGAGAAGGCGCGCGGTTGGAGCTCCCGCTCGGGGACCATCTCGGCGACCATGGTGCGGATGATGCCGACGTTGCCGTTGCCGCCGCCCTGGATGGCGCGGGCGACGATGGCCATGGGGAGGGTGGTGGACATGCCCCAGACGATAAAGGTGAGCATGGTGGAGAGCAGGCCGAGGATGATCATGGGCTTGCGGCCGTAGCGGTCGGCGCCGCGACCCCAGGGGACGGCGGTGATGCTCTGGGCGACAGAGAAGACGGCGGAGGTGAGGCCGGCCCAGCGGGCAATCTTGTTCTGCTCGACGCCAAAGTCGCGGATCATCTCGGGGAGGTAGGGGAAGACGGAGGTGTAGGCGAGGGGTTCGGCGAAGCGAACGACGGCTGCGCAGGTCAGTCAGCACGTGTGTCTTGATCATTGTGCCTCGTGTTCATGCTGGTCAGGCTGCGGCTTGGTGGTGTCGGAGGGCCTGCTCTGATGAGATCAAACACGGCCACGACAATAATGATGTGCGGTGAGTAGGTAGATGGATCAACGGGAGCCTTACCCAGGATTGCCAGCTGCTGGACAGGCAGCTTCGGCCCCGTGGGCGAGGCATTCTTTGGCGGCATGGTGTCGCCGTCGAGAATCGACCACGAGGTGCTGGGCAGCAGTTGAAGGCTGACGCAGAGAAGAAAAAAAAAAAAGGCTGAAGCCTCTTGAGATGGAGGTGGATGAGTGGAGTGAGTGGGTGGGTGAAGTTGAAGCTGAACCCCACTCGGCGGGTTTGGCTACCTGGTACCTGCCTGAGAACCTTGGCAACAGATGGATCAGAGAGGATGGCAATGGAGATGAGAATGTGTGAAGTAGACAGTTAAAGCCTGCCTCGACACAGTGGAGTTGGTTGTGGCTCGAGAAAGAGGGAGGCGCATAGAAGAGTTCATGTCTCGCAGTCCGCGATGCTGGTATTCCATTCTATGGAGTCGAGTCCGAGTCACCGGGCTCGCAACAGACCTTGACTCCTTGCACGATGTGACAAACTCCAGTCGTCAGCCCAGGACTCCAGCAGCAGGATCGTCACCACCAATGCCCTTCACCGGACCGGTGGCACACCCCGGCTGGGCCCCCGATCTGGAGTCCCCAGCGCCGACTACGGAGGCGGGCTGAGGACTGGAGGCCTTGAGACCACCCAGCCTCATGTACGTACCGGGCCTGCGAGTCCCCGGAATCCTTGCTCGTCTTCATCGTATCTACCCCTCTCTCTGCCTGTCTCCTGGCCACGGTACACACCATCAGACCAGAGCGGCATCGATGCTGGATATGCTGACATGAATGGCAATACCTGACGAGCTTTGGGTCCATTGCCCAACGTGCGAGTGCGGATGCATGCGTGCGGCGTACCCCAGAGACCCAAGGAACGATGTGCATTCAATGTTCCGCTGCATGCATTGTCACCCGTTCAACGCAGAATAATTGATCCTAGTCTGGTCCCAACTACAGAACTGCAACGTGGAGTGCGTCGATGCTGCTCAATTTGTAGGGTAGGCAGATTCCAGCTCGGATGTCGGCACGATGCTGTGGCGCGTGTCTGTCCGGTCCCAGCAGCCACAGATTGCCCCGCTAGCCAGCATACAAAGGTACGTACCAGTACCTCGCATGACGAACCTGTGGCGCCACCTCTCCGACCAGACTCAGGTCATGACTATCGGCCGTCCGTCGTGAGCTGGACAGCGATCTTCATCCGTCATCACCATCTATCCAAGGACCAACCAAGTCTTTAAAGTGTGCCTGGACCGAGCTCATCTCTCACCAGGACCCAAGAGACACGAGCAGTCGTTCATCTGACATGTCTGCATTCTGAGCTTGACCGTATCTCAGTCTCATCCGTCATCACAGACAGTACCAATCACTGGCCTCGCTCGACCCAATCGTCACCACAAGAGTCCATCCCTCGCTCACCATGCCGGCCGAATCGACGCCTCTCATCCAGACCGTCAGCGTCGGACCGCAAAGGCGGCGCTACCCCCACAACACATGCCGTCGCTTCTGCACCATCCTCAGCTGCTCCCTTCTCATCACGGGCTTTGCCTCGTTCCTCCTCCAGGCCATCTTCATATGGCCCAATGAGCACCGCCGCAAACACCATGGGGGTCAATACTGGCCCCCGCAGAATGGAAACAAGGGCTTGGGTCTCGAAGAGGTCGAGGGTATCCTACTGGACACCCCTTCCGCCGAGAAGGCAGAGGAGTGGTTGAAGTACTACACCGCTGGACCTCACCTGGCCGGCCAGAATCTCTCCCAGGCTGAATGGACGCGCGACAAGTGGGAGGAATGGGGCGTCAAGTCCGAGATCGTCCCGTATGACGTCTACATGAACTACCCGCTGAGCCACAGCCTGACCATGCTCGAGCACCAGAAGAAGCACGATAGGTGGCATGTCGTCTTCGAGGCCTCCCTCGAGGAGGACATTCTCGACCAAGACCCCACGACCGCCCTCAAGAACCGCGTGCCCACGTTCCACGGCTACTCCGCGAGCGGCAACGTCACCGGGTCCTTTGTATACGTCAACTACGGCAGCTACCAGGACTACCAGGACCTCGTCGACGCCAAGATCGACCTCGAGGGCAAGATCGCCATCGCCAGGTACGGCGGCATCTTCCGCGGTCTCAAGGTCCAGCGCGCCCAGGAGCTCGGCATGATTGGCGTCCTGATCTACAGCGACCCCGGCGACGACGGCGAGTTCACCATTGAGCATGGCTACGACGCCTATCCCGACGGCCCCGCCCGCCAGCCCAGCAGCGTCCAGCGTGGCAGCGTCCAGTTTCTGAGCACCATGCCCGGCGATCCGACCACGCCGGGCTATCCCTCCAAGCCTGGCGTCCCCCGCGCCCCGGCCGAGGGCTCGACGCCCACCATCCCCTCCATCCCCATCTCCTACACCGACGCCCTCCCCATCCTCAAGGCGCTCAACGGACACGGGCCCCAGGCCAAGGACTTCAACAAGTACTGGACGCGCGGCAACGGCCTCGGCTACAAGGGCGTCCAGTACAATGTCGGCCCCTCGCCCGACCACATCGTCCTCAACCTCGACAACCAGCAGAACTACACCACCACGCCCCAGTGGGACGTGATTGGCATCGTCAACGGGACCATCCCCGACGAGGTCGTCGTCATCGGCAACCACCGCGACGCCTGGGTCGCCGGCGGCGCAGGGGATCCCAACAGCGGCTCCGCCGCGCTCAACGAGGCCATCCGCGCCATCGGCACCGCTCTCGAGGCTGGCTGGAAGCCCCTGCGGACCATTGTCTTTGCGAGCTGGGATGGCGAGGAGTACGGCCTCATCGGCAGCACCGAATGGGTCGAGGAGTTCCTCCCCTGGATCAAGGCCGCCAACGTGGCCTACCTCAACGTCGACGTCGCCGTCAGCGGGCCCACTCTCCACGTCGGCGCCACGCCCACGCTGCACGGCCTGCTGCGCGCCTCCGTCCACAAGGTCCAGAGCCCCAACCAGACCACCGCCGGCCAGACCGTCGGCGACCTCTGGTCCGGCGTCATCCCGCCCCTCGGCAGCGGCAGCGACTTCACCGCGTTCCAGGACTACGCCGGCGTGCCCTGCATGGACCTCGGCTTCACCTCGGGCGCCGCCGACCCCGTGTACCACTACCACTCCAACTACGACTCCTTCCACTGGATGGAGGAGTTTGGCGACAAGGGCTTCGCGTACCACAAGGCCATGGCGCAACTCATGGGCGTCATCGTCGCCAACCTCGTCGACAGCGTCGTCCTGCAGTTTGGCGCCGTGGACTACGCCGACGCTCTGGACGCGTACCTGGACAAGGTCGAGGCCAAGCTGCACGGCGAGGCCGCCGAGCCCGAGACGGACGAGCAGATTGTCGTCTTCCGTGCCCAAGTCGCACCCAGCGAGATCAAGGGCAGCGCCGACGCCTTCAGGAAGAGCCTCGAGGATGTGCGCGACGCCATTGCCGATTTCCGGGTCAAGGCCCACGCGACGGACACGCGGGCCGAGTGGGCGGAGAAGCAACTCAGGGAGGGCATCCCCTGGTGGAACCTCGTCAAAAAGGCCAAGCTCGGCGCGGCCACTGTCGCACTCAACAACAAGTACAAGTACCTCGAGCGGCAGTTCCTCTTTGAGGCCGGCCTCGACGGGCGGAGCTGGTTCAAGCACGTCGTGTACGCGCCAGGCCTGTGGACGGGGTATTCCGGAGGTATGTTCCATTGCGCTCACTTGACACTCATTTACTGACACTGATGTAGCGACATTCCCCGGTCTCGTCGAGAACATTGACTCCAAGGACTACCTGAACGGCCTGCGGTGGGCCGGCATCATCAAGGAACGCATCCAGCAGGCGACCAAGAGCTTGGCGTAAATGGGTTTAACTAGCGTCCATGAAAATCAAGCCAGTTTAGTATATATCATGTAGCGCAAGCCGTACATTTCTCATCAGACGTTACCAAAAAAAAAAAAAAAAAAAAAAAAAACCCACCCATTCCAGCAAGTCTATCCCGTATTATGTTATAACCATTGTACACCATCCGCCGTCTAGAGCTACCTCGCCCTCCTCTCCTCGTCCTGCCTCCTCATCTCGTCCCGGAAGGCGTTCCCGCCCTCGGTGTTGTCCCTGAAATCAGGCGTCACAGGGCTGCCAGCGAGACTGCCCAGGTCGCTGTCCCGCCTGATGTGGCGACGGGGCGCCTCGGGCACGGCGTCCGAGTAGACATACAGGGGCTCGCCCTGCGTTTCGCGCTCCTCGAGACGGATGGCACCGGCGGCCCCGTCCCGGCCAATGTTCTTGCCAAACACGCCGCGGACCTTGCGACCCGTGTAGCCCCTAGAGCGGGACATAATGTTGCCAATTTCGACCCGCCTGGTCTTGCGGTTCCAGAGGAAGAGACCGACGGCAATGAAAATGAGCAGGCCAAAGGTGATGGGCAGGGCAATCACAATGTCCCGGTGCTCGTACGTCTCGGGGTCCTGGTCAGGGCGCTGGTGGTAGTCAAAGACGAGCGGCAGCGCGGGGCCCGTCTCGTTGAGGCCCTTGTTGCCCTGGGTGCCGAGCATGAGCTGGAGGGTGATGTTGTGGGGGCGCGGACCCTTTAGGTACTTCTTCTCAATCTTGAGGGGGAGGAAGCCCCAGTCGGCGGGCACGCGGTCCGTCTCGTCGAGCTTCTCGTACTCCTCGTCGCGCCACTCCTCGAGATTGTTGTGGTCGGGGGCCTCCTTGTCGGTGGTGCGGTTGAGGTAGTCGAGACGAACGGCGATTTCGTAGGTGACGTTGCCCGGCTTGTCGGTCTTGTTAAAGAAGTCGGGGTCCCAGGTGACTGCATCTCGTTAGTGGGGGGGGGAAACAGAACAGTTTGGGAAAAGGACGCACTGTAGTACGTGGTGCCTTGAAACAGTGTGCTGTCCTCCGCAGGAGCACACAGGGGCGCGTTGTCGCCATCCTCATTGTAGCAGCGTGAGAAGGCACCCTCGCCGTGCTTGTTCGTGGCCGAAGGATTTGGCGGCTCGCCGGTCGAGGTGGTCACGCGTCCCCAAGCCGTGCTGGTGAACTCAGACGCGGTCAGGTCGTGGGGCGCCGCATTGTCGTACTCGTCATCCGAGCCATCCTTGAGCTTGGGGGTCAAGGTTTCGGCAGGCCGGCCCTCGTCGTCCACGCGAACCCAGGGCGCCGTGGGCGAGGCACGCTTCGCGAGAATGGGTGCTGCGGTAATGATGGCGACGGGGTCATCGTCTGGCTCTACAGGCGCCGCTGGATGGGCATTGGCCTGGAGGAGCAGCAAGGCGCTGGCGAAGAGCGAGGAGCCGCGCATTGTTGGCTGGGACGCGGTAGCGAGCGAAATGAGGTTGACGCAGAGGGGCAGTTGACTTGACCACAACGCGATGCAACGACGATGCTGGCGGAGCGAACGAATGTCCTGGGAGGATTGACGTTGATGGAGTGAGAGCTGCAACAGCGATGGCAAAGCGAGCGAAGGAATGTTGGACTCGGGAGAGTAATTTTTGGAAGGCGTGTCCCTTCCCCCGATCGAGAATGTCCATGAAGATGCGCCCCAGAAATCCAATTGCCTAGATTGGCTAGTCCCAACGGATAAGGCGGCTTGAGCCTCAGGTAGCTGCGCTGGGTCCCACACTTCCTGTTGCCCGAACCCCTTCCTTTCCGTGCCATTACTGTACATAGGTGTAGGCCTCCTGGCGGAAACGGCACTTTGGTAATGATTTACGATGTCATCGCGAATTCCTCGTATACCCTACTCGTTCTAACGGAGGTTTACGCACTCGAGCGTACCGCCCAGTGCCCGGGGGGCTTCTAGTGGAGTTCGCGCCTGCCGAAGGTGCCGACTTGTCCATGCACGGTGCCGTACTAGGCTAGCGTGCTCGGGAATTGGACGGCGTCCAGAACACCAGGGGCAGGAACAACAAACGAGCCCCTTTTTCAGAGGAGCTGTACGTACTTGACCTACAGATGGATGTCAGCTTCATTCTCCGTACATGGTCGTTCTCAATTCGCCAAAAGGCTCGTGACGGAGTGACGGAGTGACATCGAGTTCATGTAGTTCATTAGTGTTCTCTGATTAGTCTCTTAGTGTGCCGTGTAAGAACTTGGTATGCCGCATCCTGGATATCCATGCTTCGCTCAAATCCTCAGAAAGCCGTCGTCAATCACATCCTCTAGTCCAAAACGCCACAGCCATCGAGGGTGTTCTCTCCCAGTCCTCAAGTAAATGTCTCAATCCCAGATGCGCCGCGCTCACAGATCAAATCAATCGGTTCAGTCTCTGCGTCCAGTCTTCTAAAGCTCTGCCAACGAGTATACTCTCCTCTTCATATCCCCAAGAGAGTCAGCACTAATGACAGGGCTTCGCTGGTCGTCGATTAGATAACCCTTGTCTTCTTCAGACGCATTGGCCGAGTCGGTCCACGCATGGTCATCGTCGTCGTAGATGGTGAGCTGCAGCTCTGGGTTGTCCTCTCTTCCCACGCGCCCTTCTTCTATGATGCGCATGTCGTCATGATACTGGACTTGGCACTGCTTCTCTGCAAGCCACTCGTTGTAGACTAGTTTCTGCTCCGCCTCTATGGCTTCTTCCCCGGCCCGCTTCTGCTGCTCCAAGGCTTCGATGCGGCGCACGCGCTCAGCATAGGTCAGGATAACTTTCTTCTTGAAGTACTTTCTCGCAAACTCCTCCTTGCGAAGGTCCTTCAACTGTTTGAGCTCCTCCTCTCGTCGCTTCTTCTCGAGCCTGGCGCGCTCTAGTCGGGCCAGTATGATTGGCGCGTTGACTTTGTCAGGGCATTTGGTGTTTGGGCATTGGAAGGAGGGGTACATGTACGGCCACTGCTTGCCAATCTGGGGCTTATGGAGATACACGGGGCATCTGGCCGGCGGGAAGGGCGTGGTGTAGCCTTCGCTGCAGGCTTTGCGCTCGGTGCGCCGGTAGGCAAGGCATTTGGTCCACCAGTAGGGACGGTTGTCGCCGCAGACTCTGCATAGGCGCACGTCCGGTACACACATGATGGGCGAGTTCTTTAGAAGGAGAGGAGAGCGGAGATTCAAGAGCAGGCGTCTCGATGAAGACGTGCCAGAGGCACGTGGCGCATTGACTGAGCCGCAGAAGAGTTGCTAGGGTCTTTGAGGGTGTTCGTGATGATTCGACTGGTTTTCGGCGGACCTGTGATGTTGTTCACCATGTAGGCGCCATGGGGGAGGAGAGGTCTCGCAAAGAAAACACATTTGAGGGGCTGGGCCTTGTTCGGCCACCAGGTTGGGATGAGGCGGGCGAGTGACTGGAAAGTGAGATTCAGGGGAGTCCGCCATCCGCTCGGCAGGAGTTCCCCGTCCTCCAGGGGGCAATCAAACGCTAGCTTCACCTGATTCATAGCACCAGACGGAACAGAAAGGCTTCTAAAGTATCTGAATTTATCAATAGCATCCAAGACTACCTTTGATGTTCTGATGTTGTCTCTGACCCGAATATAAACTTCTGCAAGCATCCTCGCATTCCGCATGGGACTGCTCTGGATGGTGGTGCAGTTGAGATATGTAACTTGTGCCGAAGATAATGACACCATTAACTTGCAGGTAACCGCGCTCAAGGCTGCGCGGAGTCTTGCAGACTTGGGACAGAGACTGTTTTTCTGGTACTTGTACACCTTGCTATTTACCTCGCCTGCTAGAGACGTCTAGGGCGGTTCAAGGGTAGCGCCTTTGGGTACGAGTCCCTGGAACTATATTCGTGAGACAGTACAGCAAGAGTTAGCATGCCATACATTGCGAGAAGCGTGAATCCTCATATAAAGAGCCGGTCTGCCCTCACAGACCTCCTGCTCTGGTGTTTGTCAACAACGTTCCCTGTTGTTCAGTCAATTGTATGCTTCATCTTTGGGTACAAACTAAGGGCTATAGAGGACCTGAACGGTCCAGAAAGAGCCGTGATGTTCGCCAGGTTCAGTCTCGAGAGATTCGAGGTATCATCATGTCTGTAAAAGAAATGGATGCTACTGAGCCCACAGCAAAGTTGTAAATAACGCAAACTCCCCGGGATCGAGTCATTGAGAGGACCAGCACGAAGCGTCTTGGAGACACTAGCTCTTTGTAGAAGGCAGTCAATGTGTCACTTGAGCTAGGAGAAGCATGTTATTGACTTGTGATAACGAATCTGTCCAGTCTCGAGAGATGTTCATTCAAGAAAGATCATGTTCGGATACACCTGAGCTCAAGAACAGTTGTCACATTGGTTGATGGACAGGGATTGACCCAAGTGTCGCGTCACAGAATGTCACTTTAAAGAAAGAATAAACTTCTGTTTCGTTGCAGTGCCATGTTGCGCAACGTTCCAGCTTGATTCGTCTTGGCCCAGACCTCACAAATGATGTGTGCTGCACTCAATTTCCTTCCCATGGACTCTGTGATCAATTCATGAAGCAGAGTGACATAGAAAGTAGCAACTGGCCATCTCGAGACGAGGTCAAGTTGCAAATGTTCAGCCCATGCATGTGTCGGCCACAGCCGCGCCACCTTGCGCTCACCTTCTGGATTCTGCAAGAGGTCGTGTGACACCACGCTCTGGCCCTCATGGCTGCAATTACCGTGGCACGTCATCTGTTCTTTTCTTCTCGCGGAACATACTCGACGTCTTCCGGTTGGTTTCACTCTTCATCGAGTCGATTCGCCGCATGCGCCTACCCGGCAGTTCAGCAGAGTCAGTCGTTCAGCCATGTGCAGAACAGCCGTCCCGATGTCTGCATGTATCCCCGAGCACGTAATTGTATACTGTACTCCAAGCCGTGGATACTCTTATGTAACTCAATGCGAGCGCAGTCCAGAGGACATTCCCAGAGCCGAGCCTCGACCGACTCTCGCCCAGCCTGGTACTGTTCACCTTGTTCATACCTCGACAGTGACCTACGCCACGTCTCAGAGACACATGTCCCGGGCATTCTACCAGCAGCCAGCCGGATCTTGGTGAAGACTGCCGTAAACACCCGTTGCCTCACCCAGGCCGACCCGGCGGGACCCTGGCATTGCATGGTTGCGGGGCTGACCAATCGTATGCGCTGGACGCCTCCCCAGCTTCCTACATCTGGCCATGACCTGCATTCGTTCGCGAGTTAGCGTAGGCCGTGGGAGTCAACACTGTACAGATGCAACATGCTCGGATTGCTGGATGATTTTCGCCGATCCACAGACTCAGCCACCAGAATGGGCCATTCCCCAACGGCAACTATCATGCCGAGCCATCCAAGGCGGATGACAGCGACATGATCCTGTATGTCATTGACTCTGTGGAGTCGTGAACCGTGCTGGGGTTTGGGGATTTGACTTTGAGTTGGCGGGGCGTGGGGGTACTCGACTCCTCGAGCGAGCGCCGCCTGGCAAATGAGTGTCGCGCCAGCAGACCGAGAGCAAACTCTGCTGTCTGACCGACCTTGGAGAAGCTAAGCCCAGGCTTTGGTAGTAGGCGAAAGTCTATAAGAGGCCGTCATGTCCTGATTTGCAATCGACGTACGATGCCATCGGACCATTCCTCACCTACCTTTGCCAGCTGACACACATTCCACCATGACAGCATCACGAAGAATAGAGACAGGAAGGTCCAGCTTGAATCGGGGCATCTATGTTCCCACTGTCGCCTTCTTCACCCCAGAGGACGAAGTCGACGTCGAGACCACCATCTCCCATGCCACCAGACTGGCACAGGCAGGCGTCGCTGGGCTTGTCACTCACGGCTCTAACGGCGAGGCGGTCCACCTTGACCACGAGGAGCGCAACCTCATCACCAAAGCTACGCGCAGGGCCCTCGTGCAAGCAGATAAGCCTGACCTGCCCCTGATCGTCGGTTGCGGCGCCCAGTCCACGCGCGAGACCATCAAGCTCTGCCGCAGTGCAGCCGAGTCGGGAGGTACCCATGCCATGATCTTGCCGCCGTCATACTACGGTGGCCTTTTGACAACCGAGCTCATTGTCCAACACTTTGAGGACGTTGCCAACGCCAGCCCCATCCCGCTCCTCATCTACAACTTCCCGGCGCCCTGCGGCGGCCTCGATCTCAGCTCGGATACCATCCTCCGTCTTGCGAGACACCCCAACATTGTCGGCGCGAAGCTGACGTGTGGCAACACGGGCAAGCTGGCCCGCGTCGTCGCCGGCACGAGGGACCTGGACTTTGTCACCTTTGGTGGCAGCGCCGACTTCACCATCCAGACCCTCTCCGTAGGCGGCCACGGCGTCATCGCAGGCACAGCCAACCTCGTGCCGCGTCTATGCCTCCGGCTGATGCAGCTGTGGGACGACGGCGCCATGGCAGAAGCCACAGAGCTGCAGGGCATCGTCGCGCGTGGCGACTGGGCGGCCATCAAGGGCGGCTTTGTGTCTGTCAAGGCCGCGCTGCAGCGGTACTATGGGTACGGCGGACTACCGCGCCTGCCGTGTGCGGTCCTCGAGGGCAAGGCGCTGAAGGCGCAAATGGTGGAGTTCCGGGAGGTGATGGAGCTGGAGAGGCGGTCATTAGCTGCAGGATCGTAGTGGGGACAGAGAGAGGGGGGGCAAGATCATGACATTTTTTCCCCGTACAGTAGCGTTGCTTTCGGTTATAGGGCGTACTGTAATAATCAGGCCATGCGCCGTCGGATATGCCTGATTTGGATTTCGTCGGCGAGAGTGACCGTGACAACCTCTGGTCCGATCCGAGCATGATACAGACGGCCTCGCAGGCTCGCACTCCCAAGGCGCCTCCAGGACCCAGTATGTCGGGCTACGTACTGCACATACGGCGTGGCTGCGAACTGCGATCCGGCGCTGACCCCCACGCTACTCCAACATTGCGGATCCGTTCCGGGGGCTGGGCTGGGGGTCGGGATGGGGCCGCCTCAACGCCATGTGAGACTGGCAGAAGGGAGATGAATCCTGTTGATAAGCGAGGAGCAGGCGCAAGCTCCGCCGGGGCCCACTGTCGTCCTGTAGGTGAGAAGAAGAGGAAATGCGGGCGGGGTGCGTCGTGCGATGCGATGGAAGATGGGCGATTGCAGAGGCTGAGGAGGAGGGGGAGGCAGCGGAGAGGTGAGTGAGAGAATGCAAGGAAATGTACCGTGCCCCCAATCAATCGCAGGACGGTGAAGTCATGTGACGCAGCGTCAGGCAGGTACTGCTACCTCCGCTCCTTCCTCTTCACCATGCAGTCCAAATAGGAAGGAACGGAAGTCGTGCCTGCGATACACTGACAATGAGGCAGCCCCTGAAAACAACACCCGACACGTCTGGACGAGGGCAAGGCATCATGCTTTCGTCTATAAGTAAGAACCTCCATTGGTCAGACAATTGTATATACAGCCTCTTCCCTCTGCTCACGCGAGACCCTGCTTGAACATGCATGCAAGTAAAACATTGGATCTCCCAAATTCCAAACCGAAACGCCGCCCCTGATCCATGCCAACGAATCCGACTGGCTACTCTATTCGTCAGCTAGCTACTGCCCCTTTTTCGACTTTTTGTGCTTCTTCTTCTTCTCCCCAAACACCTCGTCGTACACCTCGGCCGCCGTCTGCTGGCCCGCCTTGCGCTTCGTCTTGCCCGTCTTGACGCTGACCTCGCCGGCGGCACGGCCTTCCTTGGCCGCCGCGCGCACCTTGGACTCGGCCTCCTGCCACGCTGGCGCGTCGCCCTCGATCTCGTACCTGTGTCTGGTCAGCGGGGACACCTCAAAAGAAATAGCATGAGAAACGCACTGGTCTAGAGGCAGCGAGTCGATGAGCTGCCGTTGCTTCTGCCTGAGCGCCCGCAGCGCCTCGTCGCCGCCCTCCTCGAGCTCTTCGTCCAGCGTCACGTCGAGAGGCGCGTACTTTTCGTCCACAATCTCGTCGTCGTGCGCGCCGCTGGCGTCCGCGCGGCTGACGCCGAGGTTCTGCGCGCGGGGCAGGGACTCGTCGGCGGCCTGCGTGACCAGCGTTGTAAAGTGCACGTCGACCTTTTTCATAATTTTGGTGAACATGGACAGCAGCTGCGACGTCTCGACCGTGGGGAGATCGGCCGACACGCCGTCAATGTCCTTGCGCTGGAGGCCAATGGCGAGCAGGATGCTCTGCTGCACGGGCGTGAGCTTGACGGACGCCTTGATGCGGCCGGTAAAGTACCACGTCGCAATGGCCGGCATGAGGTCGAGGATGGCGTGGTAATCAATGTGGCTCTGCGCGTACGAGTGGATGCGCTTGAGGTCAAAGGGCGACAGCTGCATGTCCAGTTCCGCCTTGGTCAGGGGCGCAACCTCCACCTCGTCGTGCTGCGCCCCCTTGTTGGCCGACTCGTCGATGCTGAGCGCCGTGATGGCGGGGAACTCCTTGAACTTGTAGGACAGCAGGGACAGGAAGCGCTTCTGGAAGTCGCGCGCAAAGGCGCCCGCCCACGTGCGGTCGGCCGAGGTCTCCAGTGGGCGGAGCATGATGCATGTGTGCTCGCCCGTCAGGTCGTTGGCAGTCTGCCGGATGTACACGGGCGAGAAGGCCGCGCGCTTCCAGAACTTGTGGAGGGGCGGCGTCATGCCGTAGCTGACGCCGAGGTAGTCGAGCGCGGCGGGTTTCCTCTGGTGCATCTTGGCGAACAGCGGAGGCATCTCGCTCGTGCCCCGGATACTGATGGTCTCCGTCCGCAGATTTGATCCCGCGAGCTCGGCGTCTGTCTGTCGGGTGATGGTGTCGACGATTTGGTCCTCGTCGCTCTCCGACAGACTGGCGAACCGGCCCTCGTAGTAGTTGGTCAGCAGCTCCAGCGCCTTGGTGCCGTAGCCCATGGACATGTACTCTGGGTTGGCCGCTATCCGGACCACGCGGGCGCCTGACAGCGAGGCAAACTCTGGATCCTGGAACTGCTGCGAGATGGTCCAGGGGATGAGATCACCAGACGGCCTGTTGCCGCGGCTCAGCTGGTTCAGCACGCTCTGCCGGCTAATCCTGCCCTCTAGGGACACCTGAATCACACAGAGCGGCTCGGGAAGAGAGCCCGTGTTCTCCGACAGCGGCGGCACCAGGACAAACAGCTCGTGTGCCGGCGCGTCGCTCATCAACTGCAGATCGTCGGGCGTGTTCTTGTAGTGGCTCGCCACGTAAAGGGCCACCATTTGCTGGAGGAACTTCTCGGGCACAGGGTGGAAAGAGAAGAGCGTGTCGCGGTTGACGTTGAGGAGCTCGCACTTGTTGGGGTCAGGGCAGCCGCCGTTCCTCGACTTGGCTTTGGGCAGCGTCGCATCGAGGCAAAGAAGCTTGTTCAGCCACTTTTCGACAGAGTCGCCCTTGGTGTAACGGATGGGCTCGTCCAGGGTGATCTCGCGCAGCTTGCGCCCGGAAGACAGATCGCCCGTCTTAGAAGCCTGCCCCGTGGAGCGATCCGCGACCTGGGTGCCCCCGTTGGTCACGGGGGTGTACGACTGGTCGCGAAGCTGCTTGATCAGCTTCAATGACAGGGATCGGCCGGTACCCTCGTACCCGTTGATGGTGGATGCCATGAAGACCAGATAGGGACCCATGAGTTTCTTCACCAGGGGCAAGGGGATGGCAGCCGCCTCGTCAATGACCAGCAACTCTGCCTGCCCGAGCACATGCGCGTCCTGGGGCCGGATGTACTGGATCGTCTGGCGATGCTGCCTGTGAATGTTGACGCGGACAATCGCCTTGTTGAAGTCCGGGTTGGTGCTCTGGATGATGGAGTAATCCTGGTGGTCGACATAGTCCAGCGCGTCGAAGCCTTTGAAGACAAACTCAAAGAGAGTCTTCAGGTTCTCAGGCGAGGGCGACGTGATGAAGATGTTGCTGTATCCGTACGCGACGGCGGCGGCAATCGCAACGCCCATAGCGGCCGACTTGCCACGACCACGAGCCGCTGTCAAGGCCACCGTGCTGCGCAGCGTCTTCTCGGAGATGGCCTCGGTGAAGGTCAGCAGGGCCTTGGCCTGGTCCACAGTCTTGGCCAGGGGGATGAGGGCGCCCGTGGGGGGTCGGTCCTGGTGCTCATCCTTGATCACGTCTAGCGCCACCTGCGACTCGGACTTGGGCTGGTCGAGATCGGGGGGCGGCAGCGCTGTCACGTCCTTGCCCCCGGAGATGGGCAGAACGTTGAGCTCGTCGTCGATGACGAGGCACGAGTCGCAGCTCCCCAGCGACAGCATGAAGCGCTCGTTGAAGCGCGCCACGACGTCGTCGTGGGCCTCTGTCCGGTAGCGCGAGTGCACGTCCATGGAGAGGTTGTACAGCTGCTTGAGACTGTTCATGCCCTTGAGGAGCAGGACGACCATGCCGCCGCCCTCGACGGTCTCGATGGTGCGGGCGAGAATGTTGGGGGTCATGGCCTCAAAGTCCTGCAGGACGCACATGCCAAAGGTCTGGCCGAGGATCTTGTCCGTCTCCTTGTAGTAGCAGTAGCGGACATTGTTGAGGGTGACAAAGAGCTCAAACGGGTCGGACTCGTTGGCGTCGCGCAGGCCGCGCTTGACCTCCTTCTTGATCTTGGCCTCGCGCTTCTTGCGGTGGCTCGTGAAGCCGAGCAGCTCCTTCTTGTAGGCCCAGAGGATGTTCTTGTTCTTCCTGATGCCGATGCCGTGCATGATCCAGTACAGATTGACGAGCGCGTCCTTGGTGTTGTCGCCGACAATGACAAAGAAGCTCCTCTTTTTCTCCTGGTAGCCGTTCTTCATGAGCGCCCCGATGCGGGCGTCCCTGTTGTCGTGGTTAGCGAGCGAGCGAGCGAGCGAGATCGGGCGTCGGGTGAGAAAAAGGGGACGTACACTTGCTTGCGGACCGGCTGGCGAGGCTCCTCCATGCTGGGCAGATGATGGCAGCGTGAACAGATCGGCGCAGTTGCTGGACGTTGCTCGGGTCGCTGCTTGGAGCCTGCGATTGCTTTCCCAAAAATTTAGCTGACCGCCCGGATTCTGCCGCCGGACGTGGGGGATCCACCGAATCTTACACCGAGCTCACCGAATTCACCGAGAGGCTCCAAGGACATACATACTAGACTATCAACGCTGATGCACTCCGTACCGCATCAGACCGTACCGCAGTAGACTACATAAGCACCAGTGGGAGAAAACAGGAAGCGACCACTCCTTGACCGCCGTTATCATTAACTACCCCTATCCTACACGTACATCTGCTACAAATACAAGTACACGTCTCGCAGTTCAGGTCTGTCGACATGCCACAACGATGATTGCTAGCTGCACCAGACTTCTATGATGACTGACTGTGGGGTAAGAAAAACTCGGAACAGTGCAGAGGGGGACTAACTAGTTGCCATGCCAAACAAACAAACACACCACCCTCTGCAGCACCCCAAGGATATATACGTGCAAGCCAACCCCCCTTCTGCGTTCTAGTCTAGTTCCTGTCCAGCTTGCGACGCTCGTTGCGCGTCCGCTTCATGAGCTTCTTGTACTTCTTCTTCTTCATCCTCAGCCGACGACGGCGCAGCACGCTGAGGCCGTACATGTCGCGGCCACTGGTGCTCTGGGCGTCCTCAAACTTGAGCTGGCGCTGGGCGAGGCGCTGGACGAAGCTGCGCGGCTGCTGCTGCGGGGGCTCGTTGCCGTTGAGGATCTGCGGGCTGTGCGCCACGATGCGGACCTCGCCGTTGGCCTCGGTGTTCTCCTCAATGGTGAACATGGCCTTGTAGGAGCGGTGGTGGGCGGCGTCGGCGTCGGCAGCGGCCTCCGCCTCGGCGGCGGCGGCGGCCGTGTCGGCCTCGAGGTTGGGCTGCGGTTGGGGCAGAGGCGGCGGGCGGAAGGGGAGGAAGTCGCCCGACATGTGGTCGACTTGCACGTAGATGCTGGACTCGGAACCGTCGGCGTTGCGGACCTGCATGCTCTGCATGTGGTCCTGTGGCTGGGGGTCCTGGCCGATGGACATGGAGCCCATGGGGCCCTCGAGCTGGTCGATGGTGCTCGAGAGGGTGGCCATGGCATCGTTCATCTTGGACGCCTTGGACCTCGACGCGAAGATGGCCGCAAACTGCTCGTCGGTGATGGATCGGGGCATGGTCTGCGTGATGGAGATGGGTCGGTGGAGGGAGAAGAAGCTGGACAGGCCAAGGGCTATCGCGGAGTTGCTTGTCAGTACATGGTTTTCAATCGATGCTGTCGCGTTCCTTTGCTCGCGTTCTGCACTCACCTTCGCCTGCCATGTGGTGCGTGCTGGGCACGCTCGGCAGGTGCTTCATGGCACGCTGCGCCGACTTGCGTTTCCTCTTCTCGCCGGCGGCCTTGCCGTGTCCTCGCGCCTGGACCGCCTCGTCGGCCGTCGCGGGGGGCACAGGGCTCGACCCGTTGTTCGAGCTCGAAGGTTTCGATGAGGAGCAGCGTCGCTGGTGCCCGCGGAAGAAGGGCGTCGCTGTCGTCGCGGCCGAGGCGGCGGCTGCCTTGGGCGCGGTGCACGCCAGAGAGGAGGCGAGGCCACCGGCTTGGGGTGCCGTGGTGGCCACGACGCGGCGCACCGATGAGGGCAACATGATCCGTGCGGACGTCTCCAGAGAGGTGAGAGCGTCTGTAGAGTCGTCCCGAGAGGTGGGAGGGAGGGTGGATGGTGGTTTGGATGGTCAAGTGGGATCAGGATGCGCAGTGTGTGATCACGGAGGCTCGTCAAAATCCGGGTTTGCAGGGTGGAGCCTCGTCGGTTCGTGGTGGCCTGCTATTCGTCGGCGGCCTGAGGCAGGCAGACAGGCTAAGGTATTGGGTTTCGAAGGACGCCGCGTCTCTGCTACCAAGTGTATCAAATGGCTCTGGAGGGATCAACAGTCCTTTGCACACAAGGCGACGGTACACGTCCTCATATATCAATAGCGCAGCAGCTTAGTGATTTTGCCTCTGTCCCCAGGACAGCCCTGCCTTACCTAGGACGTGTCAAGGGCTTAGTGCCTCACCTGACCCCCAGCGTTGACCGCTCCCATTCACGAGCGTCCAAGACAACGAATGGGGCAGTTAGTTGGTCATGAGGGGTAGCGCATTGAGCCAAGCTGCGAGACGGCGTCTAAAGCTGCTCAAGTGCTATGACGCACTTTCTTGCTATCCTGCGATCCACAGATATGGTCTCGAGTCCTTGACCTGCTGAGTGCTAAAAGTACTGTCCTAAAAGACCACCCAATGTGTGGCCGAGTTGGAGACTTGGAGTACGTCCGTCTCCAATGAGGCTGACAAGACTCGAAGAAACGCAGACCCGGACAGTACCACCGCTTGACCCGAGTCGCAAGTTGATGTCCTTTCATTACAATGTGTGATTTGAATTGTGATTCTCAGCGCAACAGCAGACTATGCATCTTCGCCCAATGCCTCTATGACTCTATCCGTGAAAATAAAAATAAAAAAGAATCCTCTAGACTAGTATGCAGAAAGTGCGAAAGACGCCAAACCATGGTCTATAGCTCCCATTGTGTTGTTCCCAGGCAAAGCAGACCATACACAGAAAAGAAGGCAAAGAAGGGGGAGAGAGAGAGAGAGAGAGAGAATGAAAACAGAATGGCCACGGCCTTATTTGTTGTTCACCCAGCTCAGGTAGCTGTTCCACCCAATGGAGATGACATTTGCAAAGAGCAGACGGTGCTGCAGCGGCAGAAAGGTAAAGTTGACAAACTGCACAAACGGCCAGACGCACCAGTTGGCCGTGAGCGCGGGCCACCACGTCGTCTGCAGCTTGCGGCTGGGGCTGCCGCCCTCCATGACGGACATGCTGCTCAGAAAGGCGCCGATGGCGACGGGCGCAAAGAGGAGCTGGTCGCAGGCCACGCGCGAGAGCGTCGTCAGGCGCGGGTTCCGGGGGTTCACGTTGCGCGCGAGGAAGGCGAACCAGGTCGTGGCCGCGGGACCAAAGACGCAGCCGCCGTAGAGGGCCATGCGGCCCGTGCGCGTCAGGTCGTGCTTCTGGAGGCCGCGACCCTCGACGAGCTGCTGGGCCGTAATGTCGCCCGTGGCGAAGAGTACCGATGTGGTCACGGCCTGGGTGAGAAGGGGGCGCGCGGCGAGGCGGCCATTGTACCTGGGCAAATGGTTAGACCGTCATTGTCTTGGGGGCCGTAGCCTTTGAAGAAGATATTGACATACCAGCGAATGAAACCAGACATGGTGGCTGTTGGATGTACAATTCGAAAGGGTAAAGGTACGGTCAGGTAGGTGTTGATGCGACGGACTGAACTTTAATGTTCGGTGAAGCGTGAGCGAGCGAGCGTCTCTACTCTATCCCCCGAGTTCCAATTTCAGGAGCTGGCGCAAAGGGGTCAAAAATCGCGTCAATGGCAGTGGAATGAAGGTCTGACGACGGATTGAAATGAATCGACAATCTATTCACAATGGTTGGGCAAGCCACGATGAGAAGGGAGAGAACGAAAAGTCAGGACTGACAAAGGTCGTGGGATGGCAGACGGTCTCTCCGTGTCGCCGCATCAATCTTTTTCTTCTTTTTTTTTGCCTCCAGCTGGAAAGATGGGGGTCCAGGTCAAGTAATCGCCAATGGGGGCCTAGCCGGCGCCTAGGCGGCTGGATCTAGGGGGGAAACGTGGGGTGTCGCAGGGCCTCATCCCCTGGACTCATCTCGGGCCCCGGGGTTCTGTTCTATCTGCAGCAGCACTGCAGCTGGAAGTCCGAGTCAGTGATCACCGACCGAACTCACCTACAAACACGAATGCGTGTCTGCTATCAACAGCAACTCCATCGTTCAAGATCTGTCTGTCATAATCAATACCCAGTCATTGCCGGTCGCCCTGATCTGTGCCATCGTGGTCTTAGCCCCCTTCTCGCCGACGACCAGCCCATCTGATAACCGACACTGACTTGATCAATTTCCCAACCCATGAGCGCAATATCGCACTACGCCAGGTGATCAACAGACTTCTCAAAGAGACCCTCCAACTGGTCCAAAGTTTTCAATACAGCTCAGTCAAACGCCTATCGCCATGCCTTGCCATGCCACCATCGCCCAGAATACAGTCTGGCGTAATACATCACATGCCCCATTCCATGCCTTGTCTCGTCAAACCTCTGTCTCAATCCCCGTCTGGCCCGTCTTGCGGTCAAAGACGCCCTCCACCTTGTCGCCCACACTCTCCGCCTTGTGCTTCATCCATTTGGCTGTTCGCGGAATCTGTTTTCTTCGGTTAGCCCATGGCTCGCTCACTCCTCCGATCACTGTCGCAGACAAAAAAAAAACTCACCTTCCACTGCATGAGGCCTCTGTGCTGGCGATGTAGCCCTTGCTCTCGCCTTTTATAGGCCTTGGCCTGGTCGATGGGACCCTGCTTCTGCCCAGCACTGCCGTCGGGCACGTCGCCATCCTCATCCTCATCAGACGAGTCGCTGTCGGACGAGACCTCCTCGTCCACAATGCCCGCCTTGCGCTCCATCTTGTCAAAGTCGTGGTTGTCCTGCGCCACGTTGATGACTTCCACTACGTCCCGCAGGTTGGGGTCCTTGTTCGCCCAGCCTGAGTGCGCGCCGCCGAGGCCGGCCCAGAACGTCACGGTCAGCGTCACCGTGCCCAGGCGCTCGCCGGGCTCTTCGACGCAGTTCGACGTGGCGCGCTTGAAATCGCCCTTCCAGACTGGTAGCTCCAGCTCCTGCTGCTCCTCGTCCGGCAGGTCCTTGAGCCACAGCACGCAAAACGCCACCGTGTCATCCTTGAACGTCCCCTTTGTCTTGAGCGAGATGGACATGCAGCTCGCGTATCGCCTGTGCACGGCCAGTCGGAGGCTCTTGTCCCTCTTTGTGTGCCAATTCTGCTCCTCCCTGTTGGCGTACATCTTGCCCTTGTCGAGGGTCGTCTTGAACTTGAGGCGTGCATGCTGCAGCGTCTCGTCGAGGCCGGTGGAGCGCGCAATGTGCTGCACCTCGATTGTGCCGCAGTCCCACCCCAGGAGGTTGGGCGGTGCCGGGAGCTGCACGCTGCGCCAGACCATGGACAGGCGGATCTTGCCGTGCCCGATGCCGCCGGCGAGGGGCCACGTACCCATCAGCTGTGACTTCTCCCGGAAGATCTCGTACAGTGGGAGGTGCACAATGCCCAGCAGGGCGTCATCCTCGTCCACGCGCGAGTCGCGCACCGACACGTACGCCTCGCACTCGCGCCAGTCGCCGACGAAACGCTCCGTGCCCGCGTTGAAAAACGGCTTGGAGTTCTGCGGCTTGGTGCGTGTCCTGTACACTTTGCGGTGGTTGATGATGATGGTGCAGTACGCGCTCGGCAGGCTCTCGCCCGTCTCCTCATCGTCTGTACCGTCGCTGGCCTTGTCCGACTTGTCCTTGCTGAGCCGGCCCAGCTCGAGGCCCATGATGTTGTGGATCTGCAGGCTGAAGACGCCGCTGGGGTAGCCCTCGGGCGGGGGCGCAGAGATAATCATGGCATCTTCCATGGCTTTGAACTCTTGCTCCTTCAGCTGGTCCAGCTCGCTCTTGTCCTCGTCCTTGTCGCCCTTGCCGTCCTTGATCATCGCCTCCCGCAGCTTCTTCTCACAGCTGGCGTCGACCTTGCTCTTCAGGTCGTCGAGGCTGCGGATCTCGGGATCGTAGCTCTGTTGCTCGTACTGGCATTTTTGCAGCCTCGTTTTGGAGAAGTACCCGACCTCCCACTCCAGCTTGCCGGGCATGCCATCGCCGGGCTTGAGCGCCCTGAATCCATCCGTGCGTTTCTGCATACGGCCGTTGGACTCCTCGTTCTTCATAATCCCCTTGACGTCCACTTCGATGCGGCCCAGGTCGTCGTCCGCGCTCACGCGGTCAGAGTCCCAGAGCTGGATGCGGATACGCTCGTCGACATTGAGCTCCTCGTCCGTCACGAGCACAAAGCAGTGCTCATCCCAGTGAGGCTCCATCTCGGAGATGAGGATGCGTGTGCTCCAGAGGACCTTGCCAAACTTGGCCCAGCCGACGGAGACGTACGGATCGGACGACCCATCCTTGATCAGGGGAATACCAGTGTCGGCCATTTTGAAGTCGTAGCCTCGGACAACCCGGATCATCAAGATGCCCTTGGCAGTCGTGTCCTTCTTGTAGTCCTCCCCTGCCAGCATGTCCTTCAGGTTGAGGACCAAGCTCTTGGGCGCAACGTACTGCGACATTGCTGCGTCGATCGAGGCCTGCACGAAATTGCTGATAAAGGGGACGTCCATGATGTTCAGGCCATGCTTCGTCAGTGGGGTGCAGCTGAGATCGACCTTGGGCTGGCCGAGAAATGTGAGGGTGCACAGTTCAAAGAATGGCGGGTCAGGGGTCAGCTGTAGCCTCAGGCGGATGGTGCCGATGATGCCGCGGAGGTCCACCCAGACGGGGAGCTTGAGGGTGTCGGATATGTAGAAAGCGAGGCAGAGATGAATGTCCTTGGAGCGGGATCTCATCGAGTCGGAGCTGGAGCGGGATCGATACGCAAAGGCCACCTCAAGGTTGATGAACTCACCATCCTCAGCCTCCATGCCCTCCTGGATCTCATGGCCCTCGCCGTCCGTGTTGTCGTCCTTCTCGCCATCCTTGCCCTCGTCTGTCTGCTGCTCAGATGTCAACCCGCCGTCTTGAGTGACGGAGTCGGTAGCGGCACCACGGGGCAGCCAGCGGACACCAAGGATGCGGACCGCCTCGCTACCTTGCCCGATGTCGTCGACGCTCACCATGCGTACGAACTTGGGCAGCGATGCCTGCATGACATCCTCGAGAGTGTCGCCCAGCGAGGCAAACAGATCAGGATTGATCATGGGCCAGACCGATCCCAGGAGAGAGTTGAGCCAGACAGTCGTTTCCGTCTCATGCTTGCGGGCGTCCGAGTTGACGAGCTCGCGCTGGGCCTCCCAGACTTCGTCCTCGAAGACGTTACTGATGCGTCTAGAGATCCAGTCCCGAACGGCGAGCGTGAGAACCGCCGCGCCCCCAATGCCAATCGTCATCAGTGAGAACCAGGTGACCTTGCCCGCACTCGACAGGGAACCATCATTCTGGTGAATGAACTTGCTGAACACGACACCGCCGAACGTGATGACGGCCAGGCCAATCAGCCCGAAAGTGATACCCTTGTTGGCAATGGTGCTCATCTCCTGCCGCAGGGCATCAAAATCGGGCGGTGGGAAACGATGCACGAGCTCTCCATGGTCCTGCTGTAGTCGGGTCTTGTCTTTGGAGAGCTTCTCACCCTTGGCCTCCTCACTGAGCCCAGATGTCGTTTGCTGGATACCATCGGACTGCGGATATGACTTGTCCATGTCCACGTTCTCGAGCGCCGAGTCTGTGAAGTCGTGGATGGTGATGGGCAAATGGGTCACCGGATCCGTGACCTCACGCTCTGCTCTCTCTTTCTTGTTTCCATCCTTGCCCTTTTTGCTGGATTTGATCTCCTTCATGCGCTGCCTCGGGTCTGCGGCGCCGGGGTCAATCTCGGATGTGTCTTGGGGTGTATCGTCCTGCTGCTGCTGCTCATCATCATCATCGTGATGCTGCTGGGTTTCTGGTGGCTCGTTGTCCTTGTTGCTTAGCTGCCCTGATCCGAGCGCAGCTGTCGTATCGGTCACGCCTTGGGCGTCATCATCTGCTTTCATCGCCGCATCCTGGCGAGCTGCCTTCTCCTCGCGGTACTTGGAGATGGTGGGGATGGGGTGTCTGGCACCATAGGGCGCGTGGTGGCGCCGAACGTCGTCAATGTCCTCATGGCCAGCCATATTAGATACGACGTTCTTTTATCTGAGATGAGAAAGGGAGGATGAGAGCCTTGAGAGGCTAAGAAGAGAAATCAAAGTCTCTTCACTTTTCACCCTGCCCTTCGTAATTGTGACTGAAACGCGTGGGCCAAGGCAAAGAGAGGCTACGTCATAAAATTGTGGTCATGCCATTCGTACGTCGTTAACGTGGGGCAGGAGCTCATCGTGCTCGGTTCCAATCCCTGCTTGGACGACCTATCCATCCAATGCCTGCGAAAGCTGCGAAACCAAGTTTGTTTTTGCTCTTGTTCGAGCCGATCTCTCCGAGGTCTACCACCCAAGCGTGTACGCGACCGACCCCCTTCACGGTCTTCCCCGTCTGTCATCAATAGTGTAGAAGCTGCCCGCTTTGCATCGTGATGCCGCGCTGGACCAGGCCGCAGACTAGCGTTATGGTTGGATCAACCGGACACGAGCCTCCGTTGTTTGGTCTGATTGTTGGTTTTTGATGTGTGACAGCGGGCACTGGATTAGATCTACTATTTGCGGCTCCAGCACTCGTTAGTTGAGTTGATCATTACGCGTAATCGCAGGTTAGACTAGTGCGTTGCGGGACTCAGCATGGGTTATTATTTTATTAGTGTGGCCACCCCGCCAGCTGCCAGCTGCCACCATGTCAGTGACTCCGTGTGAGCCTCCAGTTCCTCAACAGCATTTAATCAAAGATCGCTTTCCATCAGCTATTTTGAAAGTGCTACATTAATGGGGGCTCTCTATGGTCGTCGAGCGAGTCATCTGCGGCACCAGAACCGAGAAGACCAGCCTGTTTTGCCCAAGAGCGCGCTGTCCGCTTTGCGCTCCTCACCTTGAGCAAGGGAAGATTGCCTAACGACCTTATGAACAGCTTCTTGATGGCCTTTGGTCTTGCGGATTATCGTGCAGAACCAACCGGGTGCAAGCGAAAGAATCACAGGCCTGGTAAACTGCATTCTTGTATAGTACGTACGTAGATTCATTGGACATACGTACGTTGGAACGTGACGGGCGGGAGCATGCAACACCAGTGCTGGTGATTCGGTGAATCCCAGGCTCCCATCCCAGCAAGTCTCTGATCTCCAGCTTTTTAGGCGACATCATTGTGAATCTGTCCCAGACTGGACCCTCGAAACTTCTGGAGCAGGCAAGACTGTGAGCATTGTAGATCTCACTGCCGCCGACACGCCGATCAAACTCGGCTCACCAGGAGAATGTTGCAGAGTTCTTGTGTCCTTGTGGCAACCTGCCGTTGCGTGTCGGTGGTGGCAGCTGACAAGGTGTCGTTTTCGGCCTTTGATAATCATTGTACTATGACTATACCCAGTGCAAAAGACGATGGCTGCCAAGGCATCGACAGGCACAAATTACAAGTAGGAACCGGGCAGATAGAACTATCATTCCAGTAGCCGTGCGTGTAGTTGGTGAGTTAGTTTAAGCTCATGACCCAAACCGCCATGTCGCGAGTATGCCAGATCAAGTGGAGACTGGAGACGGGGGCACGGTTGAGAGCTGAGACAACGCCACACTCACTGACGTCGTCCAGTAACCCTGCCACCGAGTTTAAAAGTCGGATTGTCCCTTCCCTATCAAGCCCGATACCCATGCCAAGATATTTTTCCTACTGTGGTGCGGACGGGACGAAATGCTTGAGAGGGCCACGCTTTGAAAACTGCCAGTGAGCAATCAAAGCAATGAAGCAATGACATGAGCTCGATGCTAGGAATGAGGTGAATCCCATAATATTAATAGTACCCAGTGGTCGACTTTTAACAATTATCTTCCACAACTTGTTGCGGTCACTGTGGGCCCTTGGCCAATATTTAAGCGCCGTGACGCTTCTTTAGGCTTAGCGCCTCTGCGATGTTCCAACCAACCAACGCAAGAAGGATCGTGAACTCACAAAAGACAACGCCATTAACCGCTGAGCGTTTGCCGCCGGATCTTCTACTATTACATCTCCTCGCCCATCATGGCAACATCTCCATTTTCTTTCCCAATGTTGCACTCAACTCTCCAGACCTTGTTCGATCTGTACTCTTTGGAATCTGAAAAGGGTTGACCGGGTCAAGCTCCCCCTACCCCCAGTCCATAGTGCCCACCCTTGCGTGCGCCTCTCACACCCGACGTCGCAACCTGATACCGCTGAGACGGTACCAACCGGACGAACGACTACACGGTTTCAGCAGCGTCACGCAGCGACCGTCGACGCTCTCAGCTTTTACTTTATCAGTCTCGCTGCACCTTGTCGAGAGGAATAATCTTTTCTCGTCTCTCGTCAGTCGCTGGTCTCGACTGTCATTCGCTCAACTGCTGCTGGTCGGGATATCTCTTCAATCTTTTTCTCATTCTTGGCGATTATACTCATCCTGTCCTTAATACTACCCAGCCTCCACAGCCAGCAACATGGGCGCTCCATCCACATACGGCGAGCTCTTTCGCAAGCAGTTCAAAGCACCAAAGCTCCTCTTTCACTTCTGCTTCTGGGCTTTTCACTGGGGTATCTTCGCCTATGGCTGGTACAAGCAGGCTTCCGATATCCGTCTCGCCGGTCTCAACACACTCACCTTCTCGGTGTGGATCTCTCGTGGCGCGGGACTGGTGCTCAGCGTCGACTGCATGTTGATCCTGCTGCCCGTCTGCCGCACGATTATGAAATTCGTCCGCCCCAAGATACGCTTCCTACCCCTTGATGAGAACCTCTGGATGCACCGGCAGTTGGCCTACTCCATCCTCTTCTTCACCTGTCTGCACGTCGCCGCGCACTATGTCAACTTTTACAATGTCGAGATCGGGCAGATTCGACCCGTTTCCGCGCTCCAGATTCACTACGCACAGGCAGGAGGCATCACCGGCCACGTCATGCTCCTGTGCATGTTCTTCATGTACACCACGGCGCACGCACGCATCCGCCAACAGTCCTTTGAGACCTTCTGGTATACGCACCACCTCTTCATCCCTTTCTTCCTGGCACTCTACACCCACACTGTCGGATGCTTCGTCAGGGACACGGCGGAAGGATACTCCCCCTTTGCGGGAAAGGACTATTGGGACCATTGCATCGGCTACCTCGGCTGGCGGTGGGAGCTGTGGACCGGTGGCTTCTACCTCATCGAGCGCCTGTGGCGCGAGGTACGAGCAAGGCGGTCGACCGAGATCACCCGCGTTGTCCGTCACCCATACGACGTTGTCGAGATCCAATTCGACAAGCCGAGCTTCAAGTACAAGGCCGGCCAATGGCTGTTCCTCCAGGTGCCCAGCATCAGCAAGTACCAGTGGCACCCCTTCACCATCACTTCGTGTCCCTTTGATCCGTACGTGTCAGTGCACGTGCGACAGGTCGGCGACTTTACACGCGAGCTGGGCGACGCCCTGGGTGCCGGCGCGGCTCAGGCCAAGTTGTACGATGGCGTGGACCCCATGGGTATGTACGAAGTCGCCCTGCAGAACGGACAAGAGATGCCTGCTTTGAGGATCGACGGCCCCTACGGAGCCCCAGCCGAGGACGTCTTTGAGAACGAGATCGCCGTGCTGATCGGCACGGGTATTGGCGTGACGCCCTGGGCGAGTATCCTCAAGAACATCTGGCACCTGCGCAATTCCCCCAACCCTCCCAGGCGTCTGCGCCGCGTGGAGTTCATCTGGGTGTGCAGGGACACTGGCTCCTTTGAGTGGTTCCAGACCCTCCTGTCCTCTCTCGAAGCGCAGTCCAACGAGGCCGCGCGCGTCCCCGGGTCGTCGGGCGAGGAGTTCCTCAAGATCCACACCTATCTCACGCAGAAGCTCGACATGGACACGACCCAGAACATTGTGCTGAACTCGGTGGGCAGCGAGATGGATCCCCTGACCGAGCTCAAGAGCCGCACCAACTTTGGACGACCCAACTTCAACAACATGTTTACCGCCATGCGTGAAGGCATCCGGGACAGGAGCTACATGGGCGGACTAGAGGGGAGCATGAAGACGACGGTGGGTGTATACTTCTGCGGGCCGTCTGCAGCCGGTAAGTTTCTGCGTACCACAAGCATAACCTGATGACAATGTTGCTAACGAGATGCGCAGCTCGAGACATCAAAACAGCATGTAAGGACGCTACAGCGAGGGACGTTCATTTCCGGTTCTGGAAGGAGCATTTCTAAAGGAAATCTGTCACGACTATGTAGCAAGCGTCGAATTGAAATTTCTGAACCACCTAGTATGCCACCTGACACAATACGGAGTACACATCGAATGCTTCGAGTGCCGGATACCATACCCCTGACGGGGCTGCGTCTCATCACAATCCTGCCCTGGCCTAATACGTACCTATACTTGAGGCGCATATGACAGGGATGACCATATTTTGTTCGCCGTAGGCATAATGGATCTATTATATCATGCTTATTAACCTGTTTAGTTCTGTGTGACCAATGCCGGCTAACTGCATACGTTTTGAAATGTGTCCAAGACTCAAAGTAGACGTCACTACTATTCCCTGATATTCTACATAAAAGCTCGGATCTGAAGAATTAAATAAAATGATTATGTTCCTTCTTATTTAAGTAGCATCAAGAGAAACAGTCAAAAGCATACTGCGCAGTAAAAGGCATGGCAAACCACGATCTTGTCGTGGGAGCTCCAAGGTGCAGGGTTGGCAAAACACCGCTGACAAAGCACTGCACGTCACGGTGCGCGGTTCCTTTGCCTTGCCTCAAATCGCATCGCATTGCACTGTTGAAGGTCCATGTTCATCCCTCTCTAACATCGCCTCAACACTCCACCGAATCTGGCCTTGCTGTGCCGTCAGTGAATCATTGTCAGGCAAATCAGCTGCCACTCTTCTCCACTAGAGCCCGCACAAAACCACAGCCATGGCGACGGCCACATCGCCCCAAGCCGCCGCCAGCGCCATCCTCAACCACACCTCGCCCACCTACACATTCGCCTTCACGCCCTTCCTCCAGCAGACCTACCAGGTCTCCCTCCCCGCCGACCGGCCGATATGCCGTGCCTTCAACACGGGTACCTGCCCCAACGGCACGCGCTGCCCGGAGCGCCACGTCCTCATCAACCCCTCCGAGTCCACACAGCGCCAGGGCGGCCTCAACTCGCTCGTGTGCAAGCACTGGCTGCGCGGGCTCTGCAAAAAGGGCGAGCACTGCGAGTTCTTGCACGAATACAACCTACGCAAGATGCCCGAGTGCAACTTCTTTATGCGCAACGGGTACTGCTCTAACGGCGACGAGTGTCTCTACCTGCACATTGATCCGCTCTCGCGGCTGCCCCCGTGTCCGCACTACGACATGGGCTTCTGCCCCCTGGGCCCGCGCTGCGCGAAGAAGCACGTGCGGAGGAAACTGTGCGTGTACTACTTGGCCGGGTTCTGCCCCGACGGACCCGAGTGCAAGGCGGGCGCGCATCCAAAGTGGCAGACCAACCTCGATCGGCCGCGGGCGAGGAGCGAGGTCAAGGAGGAGGAAGACGCAGAGAGGGAGGCAAGGATCGAAGCGGCCATGGGCCGGGAGGAGGAGGAGCGCAGAGAGGACTGGGGTGGCGGACGCGGCGGCGGTCAACATCGCGGCAGGGGTGGGCGGTGGAGAGGGGGCAGAGGACGATTCAGAGGAAAGCACTAAAAGTGAAGTCTCGATACCCCAAGGTGCGAGAGAGGAGTCTGTACATTTCATTGGTTTTATCTACAGCTGCGACGGCGATCGCCCCCAAACACCACTTTCCACGTCGGCCCTCCAGATATTCTTCTCCGGTGTGATGGCGACAAATTGCTCCGACGCGGAGCCCTCATCACCATTCTCTGATCCATCGCGCGACGACCCTTCATACGAGCTCGTCTTCCAAGTGGAGAGCTGGTCGACCTTGCGGATGCCCATCATCCACGAAACCAGGCTCCTGGGGGCGAAGCGGCCGACGAAGCCATAGACGCTCGCACCAAGACCGACGCGGATCGTGTCGGCGGCTATGGATCCGTCGATCACGTCAAAGACCGAATTATGGAGATGGCGTAGCGACGATCCCTTGAGGCCCCTGATGCGACCACCCGAAATGGCACTGCTCGTCTGCGCCATAAAGTTGCGCCCGTAGACGTGCCGGGCACCGTCGGGCCAGACGAGCGTGTCCTCAGGATTCCCAGCTCCCAGCGATGCGTTCTGTCGTGCTGGCACAAAGGCGGACAGGTCAAATGTACCGAGCTGCATGTGGGTGACCGTAATGTCCAGTGGCCTCAGCTCGGCGGTCAAGACGTCGGTGAACGCTCCCAGTGCCGAACACACCGTTGCCTCGGGTGCATGGAAGGGCGGGTTGATGGATGAGATGATGCTGGGTGTAAAGACGAGGACCTTTGGCGGGATCCATTTCTCCCCGATGGGCTGCAACCTCGAGGTCAGCAGTGGTAGGAAAGCTTGGATTGTGAGGATGGGCTGCAGTAGATGTGTGTTAAAGAGGTCGGCAAAGCTGGAGGGCGGGATGGTCGCAATGGGCGAGGTTTGGTAGTTGAGACTCGGTATGAGAATGATGGATTTGAGAGTGAGGGCGTTGGGTTTGACGGTGGGCGCAGGCGAAGAGCCGGACTGGAGATGGAGTGCGAAGCGTTCTATGGCGGCCCCGGCTTTGGGCGGCTGTCCTTTTGTTAGGTTTTTACGCATGAGTAGGGGAGGGTAAGGAGTGCACTCACATCTGTTGTGTCGATAGTCAGCGGTCGGATGTCCGGCCTCGCTAGCGCAGATACAGCTCCCTCGTCCTCAGCCGCATTGCACACAATGTACACGACAAACCCGCGTCTCTCCATGTCCAAGGCCAATGACTTTGTGAGTGGCAGACTCGCCGAGCCAGCGATCACGACAACCTCTGTTCGTCCACCGTTCCTGGCGCGCTTCGCTCGCCGTACTTTGCGAGCGGATTTACCGGTCTGGTATCCCTTCCAGACGACGGTTCCACACGCAAGGACTATGCATCCTGTAAGGATTTTGTTTCGCCAGATCCATGCTTGGACCTGATCCAACCTCGACAGAGCAGAGACGGGTACGGGCGCTGGCTTGGGCGGCGGGAGATTCGGCCGTATAGTGTCTGGGATCCACGAGGACTGGGAGAGCGTGGAGCGGATCTGTGAAGCGGCAGCGTCGACTTGTGTGTTGATGACTTCAGCGACAGAACCGCTGTAGGAGACGATGCGGTCAGGCAGCGAGGCGAGCTGGATTCGTCAGCGGAGGAGAACACGCGCCTGCCCAAGAGAGCATGTACTTACCGCGTCCAGGAACTGCTGGTCGTCAGCAGACATGATGCCGTCGGTGGTGATGGGATACTATTGCGGTGCTGTTGGGCATGAAGAAGAAGCAGATGACGCCTGTTTGCTCTTTCCTTTGACTTCGCGTCGGCAGACCAGGGCCTGCAGATGCGTTTCCGTGATTGGATGCCGGGCTTGGCGGCTCTCCACCCTTATCAGGCAGATGGAGGTGGGGCTATCTCCATGTTCATATGCAGCACGCGAGGACAAGTCAGGCCAGGAAGATCATGATGTAGGGAAGTATTTTGATTTGATGGATCAAGGAGGAGTATTATAGGGGACCTCCTTCACACGTACGTAGTACGCCTACCATAAAATGTAATGCTGCCATGTTGTTGCGGACATACAGCTGTCAGTGTACTCTCAAAAAGTCACATGCATGCGCGCGTGAGCGCCAGCTGCGTCAAAGGATTCAACGGGACCATTTCATGTACGGATCGAGTGATACATACACGCATTGCACACGGTAGAAAACAAAACATCTAGCCTTTCTGGCTAAGACCCCTCATTTACCAAAGTTATTTGTCCTGAATCCACTCAGCTCAGTGTCGACAGCGCCCTAAGGAGCGTAGCTACCCCAGATTACCCCACACGCCCAGCGAACGGCTACTCACGGCAAGCTGCAGCTCAGTCGATCTATCTCTTAGTCAACACTTAAAGCCAGACAGCCCGCCCGTGCGTCCCCATCCCTTATCTGGTCCTCGGCGTCTCGATCCTTTTCCTCCCGATCTTCCCCTCAGCTCTGATTGTCCGAAGCCCACGAGGACACATACAGACACCATGTTCCTCTTGGATTATCTCAACCACCGGCGCGACTGGTAAGACGTCACGTCTCCCACAGAATAGCAGAACTGACAAGAGGCAGCCAGTTCAAACAGAACGAGCGCGTCGCTCGCCTCCGTGGCCTCCCCTCGTGCTACCACGCCGCCTTCTCTCCTCTCGACCGCGACATCGTCACCAAGCCCATCCAATCGCTCGTCGAAGATGTCCACAACGACCCCTCCAAGGCTACGCAGATCTTGCGCACTTACGGTAAAGTGGCCGTCAAAGCGCACGAGAAAACCAACTGTGTGACGGAAGTCATGATCGAGCCCGCTGAACGCTGGCTCAAGGACGGCAGCGTCAATCTCAAGGGGCCATTGGCCGGAATCCCGATCAGCCTGAAGGATTCCCTCGAGGTGGGAGGGTTCGACACCACGGTGGGGATCAGCAGCCTGACAGGCAACGCGCAAAGGACCGACGGACCGCATGTGAAGCTCCTGAAAGACGCGGGCGCCGTGCCCTATGTCAAGACAAACATCCCCATCACGCTCCTCAGCTTCGAGTCGACCAACCAAGTCTGGGGCCAGTGCACAAACCCCTACAACGAAAAGTACACACCCGGTGGCTCGACAGGCGGCGAAGGTGCGCTGCTCGCCCTAGGAGGTCGGCTGGGTGTCGGCAGCGATGTGGCAGGCAGCGTGCGTGTCCCCGCGCACTGGAGCGGCATCTACTCTCTCCGCTGCTCGACGGGACGATGGCCCAAGAGTGGGGCTCTCACACCGATGCCTGGGCAAGACGGTGTGCCTTCGGTCCTGAGCCCAATGACCCGAACACTCAACGATTTGGCGTACTTTACCCGGTCGATTGTGCAAATGGAGCCGTGGAAATACTGCTACACGTGCCACCCGCTTGCCTGGCGATCAGATGTTGAGAAGGCGTACAAGGAGAAGAAGGTGCTCAAAGTTGGCATCATGCGAACAGACAATGTCGTCGACCCTTCACCACCATGCCAGCGAGCACTGGAGATGACAGAGGCCGCCCTGAGGAGGGCAGGGCACGAGATTAGGGAGATCTCACCTCCCGATCCCTACGAAGGTCTCCAGGCCGCCTCTCTCCTGCTGAATAACGACGGCGTGAGGACGGCGACTGACTGCATGCGCTGGGGCGAGTGGAACGACAAGGGCGTCGCACAGATGCTATTCTACATGAGACTACCCCGTCCGATCAAGTACCTACACTACCTGTGGGTCAAGTACGTCCGGCGGGATCCCGTCTGGGCGGGCTTGCTGCGAGACTGGCACCCCAAGAGTGCTTACGAGGTCTGGGGGCTGAACGCGAGGCGCGAGGCGTACAAGCGCAGGTGGTTCGAGTGGTGGAATCATGTGGACGTGGACTTTATCATCGCGCCGCCGAATGCCACGCCGGCAGTACCGCACGGTGGTATGCATGATGCCGTGAGCAGCTGTGGGTACACGTTCTTGTTCAATCTGGTGAGTCCCCTCCGATCCATTCCTGGTAGTCGAAACAATCATTGACGGCGTTTCCAGCTGGATTACACTGCAGGAATTATCCCTGTCACCCACGTTGACCGGGAGAAGGATGCCTTGAGCCCTCACTTCAACATCAAGAAGCTGAACGGTGTGGCGCAAGGAGCATACAAGCTGTATGATGCGGATGCGATGCACGGGCTGCCGGTGGGTGTGCAGGTAATTGGTCGGAGATTGGAGGAGGAGAAGGTGCTGGCTTGCATGGAGAGAGTAGAAGAGGCCTTGGGAGATGACAAGTTCAGACTCTTGGAGCTAGACTGAGCTGTTGGTCCCGGGGACGCAGCCTGGATACTACCACAGGTAAAAGCGCCTGACAATGAGTAAATGATGACATGTGAACCCTTGGCAAAATTATTGAGAAAACTGACATCTGTTGACTGAACGATCGGCACACTTTGATACGTCCTAAACTGATACTGCCGAGTAGTGTAGAAGGGAGGATTTCCCTGGACGCTGCCCCCTCGCCGAGATCGGAGCACCGGCTCGAGTACATAACAAGGGACGTCGAAGCGAGCATGCGCCTTTGATAGCATCGACATCCGTTTCGATTCGCATTTTCGCAAACATAGGACTGCATAGAGGAGTGCAATGACCGACAGTACTAACAAGGACCACTGGTCTTCATCGGTCAGCCCTTTTTCCTCCTTGCGTGACAAACCTCCACTTACACGCCCAGGCCTATCAACACTCAGCCTCTTTCGTGCCCAAGTTGGCAACCAAAATAGTCCAATGGCTTGACCTACAAAAGGACGATGTCCTTCTTGATGTCGGCTGTGGCGGTGCGTTGTCTGTTCATCGGATCATGGCCAACCTTTGCTGACGACGAGCGGTAGACGGCGTCCTCGACGTCGAATTCGCCAAGATCCTCGCCCAGGGCAGTGGATCTCTCCATGGAACTGATGCCTCTTTGGCCATGATCGACGCGGCGAGGCAAACTTGCAGAGACGCCCCCAATGCGACCTTTCAAGGTCCGTGAGCCGAGCAGCCCAAGTTTGTCGGTACACCCCTACTCACGTTTCACGCAGTGATTGACTCCACGACTCCGAATGCCTACCAGCGGGAGACCTACACCAAGGTATTTTCCAATGCAGCCCTCCACTGGATCCTCAGTGCTCCAAGCACGCGTACGTCAACCTTCCAGTCCATGTACGACGCTCTTCAGCCCGGTGGCTCGCTGATCCTGGAGATGGGTGGCCAAGGTAACGTATGCGAGATGCGCACAGCCATCGTGTCCGCGCTTGCTCGACGCATGTCCATGGAGAACATCATTGCCGCAGAGCCTTGGTTCTTCCCCAACGAAGCTTGGTTGCAGCGCACGCTTGAGAGCGTCGGGTTCGTGGTAGAGAGGTGTGAGCGCGAGTGGAGACCCACGACCGCCGACCGAGGCGGTGTCGAAGGTTGGGTGAGGTTGATGGGCGGACAGTGGCTGGATGTGCTAGATGATGAGCAGCAGCGGGAAGAAGTCATCAAAGAATGCGCACAGGTCCTGCGACACGTTTGTGGGGGAGAGGGTGGTGACGGGAAGGAGATGATCAGCTATGTCAGGCTGCGTGCGGTGGCCAAAAAGCCGGCCGCGTGAGAAGGGTGAATCATGATTTTTCAAGCGAAGCACACTTTTTTGTGCCTGCGTCTTTTGAGGTTCGGGGGTTCAGGTTCAACCCGGTGATTGAGTCTTGGTGCGGCAGTGATCGTGAAGCGGGTACGGATACGGTTTGATAGTATTCTCTGATGAGTAATCATTTCGCAGGCAGTGGGGACTCATAGGTGCGCACCTAGGTGCGTATCTAAGATTTCTTAGTCAGCTAAGCCCCATAGAATAGGTCCGTGTGCCAATTAGATACGCGCATGCCGCAAAGGCTGCCTGTGTAAGCGGCGATGAGGCTGCTTGTGTGTGCCTATGTGTGCGACATTGAAGCTGCCTTTGTGTGCGGCCTTGAAGCTGCCTATGTGTGTGTCTTTGTGTGCGGCCTTGGCCCTTGAGGCTGGTATGAGGCTAGGTACGTAAGGTATTTGATTGGCTCTTATGCGGACTTATGGGGTTCCGGCTGACTAAGAAATCTTAGCCGCGCACCTATGAGTCCCCGCAGGCAGTTTCACGTCGTCCTCAGCAGCAGCCTCTCGGAGTCACACTCGTGAACAATGTGCAGCCACCAGTGAATCCATTGCGAAACCTGGAGGACAACGACCGGACAGTGGCAAGCAGTCATGTGTCGGATTCGGTCGCTTTCTCAAAGGTCTGGTGCCAATCGCTGATAAAAGGCTAAAGGTCCTCCGTCTCTCTTTTGATCTCGATAGTCGTGACCGCCTTATCTGTCGACTGGGTATCCTTCGCTACTCTCCGCAAGACACTTCAGGGCCGCTTCGAGCCTGTGCCAACCTTTTTACCGACTTCTTTCTTTCTTTCTACACTGTAGCAGAATAAGATGCCCGAGGTAGACGCCCTGATCAGGGCCTACCGCCACCTGCATGGTTTTCCCCGAGCAAACGAGGCTTTGCAAACCCTCAAGAAAATCGCCTCCCTAGTGAAGCCGATCATGCGGGCGCGCAACTGGAAGATCTTCGAGCTGACAGAGTTTTTCCCCAATGAGGGCCATCTCCTAGGTATGCTGACTCTCCGACCTCTCTTGGTACATTGAGTGGCTCACAGGGAAAAGGGCTCAACGTAAATAAGGGAAAGTTAATTTGTCTCCGTCTGCGATACCACAGTGACAGGACAGCCTTTCTTCCTTTTGAGGAGGTCGTCGACACGATGCTGCACGAGCTCTGCCATAACGTCATCAGTCCTCACAACTCGTCCTTTCACGCGCTTTGGAACCAGCTACGCGATGAGCTCGAAGCCCTGCTCCAAAAGGGCTTCACGGGCCAGAACTTCCTATCCTCCGGGCAGAGACTTGGCGGAGGGAGGATGCCGCAGCAGGAAATTAGAAGGCTGGCACGTGAAGCAGCTCAGCAGCAGCAGGCAGTACTAGCCCGGCAAGGCTTCTCGCGCCGACTCGGGGGCGAGATACAGAATGGTTGGAACCATGTGCGCGCCGCCGTGCCCCCATCAGCGCGGAGACATCAAGAAGGAAGGAGGATGTGCAGTGACAAAATGACAGAGCGCCAGATCATTGATCTGACGCAGAGCGCCAAGGATCGCAGCACCATGACAGCAGCAGAGGGGGAGGAAGCGAACGAGGCGGCCATAGCGCAGGCCTTGTGGGAGATGACCCAGGAGGATGAGAAGAAGGCACTCGGCAAAGACTACGCTGCACCTTCGCAGGAAAACCCTATGGGCAGCGGTGGGAAGTTGGGCATGGGCGACAGGTGGTCGTGCCATGTGTGCACGCTGGTGAACCCGGCAGCCTATCTCTGCTGCGATGCATGTGGTAGCGAGCGTTCCGCCGGTGATAAGATTCCTGCCAGCAACCGTGCCAGCAACAGCGGTGGCACGCCGCGGCCACAGAGTCCAAGTCCAACACCACGGGTCCCTGAGACGGTGGATCTCACAGCCTCGCCGAGTCCGCCTCGGCCGGCAAACAAGAAACGACGTCGCATGGAGGATCGGCCAGCAATGAAGCCAACAAGAAGGACCATGCTACCGCCGACATGGAGATGTGTGTGGTGTAGCAAGGTGATGGAGCAGCAGTGGTGGACGTGCAGTGAGTGTGGCCGAATGAAGGAGAGGTCGTAACCGCAGCGACTGGGCACGATTGGAGATCTGATGGATGCATGGGAAATGCATGTTGTTTGAGAAATCCCATCACGACCCTGGATGTGCACCCTGACGCAAAGCGTTCGCGAGCTGCATGCTCATTGAGCAAAATGACTTCATGGCGCCGAGGGCATCGTCATGCCAGAGTAAGCTCTTTTTCCACCGACACGGGTGAGGCGCATGACGTAGGGCGAGTTTTGGAGGCACGGGGGTCTGATTGGCCCATTGGGGCTTTCTCTGGTTGGTGGATCTAGCTTGGCTGAGATCGTGCGTACCCGCTTGGCCCGCGGCAGTGACGTACAGCATGCCGCCATCACGGGTGGTTACATGTAAGTACAGCCGATACACATCCATCTAGATGATAGAATCAGAATGAATTGCTGCTCGAGGAGCGGCGTCTAGACTCGGACTAATAATAGCGCTCACGATGAGCTGAGGTGACCAGACCCTCCTAACAGAGGACAGGAGACTGGACTGAACACGCGGTCTCGAACCAGGGCACCATGCCCGACGCATGGGTGTATGTGGGGCTATCTGCACTCTGCAGCGACAATGCCGGGGTACGCACACCCACTGAAGTCGCGGCGCGATCCAGTCTCAGCGGGTGCCGGGCGGAGGCTACAGCACTCGCGCAGCCCCGCACAGCAGCATTGTCCGCTGTAACTTAGACTTGAGGGAGCCAACTCAAGGTTCCGTGCCGGTGGACCATCCAATGAGCGTCGGAGAGCAAAGATGGTTTCTGGGGTCCGTGAGGACTTCACGATGTCGTGCGCAGCGCAGCATTCACCTGTACGGGACTTGTGCTGTAGATGAATCAGATTCTGTAAGTGAATCAGAGTGTCTTGGTCTAGTTGAAACTCTCCGCGAGACTCGCTGGAGTGTCTCTGGTTGGTATGGGAATCGACAATGGCACGTCCCGCTCGTGGGAAAGCAGCAAGTCCCCGCCATGATCGCGATGCCCAGGATTCTAGGCTCGCACCACGAATGCAGCGCACAAAATAATAGTCTCTGTTTTTAGGCCCACCCGACTAGGGATATGATCCTGGTCTCAGTTCGATAGGCTGGCTCCACGGGGCTGGCCTGGATTGTCGATCATCTGACACTGGGGTCAATCTCAATCGAGCGTTTGATGCACTGCGATGATTGTATTTTCTTCTTCACGAACCGTGGCTGCGTACCTATTTGTCCATCCTCCAATTTTTCCTTCATTCTCTGATCCCGCTGTGGCCGAATTGAGGCAGCGCACGACTTCTGCAGCAGTGCCTAACCTGGCCTGATCTGACAGAGCGTCATCACCTGCCTGTCACAGCCTGCCACAGCCTGCCACAGCCACTTCTGGTTGTACCTTCCTCCTTCCGGCCACTCTTGCCGCCTGTCGACATTGTCAACCCGGATCTGCGGTTCGAGAAGCCCAAGTCGAGTGTTCGATTACGATTCAACCTACGAGTCTTCTCCCAGCCGGAACTTGTCGTGGTCATTCTAAGGGCCACCGTCTTTCGGCATCTAGAAACGAAGGAGTGCACCATCGTCATCCCCTGCCCGCCAGCGCAGCGTGCCCCTCGACAAGTTACAACTCCACCCCATTCCCCGTATCCGACTCTTCCATTCTTCCCCAACTGCGGCCGAAGTGGTGGAACAGGCGCGACGCAGTACACGCGATAGCTACACCGGCTGGCCATGTTTGTGCCATGCCCGTTGTATGCTAAAGCCTCTCCACAACAAGAACCCCCTCCAGCACGCGATTCCATGGTTGGCACGCGGGACGCCACGATATGACACCCCCCGACACCCTCAACATCAGCGACGACCCTCGAGCTTTTAGGCCCGCGCATTCAATAACGCACGATGCAGACACGGCAGTTGATGATGAGGCTGGCTCCTCCCAGACGACACCACTGGGACAGCCTACCACAGACCCGAAACCGACCCAGACGAGACCCCCGTTGAGACCCAGCCCTGGTATCGCCGCTCCTGGCACAGGAGACGACCTTCCACACTCCCTCGGGGGATCCGGTGTCCCGAGGATGCCTTCCGACGGCCTCAAGCGGCCCCAACCTGAATCTCTCAGCCCGCTCCGGTTGGCGATGCCGACCATATCGCCTGGGCAGCTTGCCTTCTCAGCGCTGCAATATCTCCCGGTGCCAACACTTGTCTTGAGCAGCCTGAAAACCGTCCTTCTCGCAAACGAAGCCCTCGGGCGTATGCTGGGAATCGTGGACGACCACTTGGACGAGGTGGATGCCTCGACGACCCTGGAACACTTGCGAGGTCAATCTCTCTCACAAGTCGGCATTGACATGATCCAGGATGGACAACCGGTCTGGGTGACGTGGGAGGTATTCCTGGACAATATCGTCAATGAAATGGGAGTTCGCCCGCCGGCAGGGACACGGAGGGGTTCCCCCAATGAAGGCCCAGACACGCCCAACACTGCCCCCACGCTCCCCATCGAACGAAGGTTGTCGGGTGGCCGCCCTACCCAAGACGCAGTCGTCGACGTGGTCGTTTCGCGGAAAGGCATAAGCAAAACGGCGTTCGACTCCCGGTACAAGTCCCAGGTTTCCGAATATCAGGTCTTTGCAAAGATGATCATCTCCATCTGGGAGCTTGAGGATCGGCAGACGTATTTCACACTGACCTTCACAAGCACACAGTCAACGCCTTCCTCTTTCGCTGCGCCACGCAAGTCGGTTGCTAAGCCCAGCATCCTCGAAGCGGCAGATAGGAAGACAATAGTGACTCCGCTGGCATCGAACCCGCCGTCAGTCGCTTCAAGTCGCGACTCATCCGAGCCATCCTTTTACAGCCCCTCGGCCGTGACAATGTCCGCCACTCCATTCCCTCCCATGGGCCCGCCTTCCGTAGCGTCGCGGTCCAGCACGCCCTCGGTCCTGCAAAAGATGCTGAGGATGAAGGATGCGTTACTAGACCACACACAGATGCCCATCCTGGCCATGTGGAAGGATGGAAGCGTCACGTTCCCCAACAAGGCAGCAAGACGACTGTTTCGAAAAGACTCGAGTCGCGACGCATCAGGCGATGGGTATGAGGTCCTTAAGAAGTTTGACCTGTGGACCGAGGATTTCAGCCGCGCTCTTGAGATCGAAGAGTACCCGATCTCAATCCTGCTTCGCACCGAGGAGGCCTTTTCTAGCATGCGCATCGGCATGTACAACGCAGATGGCGAGCAGTTGGTCATGGACGTTTTAGGTGAGGTAATACGAGATGAGAGCACCGGCGAGTTCCTGGCCGGTGTGGTCACTGGTCGCGACATTACCGGCATGACGAGAGAGATCACTGAAATCAAGGAGCGCGATGAGGAACGGTTCAGACTCATTTGCGACACCATGCCACAGCTCGTCTGGACCGCTCGGCCAGACGGTTACCATGACTTTTTCAACACCAGATGGTACACGTACACTGGTCTCACGCCTGAAGTGTGCTTGGGCAAGGGCTGGCAGCTTCCATTTCACCCAGATGACATGGCCGAGACGACGGCGCGCTGGGCGCATTGTTTGAAGACTGGCGATCCGTACGTCACGGAATATCGCTGCCTCAGCAAGGAAGGTGAATGGCGATGGTTCCTCGGGCGGGCGTTGGCAGTACGCAACAAGGAGACGGGGCAGATCGAGAAATGGTTTGGTACGTGTACGGATGTGCATGAGAGCATGGAGACCAAGCTCAACGCCAAGCGGACGAAACAGCAGCTCCTGAGCGTCATTGCGCACTCCCACGTGACAATCTTCACAGCGGATATGGATCGCAGGGTCACGATGCTTGAGGGAGCTCTCATCTGGGACAGTGGGAACGATGAGAGCCGGGACGACGGCAGATGGTTCATCGGACAAGATGTATACACCGTCTTCTCCAAGCTCACAGAGCATCTGTCCGAGGGGCTGAGGCCTCATTTCCTGGGCCCCGTTGAGGATATAATCAAAGGCAATGTCGCTGAGGACGTCGTTACCGAGGAGCACCCTTTCAATGGACGTTGGTACCGCACACGCTTCTTGCCCATGTATGGCAAGAGGGCCAGCGACGGCCGAGTGGTTGACGAGGCCTCCATCGAGGGTGTGATTGGCGTCATCATGGACGTGACGGAACTCCGACACCAGAAGCACGAGGCTGAAGTGCGGCTCAAGGAAAAGCGCAAGGCGGTCGCGAACGAGGCAGCAGCGCGAGAAGCCACGAGACTCAAGAGTCAATTCTTGGCCAACATGTCACACGAGATCAGGACGCCTATCACTGGTGTGTTGGGCATGGCCGAGCTCCTGGGCGGCATGGAACTCGATGCGGAGCAGAGGGAATACGTGGAGAACATCTACAGTTCTGCCAACTCCCTTTTGACAGTCATCAACGACATCTTGGATTTCTCCAAGGTAGAGTCTGGCCGGTTGGACGTGGAGGAGGTGCAGTTCTCACTCTCACTCATCGTCAAGGAAGTGGTTCGCATGCTTCAGTTCGCCGTGGAGAAGAAGAATCTCGACTTCCGGTCAGACATTGAGGCGGAAATCGAAACGGACATGGTGGTCATCGGCGACCCGGGACGCGTGCGACAAATCATCACCAACCTCCTGACCAACAGCATCAAATTCACCAATCAGGGCTACGTTCGGTTCTCTGTGCAAAAGGAAAAGGAGACAGCCGATTCGGTCACAGTACGATTCGTGGTTGAGGATACTGGCATTGGCATCCAGGATGAAGTTCGGAAGAAGCTTTTCCAGCCTTTCAGCCAAGGTGACGCCTCGACGGCCAGGCGCTTTGGTGGCACAGGTCTTGGCCTCACCATCTGCAAGAACCTCCTCGAATTAATGCGTGGGAGCATAAATCTGCAGTCCAAGGTCGGCAGCGGCACGACCGCCACGTTCTTCATCCCGTTTAGCAAAGTGCATGGACGCAAGGAAGCTCATCCAGTACAGGCCGGGGCGATCCCGGATAGGTTGCAGAGTGAGCTGAGCTTGTCGTGCAACAGCTCAGAGCAGGACCACCTTATCAACAGCGTGAACGAACTCGGGCAGAGCCCAGCACCTCTCCCAATGCGTCGCGCGTCCCTGCGGACACCACCCATAACCGCCAATGACCTCCCGCGCTCGGAAAGGGCCAAGATGCTTATTCTTGTGGTCGAGGACAAGTGAGTTCGCTCGATATCGCGGTAGAACCCCCTTTCTTTTCACTGACACACGCAGTCCCGTCAACCAGAAGATCGCGACCAAGACCATCAGCAAGCTGGGATTCCAGGTCACAGCCGCATGGAACGGGCGGGAGGCCCTTGAATATGTGGTCGATTCGACAAAGGGCAAGAATCCCAGGCCCGATGTCATCCTGATGGACGTACAGATGCCGGTCATTGACGGCTATAAGACAACTCACCTCATGCGGCACCACCTGCCTTACAAGCACTTCGTGCAGGATGTCCCCATTGTGGCCATGACGGCCTCGGCCATTCAGGGCGATCGGGAGAAGTGCACAAAGGCCGGCATGGATGACTACCTCTCGAAGCCGGTCACCATGAGCATTCTCGAGCGCATGCTCATTCGGTGGTGCCTCCAGAGACGTCGTGCATGTCCGTCACCAGCACCATCCGACTGCTCGGAGCATTCGGAGCATTGTGAGAATGCGGACATCCCGCACGTCGCGCATGACGAGCAGGAGCCGTCGTCGGAGGCTCCTGGCGGCGGTGATAATTCGGCGCTCACGCCCCGTCCGCTGACGACCAACGGCCAGTCGGAGCCTTCGCCATTCGACTCACCTATGCCGCCACAGGAGGTGCGACGACCCGAAGGCGAGAAGGAGCACGCGAGTCTTCTGCAGGAGACGAAACTCATCGATGCGGCCGGGGGGCCACCGACGACGATGAGGAGCTCAAGTTTCCAAGCGCCGTCGCGGGGCGAGGCGTTGACTGAGGCAAATATGAACAAGCTCAAGTCGGAGGCCAGATCGTAGGACAGGCCAGGCCTGGCTGAGAGGACCGTACATACTGCATAGCTTTGGGCCGGCTTGCTATCTCACTTTACGATACACGATGCAGCAGGGCAACAAAAACGTTTGATTCTCGTCCTAAGAGAGGAGTTTTTTCTCTTTTTCTTTTGGCGTTAGGTGGACTGGAAGGGGCGGTCTGGTGAAGGGTGTTAATAATTGATGCACATATGGAACCCTACGGGTGGCACGGGTGTTTTCATTCAGTTTGGGGATATACCTGGAACCCTAGAGGCTTGGTGTTACAGCAAAATAGACGAGCCTGATTCACTGCAATACGCCAATAAAAAAATAAAAATATACAGCATACACGTCCCGATGCCACCAGCCTCCATGAATCAGAGTGCCGACTCTCAGTCCGAGTCCATCCTCATCAAGTCCGTGCCCTTCTGCCCGTAGCAGAAGCGCGTCACCATGTAGCGATGCGGTCTGGGGTCCTTCATGCTCGCCCTGGCCGCCGTGAGCAGCTGATCCCTCTCGTCGCCCAGTATGCCGAGGGCGGCAAAGGGTTTCGCGGCGAAGCCGTCGAGGACGTCATCGAGCATGGCCTTCATGACAAGGCCGGAGGACTTGAGCTTTTGCTCGCGCGCCCAGGTGCCGATGGGGACCTTGATGGAGACGACCTGGACGTTCTCAAAGCCGGCCGCCTCGAGGACGTCCTTTATGTCGGTGGCGCCAAAGAGACGGCAGCCGAGTGTCTGCATGGCGCGTATGCCGAGCTGCATGAACTGCTCGAGGGCGTCATTGTCGCACATGGTGCCGTCGTCGCAGTGGATATGGGGGAGGACGTCTTGGAACTCGACATAGCCGCCTATCCGTAGATTTCTACGCCGCTGCCGTCAGCAACCTCGCGTGGTGGCGACGAGGAGCGCCAGGTTGGATTGGCTTACTGGAATACCTGTGCCAGGACGTGCTCGACGTTGCGCAGCATGGGAAAGACATCGCGAAAGTGGGCGAGATCGTAGCCGCTACCGTGCGGCCACTGCTCGCGCTCGCAGTCGTCGATAAAGGTGCGAAAGTTGACGGGGAGCCATTGCGGTTGGATGGGGGAGAGGTCGGTGCCGACGACGTGGGCACTCTGGTAGTGATCGGCCACTGCGTTCGCGATTAGGCTCGCGTGTCTGCCACATGGTGAGAGTGTGTGTCTGGTGCTCACCGTCGATGGCCCATATGCCACTGCCGGTGCCAATGTCGATGATCCTCTGCGGCGAGGGGCCAATGTCCGCCAGCCAGAACTGGCCATCCTGCAGGTGAAGTGGGTGGTGAGCACTCGTCACGAGCGGACAGACTCATCATCGTCACGTACAGTCAGCTCGGTCATCCAGTGATGTTTGAGTGCCTCAATCTCCTGCTCAAAGTGGTCATTGGGCCACGGGTAGCGGCCGCATTTGTAACCGTGGTATCGTCGCCCATAGGCGAACTCGAAGCGGTGCACGCTGGGCGTCACGGACGTCGAGCCATTCGAGGTCGTGTCCGCGACGGTGTCGGCGAGATCGAGAAACTCATCGTCCTCGTCGTACTCGCTGCCGCGCACAAAGTGGAACTCGTCTGTCCGCTGCTCTGTGGAGCCAGAGGAGGGCGTGTAGAGGGACCCGGCTCCGGGATCTTGGGACGACGACGCGGCCGAGGTCGAAGGGGCACTCATCATCGTCGGATCGTCGCGCACGGTGGTGGTGGTGGTGGTGGCTTTGCCCGCGGAGGAGAGATGAGGTTCTTCTCTTGATGTAAGACGGTCGACCATCTTGGGAACCGCCATCCCCGCCTGCCCCTGGTTCTTTTTATCGCCACAATAATACGGTACAATCAGGCGCCGCCATTGCTGGTGAAGCCTGATCGCAGAGCCTCGACCAACGTGTCAGTCTGGACTCTGGCGCACACAAGGTGACAAGGTTGGGTAGCCTAAGCAGGGGGGGCCGCAGGGTCCGTGGTTGGTTGGACGGTTGGACGGGGTGTACACGTATGGGGGGGAGAGATGAGTAGCGAGCACAAGTCAGAACCAACTGCGTCAAACGCCACTTAATGAATACGGCTCTGTGTCCAGAAAAAGACAGAGGCGCAAAGCGCCCGGTCTTTGAGCGAACAGTTGTAAAAGAGCGCACGGGTGGTTGATAGAACAATACGTGGGTAGCTGACAAAACGACTCGGCTCTCACAGATATGCAAGTGTCTCTCTCGCGCGCAAAGAGGCATCACCTGTCAGAATGCTGTTTCAACGGCCGCATCAAGCATCATCCACGTGCCGGCAAGCAGCTGCAGCGCAGTTTGAGGGCAATCTGGGAATTTTTATTTGTAGACCACGCTCACTTTACGAGATTCGAATCATCGCGAAATCGGGATGCTTCTTCTTAACCCTGCATACCTATTGTGGTGAGAAAGGTGGTTGGACGAACTGACCGGAGAGACTGGGGCCATGGTCACTTTTCATTTACCTTAGGGTAGGCAGGCATCTTCACTTTCCAGTGCCTGTGGGTCTGCAGACCAAATCCGGCTAGACCAAGACAGGGTGTTTGTTTACTTGGGACATGCCGGCACCGCCCACCCACCACCAGTGAGTGAGTGACCTGCCTGCGCGGATACAAATTCTACAGAACGTACCTTACCTTATTAATCGTAATTGCAGCGCCTCGTCTTCGGGGAGCATCGCACATTTGCCTCTCACCGGACGCATGGTGAAGCATACAGCATACAATGAAGAGATCGACGCGCGCCTCCGCTGCGCGATCGATTCCAGTCGCGCCGTCGTCCTCCACGAGATATGACCGTCCCGCCCAGCAACAAGCCGCGTCGACCACGGCCCAGGCCATGAATGCGCCAAAGAAGCGCAAGCAGAGAGAGTTCGAGTCGGACGCGACAGATCAGCAGACTTTCATACGGGCGGTGGTCAGGTGTCGGGCGCGCAACGAGAGGGAGCGTCGGGAAAACGACAATGTCGTCGTCTCCACCCAGAACGCCCTGGGCGACACGGTGCAGCTGTCTCTCGGCTCACACTCGCTCAGCGGCAAGAGCTACCAGTTTGACCGCGTTTTCTCCACGGCGGCGGACCAGGTCATGGTGTTTGAGGACACTGTGAAACCCATGTTGGACGAGGTTAGTCAGGCAGCCCTAAACGCGCCTGGGGACAAGATTGTGACTGACTGACCGGCGCAGATGCTCGCTGGTTTCAACTGCACAATCTTCGCTTACGGACAGACTGGCACGGGAAAGACGTACACAATGTCCGGAGACATGCAGACGACGGCAGGGATGCTCTCGGACGATGCTGGTATTATTCCTCGAGTCCTCCAGCGGCTCTTCGACAAGCTCGAGTCTACCGAGAAATGCATCAAGATTTCTTTCATCGAACTGTACAACGAAGAGCTTTCTGATCTCGTCTCTGTGGACGATGCGAACAAGCTGAAGATCTACGACAACACTACGCAGAAGCAACACGGCGCCACAATTGTGCAGGGCCTGGAGGAGAAGCACATTCAGAACGCGGCCCAAGGCATCAAGGTCCTCCAAGACGGGAGTCTCAAGCGCCACGTCGCAGCCACAAAGTCCAACAACCACAGCAGTCGAAGTCACACCATTTTCACCATCACAGCGTACATGCGCCGGACTGGGGGAAACGGCGGGGAGGAATTCATTCAATGCGGCAAGCTGAATCTGGTGGACCTGGCGGGCAGCGAGAATATTCAGCGGTCCGGCGCCGAGAACAAGCATGCTGCCGAGGCAGGCTTGATCAACAAGAGTCTTCTCACGCTGGGGAGAGTGATCAATGCTCTCGTCGACCGCAACCCCCGTTCCCACATCCCGTATCGGGAATCGAAACTCACTCGTCTACTGCAGGACTCGCTCGGCGGACAGACCAAGACGTGTATCATCGCCACAATCTCACCCACCAAAAGCAGTCTGGAGGAGACCATGTCCACACTGGACTACACCTTCCGCGCAAAAAATATTCGGAATCAGCCCCAGTTGAACCGGTTCATCAACAAGGAGATGTTTCTTCAGGATCTGGCAAATGAGTTGGAAAGGCTCAAGGCGGAGCTGGTGTGCCACCGACAACGAAGTGGCGTGTACCTGTCCAACGAGACGTACGAGGAAGTCATCGCAACCAGCGAGTCACGGCGGATCGAGCTCGCTGAGCACTCGGCAAAGATCAAAACACTGGAAGGAAACCTACACAACAAGGCACACGAGCTGCTCAACCTGTCCACGTCGCTCTCGAGCCTGCAAAAGGACCACACAAGCCTGACTGCGCAGCTGGGTGACGCAGAAGATGCCGTGCGCCAGACGGAGAATGTCCTTGCCTCGACGCGGGAGACACTGGCCGAAGAGTCTCGCCTGCGGAAAGCCCATCAAAGTACAGAGGCAGCTCTGACGGGGGTCGGTAAAAGGCTCATCTCGACACTCAGCTCGGCCGTTGATGACGTGGATGGGCTGCATGCAAAAGGTGAGCGGACAGTAGCGCTGCATGCTCGGAACAGGGCAGCATGGCAAGAATTGCAACAGGTAGCCCACACGAAAACGCGCGAGGCTGAGCAAGACGTGGTCGCTCTGCAAGACGTCCAGTCACACCATGCATCGACAGTGCAGGATCGACTACGGCATGTAACCGAGCTCCAGTCGGCCGAGGTCAAGTCCACCCGGGCCCTTCTCGACTTGAATCTATCCCTTCTCAATGCTTCGAGGGAGGGTATCCTGGATCGCAACTCGAAAGACACCATGGACGAGGCTCTCAAGCAGATCCAGATGCAGGGGCAACTTGCAAAGCAGACACTCGAGCAAGGCTCCCTTTCCATGTCTGCGGCCGCCCAGAAGGGGATAGGAGGCTTGGTCTTGGAGATGGATGCCACGCAGATACGGATGCAGCAATCTTGCCGCAATGTCCAAGCCAGCATCACGTCTTCTTTCGAGGAGTTGATGGAGCATTCCAGCAGCCAGAGAAGGGAAGCGCGGCAACACAGGCAGCAGATGCATGATTCCGTGACGGTCGAACTGGGCAGGAACACGGCGATGCTGGAGAGGATGGATCAGCTCATGGCCGATGAGCGGGAGCAGAGAGACCTCGAGAAACAGGAGCTCATGTCTCAGATCGCCGGCCTGCTCAGCGCGCAATCCGAGAGGCAAGACGCGCGCTTGAGGGAGAAGGTGGCGACGCTCAAAAACGACATTCAAACCTCTAGCACTGCCATCGACCAGAGCGTATCCCAGTACGACGGCGCGATGGAGATCTGGGACGCGGAAGAGTCCCAGTCGTCGGAACGACTGCAAAGATGTCAAGAGACTCTCAACACGGGGATGCAGGAGAGCATAGATGTAAGCCCAGGTTGCAACTTTGCTGTATCGTGAAGCTAACTAGTGCATCAATAGGTCTGGAGCAGCCACATCACTGCCGCGCGCACCGCGGCTGAGGTACTGGCCACCGAGATGGAGGACCTCACGGAGCAGCATGTTGCCGGCCTCGATGCTCATATGCAACCGGCGGAGGATGCCGTACACCGTGCGTTGCACGAGAATAGCCGTCACCACGATGCGATTGTCAAGTCTGTTCAAGAAGTGTGCAGGCAGGTGGAGACGTCGCATCAGACACTGTCGGAACGTGGCGATGCCATGCTTGCCAGGATGCAGGCCCTGAGTATGGAGGTCGCCGCCAGGACACAAGATGCCAAAGAGGGGGCCACCAAGAGGGCAGACGCTCTCAACGCATCTCTCCTGGCCTTGAGAGAGGCCTTTGTGCACACTGAATTCAAAGAGTACCGGCCTACAGGAGACACGCCGAGGAAGGTCGTATACCGCTACGAGACTGAACTCCCTCGGACAATATCTCACAACAACTTGAACCAATCCGGTGTCGCCGCGAGCTCCGAGAGTTCCGATGAAGATGCAACAGACTCTGAGGCGGCGGCGGCTGAGATGGAAGAAAGGTCCAAGGTCGAAGAAGAGAGTGTAGAAGAAGAAAAAGGGGTGCAAGATGCAGTGGACGATGCGCTGGAAGAGCAGCAGGAGTCCTCCATCCCCATCTTGCAAGAGCTGGATGCTAACGTCAGGAGGAATGCATGTGCGGACACGACGATTCCTGTGATGAAGCGCACTGCCAGCTCTACTCAACTGAGTAGACCGAGAGCGAAGCAGGTGAGGAGGTGAAGAGGCTGTAGATATACCCAGCAATGGATATGGGATGCCGCTACTGATCGATACACCGTAACGCCCGTTGTGACTTTTGCATGTTCGACAGGAGATACCAATGTAGATTGCGACACGATATCATTTAGGATCTACGGATCAACATCGAGCAAGCAACGAGTTGTAGTTGAAGGCAATGCGGAAATAATGCCGCCGTTCTCCACGCCTCGTTGCGCAACCGCCAAGGCGGCACGCAAGCGCAGCACCGCATCCAGTCACCTCACTCACTCACGTGTTTGCCTATGCCTGTCTGTCTCTCTGTGGGCTGACGGACCTTGAGAGGTACCTTACCTTACCTTACCTTATCTCACGTTTAACCTTCTGTCCTCTTCTGCAAGCTCGACCAAACCCTCCAGTCCATTCAAGATGTGAAGCCTCGCGACCCTCTCTCCCCATTCCCCCCGCGCAGCAACCATCATCATGTCTACTTCGCCCGCTGTCGCTGCTGCCGACGCAGTAGTAGCACCGGCGACAACGACACCCAACGAGAACGAGAACGAGAACGAGAACGAGAACGAGGATCATCAGCAACAGCAGCAAGAACCACAGCCTCCTCCCGCTTTTGAACCCCTCTTCACCCTCCTCACAAACACCACCTCGAACACGACCGTCCATCCCCGCGTGCAGTACCTCTTCTCCGACGACGACCCTTCCACCCTCACCCCGTCCACTGCATCCCGCGCCATCGTCGTCGACCTCGTCCCTTCCTCATCCCGCATCGATACATCGCCAGACAAGAAGCAGTGGGAGGTCAACTACGCCGCCTCGCTCACCCCCTCCTTCGCCGTCACGGGCACGGACCTGGACCCGACCACGCTGACCCTCCGACTCGACGGCGTGGAGCGCGAGCCCGTCCCGGAGAGGAACAAGGGCGGCCACGAGAGTGGCAGCAGCGAGGACCCGGATGCCCTCGTCGAGGAGTTTCGACGGAGAATGGGCATCATGGGTCGGATCGTGAGCGAGGCCGATCGCAGGGATGCCGTTGTCGAACACGACGAGCCTGCGGTGAAACAGCACACATCCGAGGCGAATGAGGATGCATCGCCCGGGCCCGCATCATGAAGAGACGAGGGGATATTGGATATATGGATCGAGAGCGTGTGTCATCTTCTTTATTCGATCAAGCTTGCATTCTGGGCATCTCTTGCGAGCTGGCGTTGGGTACTCTTGGCAATATGAATCACGACACTATTTGGCAGACACATCATGCTGCTACGCACTCGTCGTGCATGGCATACATGTACTTTCTTAAGACAGACAGACATGGAATTAAAACGTATGTATAAGGCGCCCTAAACAAAAAATGCAGTGCGCGCAACTCCCGCGTCCTGATGAAGCAGAGCCAGATGTCTCCCTCCTCGAGCACCGGCCCGCCAAGTGCCAAGTAGCATCCTTCCTCGATGGCCTGTCCATCGAGTGTCTCCTGGCCAGTTGCAAGCCAGTCGGCCATTTTCTATAGAAGCAATGAAAAATTCTCACGCTGAGTGTAGTATGGTATATCCCATGACAGGCGATGATACCCCAAAAAGTCAAAAGGGAAAAAAAAAAAAAAAAAAGAGGGAAAAAAAACAGCAGGCTCCTCGTCCATTTGTCGTCTGCTGCAGCTTTCATTGCATCTGTTGTGGCAAACGGACCCTTTCGCGTAGCAACCTCGACATCTCGCCCACGGCATCTTGGCTGCGCACCACGCGCGAGTTGATGACCGGGCTGATAAAGGGAAGAAGCTCAATGTTGGTAGTATCGCGCTTGGTGGCGGCGGCGCCACCCCCGTTCCCGGCGCCGTCGTTGCCGTCACCCTTGATAACAAGGAAGTAGATGACCACAATCACCACAACAATCACCACAATGAGCACTGCACACGATCGGTTAGCAAACACTGTCGACAGACAATTTTCAATCCAAACATACCACTGATACCCAGACAGATCCACTTCTTCTTGCGTGTAGCACGTGAAGTGTTCACCGCCACGCGCATTTCCTCGTTGCCCTTATCCAGGTTGTCGACGACTTCCTCGCCCTTCTGCTCAATGTTCTGGACGGCCTCCTCCTGCTGCACGACCAGCGTGTCCATGTCCTGGAAGAGCTGCGCCAGCTCCACAATCTGCTGCTCGATCTTGACGAGCGCGTCGTGGCGGTCCTGGACGGCGCTCAGGGCGGCACGGGCCCGTCCCTGGCGGTCACTGTGCATCAGCGCCTGCTGGAAGACCTGGCCGTTGGAGCTGGTGTCCTCGACGGCGGCGCGCACCTCCTGCTCCGAGGCCTCTGGCCGCACTATGCGGTACTGGCGGGCCATCTGCTCCTGCGTGCGCTTGCGGAAGCTTGACTCGACAGACTGGTACGACCGGATGGCGTCCTTGAGGCGGCGGTCGACACGCCCGACCTGGGCCTTGTTCTTGGGGCTGTTCGCCTCGGGGATCGACTTGACCTGGCGGACGCGCTCGGTCAGGGAGCGGTAGAGGGCCATGGTTTCCGTGGAGAGTCCGTCGAGCTGGCGGTTGGCGGCGCTGGTGCCAGAGGCGTCGGCATCGTCGAGGGTGCGCTGCTGCAGCATGCGAAGCTGCTCGAGGTTGCGTTCCACCGTGTCAATGCCGCGATCAATGTCGCGGCACTCGTTCAGGACGGCATTGGGGTCGCCGCTGCGGCCGACCGAGGCGCCATTCTGGGCAAGAGGCTGCATCTCAACGCCGGAACCTACAGGCACCGTTTGTCAACTCCTCATCTCCGCCTTGAGCCATCGCTTGCTGACTTACCGGCGTATCCGCCGTCTAGCGAGGGTTGGCCTTGGCCGCCGTAGCCCTGGCGACCGTAGGACTGCTGCTGCTGCTGAGGCTCCTGAGGCTGCCCGTAGCCTTGTTGCCCCTGCTGGGCATAGTTGTTGCCACCACCGCCGTAGCCTCCATCGTAGCTGCTGTATTGAGGAGCAGATTCCCGCTGGTCGTACGGGTTCTGCGCGCCGTACCTATTCGCAATGGTCAGTCGCGTCATTCGTCGTAACAGGGTACAGGTTGGAGACGTGTCGTGTCAGGACATGGCGCGTCTGTGGTCCGTCGAAGAGTAGCGTGGACTTACCCGTAGTTCTGCGTCACTGTCAGTACGTCAACAACTTGAATGTATTGTGACCAAGAGAAAGCAAGGGGGCGATGAGACTTGGGGAGAACGCGTGCGCGCGAAGACTCTGCTGAGCTTGCTCATCTGCTCAGAGTCGCAGTTGCCGCAGCAGAAGCAGAGGAAGCTGGAAAGGGTCAAGGGCAAGACACTCACGCTCATCGTGGCTTGATATGTTAATCGTCCACAGGGAGTGGGCTATTTGTTGGCGGCCGTGTGGCAATGGAGATGGTCTACAAAAGGGCGAGGATGACAAGCTGGTCAATTGTGGTACAAAGGGGAAGATGAGCGCTGAGGGAAGAAAAGCGACGCAATGGGCCGCAAAGAGGCAGGGAGTGATATGGCCTGGTTTCAAAAAAGACGGACAGTTGTGACTGGAGTGAGAGACTGAGAGTACGAGTAGGAGGGAATTCACACCGGAAAGGGGCATTGCTGCACCGACGCGACCCCGGAAGAAAATGGCACAGCAGGTGTGGCAGACTGGCTGCACTGTCCAGCGCACCTGGCACCCTTCAGGCCTCCTGATGGTGGGTCCAGCGTCCTCCAGTCGCGGCTAGCTTCTCCTCTAGTTCCTCACAGCTAGTCGATAAAGAACCTCCGTCCGGGGCATCAATTCGACAACAACTTCTGTTCTAACAATTACTGACCATGTTCGTAGCGACTGCATATCAGCCACTTCACTGCCCCAAGCTAACCCTTCGCCACGGGCGACGACCAGAATGTGATTGAGACCCTCAAGAGTGGCGCAATCTCGACAAGTCGTGGATCTCCCAATGCCAGACTCTCTGATTGGCCTGCCGCTCAACCAAGCATCAGCGCTTCGGCACCATCACTTAACCTTGTTTCAGCCGTCCGCCTAACTGTACATGTAGGCTCGTCATCATTACCCTGCGGGCGGCTTTGGCACTGCAACACGGCTTGCAACACAACTATCTCTGCGACAGACACTGGCCTGAGCGGCGGCACTTGAACCCCTCAGTCCTTTTCTGGGACCACTTCACGGGTAGGCCCGTATTCATCCGTCTCTGGCGGGGGGCGGAAGGGTTCTGCAGCTCCATGTCGGAAGGAGGAATCTTGCACCAACAAGCCTCCTTCCGGCGACAGTCCCTCCGACGCAGTAAGCAAGCCAAATGAGTTACCTTAGCCAACAGCCACTTGAACCAGGTCTAGTCTCTGACTCCACGTCTCTGGGACATTTCTGACATGCGAGCTGACGATTGTCTGCTCTGGTCCGCATTAGTTACTTCCCTACGCAACTACGTATGTATCCCCGCGCGGCTTTCGCGCCAGCAACTTCTCGTTGCTAGTCGCGCCCACTTCCCCCATACGGTTCAATGTTTGCGCCAATGTCCTCATCGAATCCCCACTGATAATTAAGGGTTCCCCCTGGTTGCACAACAATATCTGAGCACGATCACTCTCTCGCTACACGAAACGTTCCTTGATGAGTCGCCCCAGTCTAGCACGCAAGGCAAGCCAAGTTGTGTTCAGTGTCATCTCTATTCGGCAGCTTAGAGCACCGCATACGCAGACACATAACTCACACTCGAGTCTGATGGGCTCTTGACCAATGTGCTCCTCTCGTACCGAACAACCTTGAACTTGCCTTGCTGCGTCGCGCCCTCCTCGCGGATATGTTCGAGGGTCGCCATGGCAACCCCGATTGGATGGCGTCCACAGACAGTGTTACCCGTCTTCGCCAGGTTGCCCACAAACTCATCATGGCTCCCTCCCTTGACGGCGTCCATGGCCGCCTCATCGATCAGCCTGATGGTCTCGTGGATGGGTGGCCCGGCTGGCGCCCTGTCCCCTGGCCTCAGGCGAGTGAGATTCCGCCAGTCATTCTGGGGACTGTACACGGTGTAGGAGAAGTTGGACCCCCAGTGGCAAAAGTCGGAACTGATGATGAAAGCGTTCTCGGGGTCCTTCATGTAGGAAACAAAGACAGAGGCAGCCTGCTTCTCCGCTTCCAGATCGTTATCGCCAACGAGCACAGGTACAATGGGCGGGAACTTGGCCTCTGAGCCAAAGGTCTGCTTCAGCCGCTTGTAGATGTATGGCGTGTGCATTTCCAGCGAGTGCTCGGCAATGTCCTTCCTAGGAGGAATGTCGGCGAACCGGCCTGCTTCCTTGACGCGCTGGATGGCATCCCGGTCCACCACCAAGTCGCCGAACGGGGTGTGGTACTTGTCGAATGTTGTGACCGCGCATCCAGCTAGGTAGTACGTGTGAGATGGGCCGAGTAGGAAGATCCTCTTGGCCCGGCTCAGGTCGAGGCAGCTGTAGGCCCACGCGGCGCAGGGTCCGGAGTACGTGAAGCCCGCGTGTCTTGTCGGTGTCAGTCACCGCTCAGCATATGGAAATAGATCACTCACGGGGCAATGATGACCCTGGCGCCTGGTATCGGCAGACTCGAGCCATCAACTTGCTCAGGTACACTGTCGAGGTACTCATCGAGCTCCTCTTCCAGCTCATCTGGCTGCCCCACATACCAAGAGCCAGCTTTCGCAGGAGGACGAGTACCCATCTTGGATTCAGGGCCAAGGTCCTGGAGCTTGCTAAATATTCTTCGAAAGAGAATGGTGAGTTCCTGGCTAGAACAACAGTCGCATGCGTGTGGAGAGGTGTAAGTGCGACTGATAACGGTCCAGCATTGACATCACCCGCTGATGCTGTTGAAGCTGCCTCTTATCGATAGAGTGCCCCGCATTCACCATGTCCCAGACAATCTTGAGTTTAACCTCGTTTGGCAGTGTCTTGCCGGGCGGAATCCCGATAGTAGCATTTACGACGCGCGATGGCTTTGGACGTGTTCATCGAGTTAGGCCCTGATCGGCTCGCCCGACAAGAGCTTCTAGGACAAGACAATGGCTCGAATTACCCACATTTATTGCACAAAAAAACAAACCTTCCCTTTTTCAGACAGAATCCCAAAATACGGGGCCTATGTCCCTGTCCACGAAGCATCGCGCTAGGCAGGGATTCTCACTATACCAAATTTTGGCACAGACGCTTTAGCAATTTCGAGTTTCTGGCGTTTATCCGGGTCACGTTTTATTTATGTCACGGATAAGATTGTGGAGCCGGACAAAGACAGTATAAGAGGATTTCCCCACTATTTCACAACCACAGAAGTCTCTTCTTTTGTCTTGTCCTCGAGTTTGTCGGGCGAGCCGATCAGGGCCTTAGGTACGTACGTGCGTAGCTAACAAGTTAGGCACGCGCCCAGAGATGGCCAAGTCCAGCCATCCAAGGTCAGCCTGGTCCGCGGAGCTTTGTCAAGTATGAGTAACAGTAGTACCGAGTTCTGGCCAGCTCAACATACCAGTCGTATTGTTGAAAGCTCGCGATGGTCCCTTAGCCCTCATTGGGAAAGCGAGACCCTGGTAAAAATTCCCGGCTCTACGGAGGTACTGTACGTGTAGGTGCAAGGCCAGGGCGGAGACACGGAGTTCCTTCCCCGCCAGAATACATTCGGACCCGACAGATCATAGACGCCACTGCCATCACTGCCATAACCAGTCCGCTGTCGTCATTCCCATGAATCCTCTGCATGTAGCATTCTCTGCTTTGCATTCTTTGACCGAACACACTAAGTGCATTGCATCCTCTGCGTCGCGCATCTGGCTTCTGTCTCTCCCAAGTACTACTCACAGATATATGGAACAGATCCCTACTTGTAATTGGACAATTTCTAAGACAGGCCCCCTCGACATATGACGGCACTGGCTGGTCCCTAAATCTTGTCTCGCTTGTGCAACGGAATCTCAACAAAGCGCCAAACACACCTGGCCCTGCGCCGTCAAGCACATAAATACCCTTTCGCGTTTGCGAACCTGCAGGAGATTTCGCCGAGCCGATCCTAGTCGCCGCGACCTCGATTGCGTGAGACCCAGAAAGTTGCAGAAACCGCCACCGCTGGGAGGCTGGAACCATCGAAATAAATTACCACCTTACGTACGACTCACGAGCATCCACTACGAAAAGCTCCACACCTGGGCTGAAGCCTTTCTCTGCCGAAGTGCCGTTCACTTAAAACGATCTTTCGCGAAACCTTTGCGACTTTCGTCTGTTCGACGCCCTATCGCATGCCTTCTTGACCGACGCGAGCGCTACCTTTTTTCTTTCTCCCCGTCTCGAATCACCTATAACGCATCCGAGCATGGGCAGCCTCAAGATGTCGTGGTCGAAATCGACCCGTATCAAGGTTATGATTGCCATCGACACCTTCTTCTTCCTGACAGAGCTCATAGTCGGCTTTTACGCGCACTCTCTCGCTTTGACGGCTGACGCCTTCCACATGGTGCGTCGCGCGCTGTGGCCTGACAGTCTCTCGCTAATCCAGCATAGCTCAACGACATCATTTCCTTGATCATCGGTCTCTGGGCTGTAGTCGCTTCGCAAAAGGCAACGACCGACGAATTCACCTTTGGGGTACGTTCCAAGTCCCACCTGTTTCCTGGGCAATCAATACTGACTAGAGTAGTGGGTGCGCGCTGAGATCCTCGGTGCCTTTTTCAACGCCGTCTTCCTCATCGCGCTCTGCGTCTCGATCATCCTTGAGGCTATCACACGACTGGTCGAACCGCCAGAGATCAAGGATCCCTGGCTGATTCTGATCGTTGGCTGCGCTGGCCTGTTCTCGAATCTCGTCGGTTTCGTTGTGCTCGGTGGCCACGGTCATGCACACGGCCCCGGTGGTCATGACCACGATCACGGTCACTCGCACGATGAGCACGCTGGGCACGAACACGTTCATGGGCAAAGCCATGATGAGGAACAGGGTCTCGAACGACCACTCGAGACTGAGGCTGCGGATGAAAGAGGTTCTATCGGAGGGGTTCTCCCGGAGGTGGTTGTCCGTCGCGCCACCAAGGGTCGCCAATCCACTGCTGAAGCCCGCGACACCCCGAAACGCATTCGGTTTGGCAACGGCGACTCTTCCAGTAAGGATGACGGAGTTGACGGTGCCAGCCACAGGACGTCCTTACATTCAAGGGATCGTGGCCGTCGCCGGTCGAGCAGGAGTCATTCGCGCCTGGCCTCGTTCGACGAGATGAGTATCCATCCTCAGAGTTTCCGCCAGGACATTATCGCTGCGGTATCGTCTCCGGCTGCTGGTGACAGCGAAAGCGAGGAGAACGACGAGATAGCTGAGGATGCGACCGAAAGCTCGCCCTTGCTTGACAAGAATGGTAGTTCTCACGGTACACTCAATGCGCCCTCCCATTCTCACACGAAGAGAGCTCGCCGCGACTCGAGTGTCCACGCAGGCCACAACCACACCTTGCCGCCGAAAAAGTCAAAGGGTGGCCATGGCCATAGCCACGGAGACATGGGCATGAATGCCATGGTCCTCCACGTCATCGGTGACGCCCTTGGCAACCTTGGCGTGATCGTATCAGCCCTGATCATCTGGAAAACAAACTGGCCCGGCAAGGAGTACGCGGATCCCCTCGTTTCACTGGTCATCACCGCCATCATCCTCAAGACAGCAATTCCACTCACGAGCGCAACCTCCAAGGTCCTACTCCAAGCAGCCCCGGAGCATATCAGTGTGCCAGACATTCGTCAAGACATTGAGGCCCTCCCTGGCGTGGTCAGCTGCCACCATATCCACGTCTGGCAATTGTCCGACACCAAGATCGTGGCCAGTATGCACATCCAGGTGACATTCCCTATCGACTCGGACTGCGGCGAGAAGTACATGGAGCTAGCGAAACGTGCGCGCAAGTGCCTCCACGCATTCGGCATCCACAGCGCGACCATCCAGCCAGAGTTCTGCCTTGATGCTGAGCGCTACCAAGCCATTGCTGGCAACAGCTTCCAGGGCGTCGCGGATGCGGCTGGTGGCCCCAAGTCTGATGCGTGTCTGCTTGAGTGCATCGACGACTGCGAAGTGCCTGGCTGTTGTAGTGTGCAGGGGCAGTCTTCGCGGGACTCGTCCGTGCGCCGAGGCAGCGGCTCCTCCCATTCTCACAACGGACATACTCACTAATAGTGTAGAAGTTCCGACACTCTCATCTTTATATCCTTCTCTCGTGATTTCAGCAGCAGCAGCAACAGCAGCAGTCTTGCGATGCTTTGGTTATAGGCGATAACCGCAAACTTGACACAAATTTTCCTTATCTATCCGGGCTGGCGTTGGGTGGTTGGCAACCTCGGAACACGTGAGGGACCGCTCCTTGAGTGGTCGACGCGATGGCTGTTTAACGACTAGTACAATATGACGTTCTGCGTGACGAGGCGGGTAATTAATAGAGGTCTAGATGAAAGGCTTAGGGAGTCTATTATGCAAAGTTTCCCCCCAACAGGTCTATTGATACGTTTCTGTTCCTGATACACCACGGCGTGACATGTACCTGACGTGTGTGTGTCTGGACACACGTGGCTGGTCAGGGACAACGGTCCAGGTCCACGATCCCATCTCACAAGTATCCCAATCCCGCCTGTCAGGCGAGGAAGCAGCAACAGGTCAGTGAGGAGAGACTTTGTCGAGACCTGCACATTGTGAGGCCATTTTGGAACGTCGCTGATAATGTTTTGCTGAGTTGTAGCTGAGTGTCACTGTTCGTTTGCGGTTCTCGGCTGGCCCCAGCCAACGTCGAAACAAACGATAGCATCTGTAAAGGGACGAGTCTCCCATGAGTTTGTTTGAGGTAGCGAACATCTCTTCCGATGGAGCACGTATTCCTTTGATTTCTTTTGGTATGCTCGCGGTCTCGGTGTGGTTGACTACGGCTGGCCTGGCTTGTTGTCAGAACAGCCAGCGGTACGATCAGGGATACATTGATTGCAGTGGATGCCAGAACGTGTGAAATTCTCTCAGATAATTCAAGCTGACTTCCGCTCGTTGGCCCCCTTTCCGATGTGGCTATTTGACCAACCCCCGAGGTCGCTAGCGACCAAACTACCCGGTAGCACCAGGCTCACCAGCGGATACAGGCAGTGACCGCGTGAACGTCACAAGTGATGGGTTCTGAACATGCTACTTGCATTGCGATGCTATTGCACGGGATGCGGGAATTGCAAGGCAATGCATTGGTGGGAATAGGCAACGCGATGACGGCCGCCGGGCTTCACGTGTCGCCAAGTCCTCTGGTCACGACGTTCGCTTTGCAAAACGATGAACGATGGATCATCGCGACCGATTGGAATGGTGAAGCCACTACGAAGAAAGCGCACTGCAAGAGCATCTTGCCACGCGGCCCGTACGCATTCACAACGCATCAACCTGAGCGCCAACCGGACGTCCACGGTTCATGTCGTCGATCCGCTGGCTGCTTTGCGTATCTGAGGGTTGAAAATCCGTACCCGTCACAAGCAGCAGCCGTCTGTGCGTGGTATCAACTCCCCCGAGCCTAACCCACTCGTCGTTGACAAGCCAACCGCCGCCGCAGCTAGCGAGCATGTTCGGCGTGGCGTAGCTCAGTTGAAGCACAGGCCGCGGGCCCGATTCGGAAATGAAGGCTTTTGGGTTGAAAGAACGTTGCGAAGCCCGACACATACATATCTCTCATTGTCGTCGGAGGTTCATGAATGAATGAATGAATGAATGAATGAATGAGGCATCCGGCTATGATCGAGATGTCTGCGTACAATGGCTAACGTAGCTGCGTCCTAGTCTAGTTTGAGGGACGTGTGGGTAAATGCAGGCGTGACTATTGTCGGGCAGGACATGGACGATCCTTGTCGACATGGACATTTACCACTTCGCCATGCTGGGCACGATAGAGAACCTGTTTCGATAATGCAGAGCGGAAGAGAGGGTGGGCTTGGTTGGATTAGCCAGCTTCTATGCAGCGCGAACCATAACAAGGTACGCTTGGTCGCGTGCGCGACGCGTTGTGTTCGGAGAATGAGTGGATGATGGGATTCTCAAGGCTGTGGAGAATATGGAAGCGTGCATCGGCCCAAGTCTGAAATACTTGAGAACCCACGCTGCCTCGGTTGTTGATGTCCGTACGGACTTGGTAGGTCGCGATATGCGGCCTGCCTCTATCGGCGTGTTGTCGATTGATGTTGACAGCTGAACCAACGTCAGCAGATGATGATAAAGCACGCAGAGTTGCATCGTCGACAACAGCTGCTGAACAGCAGCATCTCAGCTCACGAGCTAGGCCGCATCAGGGCACCTCATGCCGCCCGTCCCAGATACCCGAGCTTGCACACTGCATGATTGCCCTATCGACCCCAGCCTCCTCAATTTAGAAGCAGCCATCGTATGCATGGCATCATCATCCTCACGTAAACGAGTCTGGACAACCCGCGCGGCGGCCTGGTATCGTTGTCTGTTCGTCAGCGGCTCTCCCAGCATCCGGCCTTGGTCGCCCAGCTCATCCCTGGCGAACATCTGGGCACACGCGGTCTATCACCAGCAGACGCGCGACAGAATCAGGATTGCTTGTTGTCCATTGATTCCATTCAGACCCTGGGCTGGAATTCCGAATGGGAAGAGCCTAAAGTATGCTGGTCGAGCTTCAGCTCAATTCGCATGCAGGATTGGCAAAGTCCACGACCAATCGCCAAGAAGGGCCAATGGCAAGTCTCACAGCATCGTATCCTGCTTTCAACATTGCCTTCGTCGTGCTTCAGCTGGTAGGTTCAGCCCCGTTGAATGGTCACCGCTGATTCTTCCATCACCATGCATCGCCGGAAGCCTCGGCGTGCCCAGGCTGGAGCAGAGACGTCGTCTGAGAGAGACCGTCATGTCTAAGACCTTTCGCGTGGCTTTCGGTGCAGATTGCCCGATCCCACCAATCGCTAACGGTCTGCCTTGATTCCTGCCTTGGACAGGCCGCACAGGAAGCTCTCCTTGTTTCCCCTCACGAACGAACATGCCGTATTCATAAACGTCGGATCAATCTGAAATGGACGATTACTCTGCATCTGCTGGTCGCTCTGGGCCACCATTGGCTGGAGAAAGTTCGCCCCCTTGGGTCGGTGGTCAGCAAGTCGCTGCTCAACCAGCGTATCACAAGCGTGAGCTGCCAATTGGCGACTGCGGACGTGTGGACGCACACAGATACGGCTACAATCCTCGTGCTTGCCCGCCGCCCAGTTTCATGAACCATGAGTTCGTCAAGCTTGTTGCCACTGGCGGCCACTTGAGAGGCTCATATTCGCTCGACAGCGTACGGAGATCGAGGCACAGTCGCCTTGTGGGCTCGTGCGCGACGCACGCAACTGCAGCCACGCGCGCCATGCACGTCGTCTACATATTAACTGGGGGACCACACCCATACGCGGAGGTTTCGCGTTTGTTGCAAAGTCAAATCCTGTGCATGGGGAAATGTTACAGGTCGGCTCACGGATTCACAACCGGGAAATCGTCAGTCGAGCTCCTGCACGCAGGCGCCGGCCGAGCACGCATGATATCAAGCTGCAGCGAGCGCCGTCTGTCCGACGAGCACAGCAACATCTGTCAACGCCGCACCTGCCTTTGTGTCTAGGGGCACGATACGATTGCTTGGTGACACCTGCAAGCGAGGCGCCTAGCTGGAGAGAACTTCCCCTTTGCGAAACGTTCCTAGCGGTGGACTTCTGGTGAACTGGTGGCGAACCAGCAGTGCCGGCGGCAATGGACAGTCGAGCTACCACAGCAAGCCTGCCGTGCGCGTCCAGACATGTACAAAGGAAAAGCTGCCGTGGTGATATGTTTGCATCACTTGGCCACCGTTCTCGTCTTATGCCGGATGCTGTTCAGTGAAATATCGAGAGTCGTCCTGAAAAATTTTCTGCCATCCGTTGCTCGGCGACACAGAGGGTGATGGCGCCTTCTTACGTAGTTTGCCCAGTCCCCTCATTTGGAGCAGCAAGAGCGGGAAAAAATCTGTGAAGAGACAGTGGTGAATCATTTGACGACACTGCACCCCTGTCACGAACCGGTTGTTGAGATGTTTTCGGGCGCTCCAGCGTCATCACGCTTGACGTACGTAAAACAAAGGTGCCAAGAGGACCCCTCGGGTGTAGAGTGAAGCATCCAGTGATGCCGTGTAGAAAGAAATTTTCTGTTCGTGGGGATATGCGCGTCGGAGGGGTCTTGACTGTCATTTGCCTGACATATCTCCGCTTCACTGCTGGTCGCCGGGACAGAGCCTAGTCCCCCTTCGGTGGCCCGGTCGTCCGGACAATCAAATTGAATCAATAAGCCAAGGACGGTGTGAGAGGAGCTCTTCGTGATGGTAATGGGGCCTTTGCTGGGGGTGCAGTGGTGCACAGACTGCACACGGGCACGGTCGCCCCGCGGTTCACTGGGTAATGAATAAGTGCCAAGGATCGCCACGGAGCCGCCATTGCCAGGAGGGGGCTAATTGCAAGGCTGGCATGCCCGGAAGAGCCCTGACAGCTAAGCCAATGCGAAGCACGATGTGTGAGCAGGCAATTGAAGAAAGCCAGCAATAACTGACCAGGCCATTTCAATTTGGTGCGGAGAATTGAAGATTGAAGGTGTCGTCATGTTCAAGATTGGCAGCTCTTTCCCCACATGTGAATGCTTCCAGAACGGGTGTGGCTTAGTTTACTATGCGAGATCCACTAGCATTTCGTGCATTAGCCGCATTATTAGTGCATCAATCATCAGTCGCTGCACGACCGGTAGCACAACCACCACATTGATTCCCGAGAGAATTATGCTCCCGCAAATACACTAAGTACAGTGCACATTAAACTATGGGGAAGGCTGTCTGTTTCAAGTGTTTCTTTGATGATAGGGGATGTCACATGGCAATAAGATGAGCTCACCTGACAATAATTAATCATTATGCCGCAGAGAACGAAGCGGATGGTCGGTCTGTTCGTTCTGCCGGCTGCACGGTCTACTACGTACAGCCGCTCTGAGTGTCCACAGGGAAAGGAGCTTGTTGAAGAGAAAAACGCATCGTCACCGACCTTTGTGTCGAATTGCCTCCATAATACGTGGAACTTGGCTGCCGCTCTCGTGACAAACTCATTGACCCTCCAATAACCCCATACAGTGCTTGCTGCTCGGCAGTGTAA